TGAAGTATTCGCCCCATTCGGAGGATCTTAGCATGGATTCTACGAAGGCCCAGTTAGCCTTACTATAGTTCCTATATATTACTTGTTTTGAAGTGGAGGCATATCCTGCATTGCTACTCAGAGGAAGTGGCAGTGCACACATCACTATTTTGTGATCACTACCTGAAAAGTTAGAACACACCAAGATTGAGAGGGGACTTATTTCGTAACAGTCCAGTACGCTGTCTTCTCTTGTATGGATAGTGACAGTTTGTTTCCAGCCGAAAATGTCCAGTGTACCGAAGAGCTTGTCATATTTAGTTCGCTCTGTTAATAAATCCCAGTTGATTTCGGGTAGGTTGAAGTCTCCACATATGATCTAATGCTCGTATGGAAATGTGGATACTTGCTCCAGTACATTTTTAAGTTGTGTCTCGTAATCACTAAAGGTAAAATTCTCGCCTCTTCAACACCATACACCAATATCAGGATTGTACCTGATTTAACTCCTTGCCAAAGACGATGCCACACAGGTAAACTAGGTGAAAATAACTCCAATAAGACAACCGTTGTTAATACTTCCCTCGTTGTATTGCCTGGTGATGAAGGGCACCAGATAATATCGCATGCACATACCAACAGTAGTCAAGTAACTGTTGAAGACTCAGTTCTAAATACTGAAATCGCAGACATAGAAATGTCAACAGATCATAGTATTGACGTACATCCGTTGCACACTGGCACGATTGACAAACCCTAGAAAACGTCTAAGCTGAATTCAGTCCTATACTTGTAATCGCCCTAGTAGTCATATACTGCACAGCCACGTAGCCCGGCTAGAATGAAGCAGCAATCATATGTGGCCACCCAGGTTGGCGTAAATTCAAGGCGATATAATAAACGTCCTATTTCCGTAAGGAACACCAAAAGAACTTTTGAGACTATTCAACAGAAATCCAGTTTATCAGGAAATCCTACTGTAACAACAGAAGACAAGGGCCAGGCAACAGAACGTTTATTACGGAAAATCAACACGTATTTATAGATTTTGATGTACATTATTGTAGGTTAATGTTAATAGAAAATACAGTCTGTTGATTGGTTGTTTCTCACACAAGGTTAACCTTGCATCTCTTGTGGCTGTGTCAGTTCATCTATACGTTAACTGTATCCGCCTGTCCATCTTGACCTTTGACCTCAATTACTGTCAACCAATTTGGCTAGCAACCATCTCTCACCACACTACTAGTCACCAGCAGCCCAGATTACACTAATACGGAAAAACCTAAACCAAACACTAGATCCGGAACACTAAAGCCCACAAGTACGAAAGTTTCAAAAGGGTCACCGGCTCATTCTACAGATGGAAAGTCATCTAAACTTAGTCCTTTTCCTCAAGTTAGACATAATTCACATACCATAGGAGGTTACTCATTTCCGACCACCACTGCCAATCCTATGATAACAAAAAACAATCATTACATGTCTACCCAACCACTTCGAAAACACGGAGTTACTCAGCCCCTCACGAATGTACCCTCAACTATGATGTACAGGAAACACCAGTCTGAGAATACAGACATTAAGTCAAAAACACGTATAGTGCCCTGTAATACTTATCATGCTTTCAGTAGGGGGCACATGCCAATTGCAGCACATTGCTCATCATGGCCTAGGAAGTACTCTAACCAGACACCGGGACCTAAATCATATGAACTTAACATCACGCCGATCACACAATTCGGTTATAACTATGCAGATAACACGGCTCAAGCTAAATCGCATATGACCAAAATTTTCTCCAGCGACAACTGGCAGAAACACCGGGGATCATGCACGTAGCACGCATGATATCAGACCAATTCCCTGCTGGTATAGCGAACAGCTTACAACAGGGAAATCGCTTCTTCCCGGCAGATAGCAAGCACCTTATACATACCTGATACCAACAGTAATACTCTAGATTATCATACAAGTATCTTTCATAGCACGCACTATCTACAGATATATATCAAAGGATGGACCACTCGACGATTTTCCAACTTAGGGCGTCAACCTGAGAGGGGATGCAGGCGAACTGGTGTAAGTCCTGCGATTCTTCAGAGGAATTACATCAAGACATGGTCTGCGAGGTAATGTTTACTGTTTGCATATATGCATGGTGTGTCATATCAACTGGTGTTTTTGGATTCACTGTGTTTACTTGTTGTTTTCGTATTCTGTTGTATTGCATAATTTTGTTGAAATTTTCGTCGTGCTTACTTCTGACGTTGTTTCGAGTCTTCTATATCTGTTAAAGACAGCAGATGGGTGGTATACGCCAGGGAGGCTAGTGCTGGGAATGACATGCACACATTTACAAGGATAAGCGTAACAATAGAAGACAAGGCCAGACAACAGATCATTTATTAAGGAAATCAACGGATATTTAAGCAAACAAACACAGTCTTCCGATTGGTTGTTTCTCACGTAAAGTTATTCTTTCATCTATTTGTGACTGTTTCTTGAATGTCAAATCCTCTATATGTTAACTGCATCCGCCTACGCAAAGTCTGCTGTGGTCGGTTTTGAATCAATCTTTGTTCACATTTTCTCACGACAAATCTTGGGAGTGTAAATATTGACGTAAATTACTGTCTACCAATTTGACTAGTAGACAGCTCTCACCACATAAGATGTGGAATCAATGACTGAGAATGAATGCTTCGATTAAGGATGTGGTCCCACACGACGGGGAGCAAGAGTGTAGACGACTGAGGCTTGCATACGTCACCGTTACTAGGACTCATGCAGAATGAGTGACAAGTGATAGCAGTGGTAATTGGTACTGAATAGATAAGAGGGTGTGCAAAGAGTATCATGAGGTGCTGCTATGGTCATGTTGCTTTCTCCAAGAGTCATTCTAGCAAGTGGTGATTGTGTTGCAAGATGTCAAGAGGCTGCCTTTAACTTTAAGGCGTGGGTCGTCGTCGACGAGTGAGATTGTGCTGTGGGTATGCCTGTGGTGTGTAGGCTTTGTTGTTTGTTATCAATTTCAGCTTTGTCCATGTGGCCCAGGTTCTCGCACTGGCATCCAGGTCAACGTGTATTGGTCGTCAGAGAAAAATGGATGGATCCCCTTTTTGCCGGGAAGAGTTAATTTAGTTAAAGAATGAACGATCAATTCATGGTTGTGTATAATAAGCTTATGGTTGGTTCCATATTGGTGCAAGGATAAAAGATACTCGAGTCATCACTCTGTGTTCTGTTTTTTCGCGTTGGTAATTGCACATTATTGCTGAAGGATTTCTAAGGACAGCATTAAGTCCAGTGTTGCTAGACCTGGAAATACACAAATAAATTGTGATATTGGACACGCCAGAATTAACGAAATGCTGTAAACATTTGCCCTACGTTATTGGTGGCCTCGCAAGCGGCTCGACGTCCGAGACTTTGTTCAGGGATGCACACTAGGTTGGGTAAGATAAAGGACTCAAAGATGAACCCTAGAGCGCCACTAACTAATATGAAGACTGGATGTTCCACCGAAGTAATCGGCGTGGACATCACAGAGCCACGCTTGAGAATGAATACATCATAGTCGTGGTCCATTATCTTACGAAATGGTGTGAAGCTGTCCCATTCAGCGAACTGATGCTTCTACGGTAGCCAAAGCTATGTTAGATTGCTGGATTGCCCTTTGGGGTGCATCAGAGCAACTACATTCTGATCAAGGAAAAACTTCGAAAGTCTCTGGGTCAGATAGCTCTGTCACCTATTTGGAATCGGGAAGTCGAGAACCACTGCATAGCATCCCGAAGGCGATGGCTTAGTAGAGCGCACCTATCGGACCTTGATGCTATTACCACGATTATTTTAAGAAAGAGAAGAAGAATCAGCCTTGGACACCATGTCACCGCGGTGCCTGCTGGCTTACTGAGGACGCATGCACTTGTCGATGGGGAAAACGTCGCACCTTTCATGGGCTGCCTGCGAGTTACGCCTGCTTAGTAATACATTGGTTATGTACCGATGTGATGATCCACTGACAGCATAGGAAACGGTAGTAAGATTGCGAGGAGACATAGCTAGGTACCATAGTTATGTAAGCGAGGAACGTGAGAAAGCACGATAACAGTAGAAACATTACTATGATAAGAAGCAATGTGGTAGACCATTTTATACAGGTAATAAAGTGTAGCCGCGTCAACCAGGAACTGAAAACCAGGGTCGAAATAAAGCTCAAGCACAGTCTGCAGGTCCATATGTGGTGTACTGCAGAGTAACTGACAATATAAATGAAATACAAGAAGGCGACAACAACAATACACAGAGAGTGATTGTGAACTTCAACCGTTTGGAATGGTTCAGAAAAAGCAGACAGGTGTCTATGACAAATCCTTTTTATACTGATAGTCATCACAGCCACGTGTCTCTTTCTTTTGCAGGGATGATTCGACGGGTGATGGAACGTAAGACAAAAGTTGCTGAGGTCATTTTTTGAAAGCGCGGGAGTCGTGTAGTGTTTCGAATTCGGAAATAGGCTTTAGTTCAAACACCGGTGGCTGATGAACAGTGATAGCCTAGCTCTTTTATGTGTATAACTTCTTCCTTCTTCTTCTATCGAGATGGTTAGTAATTATAAAGTGTTTCAACCCGGGTCTGCGTTCTGCCTTTCCCATTTTATTCCAGCGCGCCTGATATATCATTGTCTGTGCTGTTAAATTACATATCGGCAGGGAGGGAATCAAGTCACGATGTTTCCAATTCAAACAGATGGCTACGGACTCAATATATCATGCATATTCCTCTCCATATGGTAGTAGCAGGAGGGTTCAGAAGGCATGGACAGACTTCGTCGTTGTGTAGTAGTTGTTCTCTAATCGGGACACGAGAAGTGGTGTCCTAAGTCTTAGTCGACTCTTTCAGATACGGACGCAAAACTGAGGAGTGCTTATTACAAAGAGTTCAACGAAGAATTGAAACCTTTTATTATAAAAAAGGGAAAGAGAATCTGAAACGAAGCTAAGACTTAATTAGCGGTAAAGTTAAGAGGTGCGTTACTTTAGGTTTTATTAATATTGTGGGTATCTGCTTCTGAGCATACTAAGTGTTACCATTATTGTTAATTAACGAATAATATAGTCGACTTCATAAAAATAATTGCCAAGACACAAACAAAATGCTTGATAGATGTAGTTAACAGGTGTACTTTCAAATATTTTTCCATTTAAGAACTGATTTTAGTTTTATTGAGGCTGTCAGAGTAGTTTATCGTTTTTATTTTCAAAGAGTCTTATTTCAGCCAGGCATCTCGAACTTTTGTTGACATTAATGATATCACTCAGTTCAGCCTTCTCAACATGCAGCTCACTATATAACAAATTGGGGAATATTTGGTGGTATTTTAGGGCTTCTGAGAGATTTTGTGTCATTTAGGTGTGATTTGGTGGGAGATTTAAGGAAAATTTAGGGATATTTTTAGGGTTGCGGTGGAATTTTCATGCGTTTCCACAAAATTTCTCATTTTTTGCAGCAAGTTGCTTAAGCAACCAACTAGCCAGTTATCTAGACTTCATCTATCGTAAACAGATTTTCTTTGTGTGAAACTTTTAGCCATACTTATTATATGGGTGATGATGCTACTGAGTTTCACGGTTTGGAATATGCCGAGTGGTGGTCACAAATCCTGTAAAAGTAGGACGCCATAGCTTTCTATCTATCTTTTCCTCTTATCCACTTTAACTTTAATACTTACGTAAGATTTCTTGGTTCTGTAAATGATCAAATACATGTCTGTATTTAATTTTCTATATCTGGTGAGAAGTCTACTAAAATAATGGTGAAGTACGCGTTTGTATGGATCAATTATCCTACCATTTCCATTAGTTTCACTCTGGTATTACAGTTGGTGGATTTTTGGCTACCAGAAGTTTAGATTTCAGTTACCTAGCACTAGGCTGTGAGCCACATTTATTGTGTTGGGGCTAATTGTACTACCCAGTTGCCCAAGCTGAAGTAGTTGGGGCGAGACTCGAACCTCGGAACCAATTGACTGAAGGTCAAGTTCACAAGCCACTTATCTTCAGACGAGTGACTAACCAATCGATGTATTCTCCATCTCTACGTAACGTATTTATTTAAAATTACCCACAGTGCCTTTAAAGTTCTACTTCCTTAGGTGTTATAAACCGGAAATGTATTATTGCAGGACGTAGAATTATGGTAGTGACATCAGTTTGGATGGACAATGTGAGGTGACGCAGAACACTTTAGACACAACCGGAAATTTATTTCATTCCATCTAGAAACAGAAAAAAATTTTGTGGTTGGACTAAGTCTCAAGACCTGACAACAGCATAGCATAGAAAATTTAGAAAAAGCTTATCAATTATTGCGATATGTCATCCATTGTGAAACTGCAAAAGTTGGTGATTACTTCTAATCTAGGCGATAGCTTGTCTAGTTATCCAATTTTCCCTATTTTGTTGGTGCGTCATAAATATTGTACAACGCTGTGTTTTCGAGAAGTAAGTTTGGAGGTAAATTCTTTAGAATTGCAGGACATAGATAAATTATAATGGCAGTCTCCAAAGCTTTTTATTAGTAATCAACAAAAGACCGACGTTTGCGGTTTGGGTCACTCAAGTGTGGAAATCTGTGCATTTCAAAAGGTATGCTTTCATATGTTATCGATGATAGACGCAACATGCCTTCCAATATGACAACAGATTTGTTGCCTTCATTTAAGCATTCTCTCTTAGCTTTTCTTCCTCGGTAAAGCTCAGTTATTTTGTGTAGCTCATTCCTCACTGTCAGTTTTGTAACGTGTTTTATGATATAAATTGCATCACCCAACATTATGGATGGTTTTAGGCAGACGTATTGTGTTATTTTAGAGATGTGATTTGCTTTCTTGCATAATTGAATACTACTTGACGTTATGTCGTTTTTAAACGTGTTCTGTTTGCCAAGGTTTTCAGCTAAGTCGTGCGACACCACCTTTTACATTAGGTGTGACCACTTGTCGCGCTCATAATATTCTCGATATTCCCTTACTTGCACAACTATTGCTGGTATTCAACATCCTATTGACAGCATTGTTGACTGTGACTGATAACCGCAATCAGTAATGATCATCCTGCAGCTTTATTGCTTGTGCTACTCATCTTTAACTTTTGATTTTGTGTTATGGCTGTAGTAATCTTTTCTTCAGCATGGTAGAGATAATTTTGCTCATGAACATGCTAATTCGTGTTTTAGATGCTAGTATTAACTCGTTTGATATTATTTACAAACTAGTACTGTTCTTGAGTAATTTTCTATATGAGAACATTTTAACAGTATTCATAGCCTTACTTTTGGGTTCAGCTATGCAGAGTTAATAAAGCTAGTGGATTTTATGTGAATAATTGCAAAAGTGATTTACTTTACGTTTAAATTTGCCAGAATTACCTGAGATAAAGAAGGAAAACTAGATAATTTTGTCAGATAACTGCTTATTATGCATTTGTTATCTCGTTTGAAATATTTTGATTTGCACAAGTGTACAAAATTGTTTTACTTAGTGGTCAATGTTTGTAATACTTTGTCGAAATTCCACCAAGGTTTCATTTAAATAGGTTTCTTGTTTTTTTCAGTGAGATTAGGGAATTATATTAAAAATTTCGTGTCATTAGAAAGTCCTAGTAAGAAACCTTTGGTTCTTTCTCACCTGGTCTTTTAGTTCATTTTAATACTGCGCACACAGTTCAGAGTCTTGATTTGAATGTTATCATGACTCAGATTTCTGTCTCTACTTTTTTCTCGTCGTGACACTACAATTAAGTGGAAGTTACACATCATTCATTCAGATTAAAACTTGGTATTACTCCTAATGATCACATTGAAAGAATGATTTGGTTAGCAACTGGGTTTCATATCTCTGCTGAAAAGCGTTGGCCCAGTAATCCGAAGGGATCTAGTTTAAATCCTGCCACGACTCGGATTCCCGTTTCACCTTCAATCATCACTCATTACATCCGTAGTGGCCTACCATTCCATCAGCCTCTATAAACAACCAGGTATGGTCGAGGGTGGGTGGACTTCAGTCCTCCTCTTGAAATGCTCTGTGGTCTAGCGTCCATAGCCTCTGCCAGGTAAGTTCTATTCAATGCCTTCACACAGCGGCATGGATGTTCCTCACCGAAGTGAAAGAGCTAATCCGAAAGTTCGGTGTCTATAACTGGACTTATGTTGATGTGGTTGTTTTCTCTGAACTGGATAGTTAATTTTGCGAAGCTTTCGTTGCCCTTCTAGGCGACATCTTCAGCGCATACTTCAATTTGAAGTGAGCTTTTAGATTTCTCCACGATGGCGGATGGATACGCAGGTTTACCTAGGAGAGTTGAAAAAGCCTGATTACAAACTTATATTGCACATGGGCTTCAGAATCCCGAAGGATCGGTAGAGTATGAACCTGTTTTGGTCACGGGTAACCATGGGTGCGTAGCTCCTGACGCTGCTCCACTGTCTTATGGGTCAGACTTCAAGTCGAAGGCTCGAGGTATGGTCAGTTAAGACAACCACTTACTTCGGCCTAAGCGTCCGGGTAGTGTCCCAACCCTAGCATAAACTATGAGGGGCATCTCTTGGCACTCACAATCCACCAAGTTTATGTATTAATTCCAGGGTTATTCAAGACAGCCTGAATAGCAATTACTTCAGTTTAACATTATAAAGCTATCTGGCATATATTTTTTACTAACACTCCCATATCTATTATTTCTATTTAACATTTTAGATTTGCAGTGTGTTTTATTGTTGTATGACGTCGTTGTCGTTAGGATATTACCCCTCGTGTGATGTGACAGTTGCAGCAGCAGTATCCCTGGGAGCACAAGGGTCAGTCTCAACAACAGATGACAGACAACAAACGCTTATTTATCCATGCGTTAAAATGTAAGTTAAACGGTAATGATAACACAGCTAATTTACCGTACAACAGAATGAATATTACCGGTTTTGATGCTGAAAAATTCAAAATTATCAAAGGTGAATATACACCACTTGCATGTTATGGTGAATTACGTGTAAATTATTGCATTACACGTGATATTCCCTTCTTATCGAATTCACTGATTACAAATTGGTCTCAGACACAAGTGAATCTTGATCGAAAATTGTAAGTTTACGTCTAATAGTAATAATACTACTTGTAGATTTAATGAAGCCTTTGAATTACCTCTACCATATAATGCATTATATGATTATAATGGAATATGTTTTGTTTTATCCTCTACATACACTGATAAAAAAGGTATGCATGAACAATTGATAGCTGGGGCAAATATGAAGTTATATAATTCTAAAAAGTAAGTTTACATGCTAATTTATAGGTGATTCGGTAACTTTGAAGTGTATTTAACTGAGATTATTGTGTTGTTGACTTTTCTGACAGTTTGAAGTGTTAACAAATTACACTATTATCTCTGTTTATCATCACAGTAGCTACGCATCTAGGCCATCCTTTTGTTATTTGTAATCATATTGAATTCGAAAGAAAGCACCGCAGTTTTTAACTATTGGTTGAACTATCTGTTTAATTTATTTTACCCCTTTTGCGTCCCAAGTAGAACACAAGGCTTCAAACTTGAGCTTTGAAGGTTCATTAGCAGTGGTCCTTTTACTTTTACAAGTTGGGGTTACTAACCTTATGTCAGTCCTTCCCTCTTTATCAAGATTTACTCAGTATCATCGGCTTAGCGAGGTTCAGGAGTGTGTCAGTCGGGCATCGGGCACCGGACCACATGCGTGATTAGCGAACATTCTACTGCTGAATCACTAGCCTTGGAATAGTAGACTGTGATTAATATATTATAGGTGTTAACTGAAGTTGAGATGAAATCTGGGGGACTACAGGACTGAATTATGTGTATGTGTGCTTAATGGTCGGCTTGAAAGAATATGATGAAAGATATTATTTTTAATAATTTAATCATTCCCATTTTAGCATTAAGAACACAATATTCAGCGAAGAGACTCTTTTCAACGAATTTATTATCAAGCTGTACAATCGTATATACATGGTTTTTAAGAGATTATTTCCAGTGAGGCAATTAGATCAAAAGTGTGAACACATGAAATAATAATAGTATGAAATGCAATTAAAATATTTGTGATTATAATCATAGTTTAATGTCAAGTAGCAAAACAACTAATGTCATATATAGAATAATACATAAGGTGTATAGATGTTGGAAAGGGGTGCATAATTATAGGATCAGTAGGCGAATATAAAATGTTACATAATATGGTGTGGAATTTGATACGATGGAATTCAATATTGTAAAAACAAAAAGAAATAATAATTTTGGATTTAGAATGACAAGTGGGACAAGTGAAAACAATTCAGAGTGAGAAGTGATAATAATAATAATAATAATAATAACAATAATAATAAGGGAAAGGTACATAGAATAACTAAATAAACAAAATAAATAAATGTCTATCCCTCTACGGCCAAGGCAGAAGGAGGGATTGTGCATACTTCTTCTGCACACAAAGGTTTGGCTTAAAGTCATGAATTGCCAAGGCCTCCACTGTCTTTAGAAGTCAGTAACGAAGAAAACGTGCCAAGTTAGCATGGATTCGGTAGATGATCTTGAAATCATGATCAGAGTTGGCAGAGTAACAAGAGTCGACCAGGTGTTCTAGAATCGAGCTGCGTATGGACTACCAAAAATTCACAAGACAAGACTACCCCTTCGTCCAATTCTCGATATGGCGGGTTCTCCTTATCACGGAATTTCTCAGTGGCTAGCTGAAATACTGGAACCAGTTAGAAGGCATGTGTCTAAGTTTTACATTGATGATACGTTTAAATTTATTGAGAGTATTAAAGATTTTAATGGCTCAGACAAAGTCATGTTCTCACTAGATGTGACTTCGCTATTTACCAATTTACCTCTTATGGTAACTGTTTGCTATATATGTGATTATATTGATACACATAATTTAGAAATAGGGCTGCCAACAGTCCACCTCAAAGAACTTTTATTGAGATGCACGTTGAATGTTCAATTCACCTTCAATAATGACATTTTTAGACAGAGAGATGGCATCGCGATGGGATCACCACTGGGTCCTTTGCTGGCTCATTGTTTTATGGCAGAGCTTCAAAACTCTCAACTTAGTCAAACCATCGATCATTTCGACATTTATGAAAGATACGTAGACGACACTTTCTTTATCTGCGATAATAAAGTAATTCTTGATGATGTCTTGTTTGCTTTCAACAACTACCATCCTTCTTTACAATTCACCATAGAAAAGGAATCTGAACTAAGTATTCCGTTTCTGCATGTGTGCCTTAGTAGACGTAATGACGGATCTCTCAAAAGATCCATCCACTGGAAACGTACATGGAACGGACAACTAACTAATTTTTATAGTTGCATGCCTATCTCCAAGAAAAGGAACCTAATTCATTCGCTCTGCTTTAGGATAAGGTACATTTATAGTTCTGATTGCGTTGACTCAGCACTTGACTTCCTAAAAACCACGCTCCCAGAAAATGGTTACCCGAACCGATTTATTGACAGTAACACGAAAGATAAGCAGTCTAAACTGGTAACTGACTCAGTTCCAAAGAAGCCCTTATTCATGAACTTGAAATTCAAAGGTGATCAAACTTCAGATATGCTCATAAACCGTCTCTCTAAAGCAGTCAGTAAGACGTTCTTTGCAGCAAAATTACAAATGACGTTCACCAGCCGCAAGTTGTTCTCCATATCTGTAAAAGATAAGTCCCTGTCTGGCGTGTGCATCTATCAGTTCATGTATAATCCCCATCCAGGCATTAATGAAAACAAAACACGTAGATCAGCGAAGAGTCTCTTTTCGGCGAATTCATTTTCTTAGCTGTAAAATCGCAAATATATATGTGTTATTTTGTATGTATGTGTACATTAAGTTTATCAAACAAAAATACAATTGGTTATAGTTATTTAAACTAAACAGGTGAAGATTGGTAATTGGAGTTACGTAATACAAAATCAGTCAAGAAAATTAGGTGTTATTGAAATTAGGGTAGTAACAAAGGTGATGAGTTGTCACAAACAGTTGTTAAAAGAAGTTATGTAATATGAATAGTTTGATGAGTGAGTTTTACTCAGGATGCACATAGAAATAAAGTAGATAATACGAAATTACGTAAGAGTTCTAAATGAATACGAGAATTATAAGCAATTAAAGAACAGGCAAAGAAACAAAATTAAGTCATCAAAATAAAAATCAAATAAAATAAAAATAAAAAGTTGTTACCAAGACAGTAGAAGTGGTTGAGTAATCCTCTTTTGTATGCATAGCTCCGGTTTTTCTATGTGAATAGCCAGAGTTTCAGCGATACAATTACATAGTAAGTTATAAGTTTCATGCTTATCGCTATCTCCACCACATAAAACGCGGGTGAGCCAAATAGGGAATCATTTAGTTTTTGTACTTTACTGTGCTTTCGAACATATAATCTTTTATAATGATTCCTATTAGTACCTAATGAGATGCAAAGGAAGAGTTGCGAACAAAGAGGGTGGGCAGAGTCAAACAATATCGATTTAGTCCATTTCTCTCATGAGTTCAGAGGCTTGCGCTATAGATAACCTTTGATACGCCTCACAATACGACAAAGTCCTTTCTGAGTAACCCAGAAAAGACTACGGGGGAGCAGTAAAGTTCATTAGGTAAGATGCAAGAGTTAACAAACTGTAAAAGCAGAGGTTGAGTGATACTTGATTGTTTTAGCTGTTTAATGCTTGTGTAATGATTATAGCTTGATTCCACACGGTATTTTTGGTAGAAGTATGGAATTTTCAGCATGTGATATCGGAAGCCTAAATTTGCAGGCCGACCATTGATATCAGGTGTGCTTCGGCAGGGGATCGAACCCCGGGCCATCTGCATAGTGGACGAGCGTCCTAACCGTTGTTAAAACTCAGTTCCGTAAGAACAGATTTCTCACATACCAGGCTACGGGCCTCTTTTGTTGCATTAATATGCTGATGATGCTACCTAGTAGTTGCTTGAACTGAAGTAGGTGGTATGGGATTTGAACCTGTGACCTATTGGTTAAGCCACATCTCTTTAGATTTTTGTCTTCTAAATAACAGTTTTTGTTGAATTTTGTCTATATTTCAGAGTTTTTCGACAAGGAATCTATGAAATTGAACTGCATCCCTTAGAACCATTAAAAGTTTATCGATTAGAAGATGTTGAAAAGTTGATAAATAATCCTGAGTTTGATGCAAAGCCATCAAATATGGATAGTATGAATCAAATTCTTAAAGTGAGTAGTACAATGCTATTCAAATTTTCTCTCAATTTCAGTTGTGTTTTTTTAAAAATTTCGCGTTTTGTTTTAAATGATTTAAAACAAGAGGAACAGTTTTTTGCATTGAAGAGATCATGTTTAAATCTCTTTTCTTCGGCTGTCAATCATGCTCAGTTTGTTAGCGGCGACTAAAGGAATTGAAGTAGATAAGATAGAAATACAAATTTCTCATCTAACAGTTGTTATTCAGTGGACTGGTTGTAGCCCACAACGAATTACTTATTTGAGAGTAAACTTATGCCAATCGATGTGTAGTAGGATTGGTCACTGACGAAATCTCAGCATGAATACAGCAGGCTCGTTTAGCATTTTCCAACTTACGCCATTTCCGGTGTTGACATGATACCCGGCTGTTGAACAAAAGATGTGCATACTGCTCAGAAGTTCGCTCTGTCCTCCTTTATGGTGTTTGAGTTCTATCTCCCATGTCAAGTGGTATAATAGGGTGAGCAATATTGAGGTTAGGCGTCGGTCGAGTGCTAGATAAGGAGGGGAAATCAATCGACGAGGCTGTGGAGCTACATCGACTGAGATGGTTAGGACATGTGTTATGCATGCATGTATAGCCATCGCCTTCCTCGAAAGGCTGTGTTAGCTACTGACATAAGGTAATGGATCAGGTTGGAAAAGAGCCAGTGGTGATCAAACTAAAACATGTCCTCTTCAGTCAATGAAATCCACAACAGTCAGTTTAAGCCAGCCAGCCATGTAGGGAGGTGTAGATTTCGTGGCTAGTTGGGGTCCTCTGGAGGTTAGAAAACCATCTCAGTAGATGTAGCTTCACAGCCTTGTCGATTGATTTCCCCTCCTTACCTAGCACTCGACCGACGCCTAACCTCAATATTGCTCACCTTATTATACCACTTTGCACGGGGGATAGAACGCAGGCACCTGTGATCAAAGACAGCTAGCCGGCCTTTTTATGTTTTCAAATCTCAATGGCCAGGTCTCGCTCACAGCCCTGGAGGAGGACGGAGCGGACTGCTGGGCAGTAATTAATCTGTATCAGTTAGGTATTTCTTTCCACTTAAATGGATTGTTGGTAACACCTTGTAAATCTGATTAGATGACACCTTTTTTGTGTATATTTGAAGCAGCTTAACAATTGAAATTTCTTACTCACATATCAATACTGATGTATTGTTGTGCGTGAACTTTGTTAATAGTTTCATAATTACATCTACCGATGAATTGTCTAGGCCTTGTATGGTGTTTAAATGTATCTGAAGCACACTGAGCAGTGATTGTAATTCATTAGCCTATTAAGGGTACAACAAATCATATCTATCTAGAGGGAAATGATGAAAGTGATTTCTTTGATTTTTATGCACTTGTTGTGAGAGCTGTCTTCTAGTTGCCAAAATCAGTAGGCAGCAATTTACGTCAATGTTTACGTCCCGAATCGGGGTCACGAGATAAAACAAGAATAAAGCCTAACCTTGAGGAACTCAACAACCAATCATAGCACACTTAGCGTGGGCGGACATGATTCTCAGATATATGGTCTGACCTTCAAAGAAACGGCCACAAAGATATGATGGATTAACTTTCAACGAGAAAACAACCAATCAGAAGACGTTGCTTCTCTGCTAACAATAACGCTAATAATAATGTACATAAAAATCTATAAATATCTGTTGATTTTGTGAATAAACGATCTGTTGCCTGGCCCTTGTCTTCTGTCGTTACAATATGGAGCCAGCGGAGGCAGCTGTTTATAGTCCTCATGCATTAATTTTTACGAAATAGTTGTTATGACACATTACCTATCGTATGAGGCTGTGCATTATTATTATTATTGTTTGTTTGTTTGTTAATATTCACATGAGTATATAATGTTTATCTATGTATACTGTCTGCGTTATCTAGACTAATCGTAAACATCTGCGAAATGAGTTATTAGAAACTCCATTGGATCGATATTGTATGCCAGATGTAGAACGTGCAATTGATGAAGCTAAACGAGCCAGTGGACGTTTATTTTTAAGTGTCAAATTTGAATTTTCACGAAATTATCCAAATATTTATATGCCTGTGATATTTCAACGTCCGGTAAGTTTCAACACTCTTCGATATATATATATATATATATATATATATATATATATATATAGCATATCGACCCACTCATCCTCCACCTCAGCATTTTAAGTCTCAAACTGTCAATCTAAGATATATGGAGAAATGTTAACTTTCTAGTTAGAATCCACAATATAAGTAAAGTAGGCTGTCAGAGACCCTAAATGTAACCAACAGTTTCTACATCATTGATCGATTCTCGGAAGTTCTATAATCATCTGTTGGTCCCCTCTACTTCTCCTTCCTTTGAAATTTTCGGTTGCTTATATTTTGACTGCATATCCACAACCGTGGAGGAATTACTGCCTTCCTTCGGTGGTGCGAAACAGCGTCACTCAGTGCTACAGTCGGAGATGTTACGGCTAAGTTATTCGGTTTGCAATCTGCCTCCCAGTGTTGAGTAGTCTAGCCTACTGATCCTATACCAAACTTTACTGATAGAATTAGTAGCTCCAATGCGGAGAACTAGACAGCATGACACTGACTTCAACCTGTTGATCAATCAATATGTCTGTTACAGTCCTACAAGCGATCAGTCGTAGTCTCGATTACCTTAGTGGTAACCTCTCCAACTGCAGCGTTGAATAACATGCGTTCGAGGTGGATAGAGAACGTCTGGTGTTTTTACAACCGGCCTGCTGAAATATGCTTCTCTGCCCAGGGAAGCTGGAAAACCCTGATTTCAAACCTTTGGTGTAGATGGCCTCCAGAATCCGAATGGCTTGAATGGTGTATGAACCTCTTTTGGTCACTGAAAATCATGGGAACCTGGCTGCTGCTGATGCTGTCCCATTGCCTTATGGATCAGACTTCAAGTCAAAGGTCTACCACCTGCTTCGGCGTTGGCGTCCGGGAGTGAGTATCTCAGACGTCTGATAAAGTATTAGACTTTATGTGGTGCATCTCTTGGTGTCCATAATATGCCAAGTTTGTGTTTTAATAATCAAGAAATAACCATACTAGTGTTTTCATCAATCGTTTCTATTTCATCCCTTTTATATGTAGGTCATTCAAGAACAATCCGAGTTACGAGTTGACCGAGTACGTTTCTTTTGCTTACCCCCCTTTTTTTAAATGCTTTAATAATTCTTTTGTAGTTTTATTAGTTATTAGTCATATATCAATTACCCATAACTGAGCTGTGAGCCTCACTTATTTTGTGGGCCTAATTGTACTACCCAGTTGCCCAGTTTGAAGTGAGTAGAGCGGGACTGAAACCCGGAACTTATTGACTGAATGGTTAAGACAATGCTTTGTGGTTTTATTAAAATTAATCCTTTATGTCTTCATACAACTGAAATTGAAAAAGGTCTGTGTATCTTTGATTTGATTATCTCGGTGATGCGGGATAGATTTTTCATATGCTTTCATCGTTGTGTATTAACTAAGTTTCAGCAGAGGACTTAGCACAGAAGTGTAGCAGTTCAAGTTGCCGCACTCCATATATCATGTATCCTACAAGTGTAGACGAAAGAGAAAAAATTAGATTCAGAAGGACTATAATAAGCAGGTTGCAGACTTTCATCAACAGCCACCGACTTCGCTGGCCCCATAATAAGTATCAAATGGCCAGAAAGAATAGGCAACAAGAAACTATGGGAACAAACCAACAAGCAAGAGCCGATCGCTCAACAAATATGTAGGAGAAAGTGGAGATGGATCTGGCATACATTGAGGAGGCCGCTGAATGACATCGCACGCCGGACCTTCGAGTGGAATACCGTTGGGAAGCGACGAGTGGGTCGTCGGTGCGAGAGTGACATGGAGAAGATCGCGTGAGAAAGAGATGAGGGAGTCTGGTCAGTCGTGGACCCAACTGAAGAGGACGGCAGAAAACAGAACAATATGGAGATGTATTGTTTAAGCCAGCCCTATGTTCCACTTGGAACGCAAGGGAATAATAATAATAATGATAAGCAGAAATGTGCAGGAAAAAGCATAGTAACATAGAAAAGCATGGCGATTTAGTGGATATGAGAGAGGATAAAGAGTAAAAGCATCTGCACCATATATCCAATAGGCTCTAGCCATTGGTTCTTAGAATCCTGAGGAACCCAGCCAGGCAACCTACATTTCCTTACGTGGCTGGCTGGCTCAGACCAACTGTCAAAGATTTCATGGACTAATATTGTAGTGAGAGCTGTCTGCAAGCCAAAATTGTAGACAACAATTTACGTCAATGTTTACGTTTCGAATCGGGGTCATGAGAGAAAACAATAACAAAGCCTAACCTTGAGGAACTCAAAAACAGCCAATCGCAGCAGATTTAGCGTGGGCGGATACGATTCGCAGATATATCACCGGACTGCTAAGAAACGGGCACGAACAGATGACAGAATAACCTTTAGCAGGAAGACAACCAATCAGAAGACATCGCTTCTCTGCTAACAATAACGCTCATAATAATGTACATAAAAATCTATAAATACATTTTGATTTTGTGAATAAACGATCTGTTGCCTGACTCTTGTCTTCTGTCGTTACAGTATTACCTTTTCATTAACATATCACTGTTAACCTTCGTATTTGTTTGTTACTTAATAATGAGCACAGCTCTTGGTTGTGTGTAAGTGGTTCATGCACAGAATACTCACTAACTACACAACTACATGTGGCTCAATGTTCGACCCCGAGCCGCCACACTCCTTAACCTCACTTAGCCAGTGGTAAAGCCGGTAAAGAGGTACGGTTGGTTGTGAGTCTGGCAAGCTCACCTCATAAAAAACCACCACACTGTTACCTAAACTTCACCACTCAAGCTTGAATCCCTGAGTTCCACTCCGAACGTAAAGGATTAAAAAAAAACAACAGCTGGGTTATGCTCATTCGCATTATTTTAATTCAACATTATCATGTTGGGTGGTAGTATCCAGGTATATCCGTCATATCTGAAAATTGCCAATATCTCAAAACTGTGAGTCGAAATTAATGTCTAGGTTAACATATTAAGCTTGGAGAGCAACAATTAATCGAAACATTAACAGTATGTGTTTGCGAATATTTCAGCACTACAGTAAAAATTTAAAATCTTAGACCAGTTTTTAGTAGGTTTTTAAAAGTTCTGATTTTATTTTTTTTTTTTTGAAAAAATGTGAATAAATGACAATTCTTATTGTTTGTTGTTGTTGTTGCATAGTGGAATCCAGTTGATGAAAAGTATTTCAAGATGACACGTAATGCTCGAACAGCTGATGTGGATCGTGCTCGTAAACCTAATAAAGATACATTAGATAGACTGAAGGTTAGTTCACTCCCCTTAAAATTTCTATTATCATCATCATTGATTACTGATTCACATTTGGCAAGGCTGCCGCTTTTTGTCATGACGGAGTGCTAGATTTTTTGATGCATTATTCGAGTGCAGATTCTTGATCTAATCTGTTTGAATATATATCAGTCTTCATGGATTCATTGGAGGAACCCAACTGTGCAAATAATGCATCAACCAACACAGGAGATTTAGAAACACAAGTATATAGAAAATCAACGCACACAGATCAAATACTCAACTATACTAGCAATAATCCAATTACTCACAAACGAAACTGTGTGCAGACATTGTTCAAAAGAATTCAAACACATTGTAGCACTCCAGAGTTGAAAAGAATGGAAGAAAAATACCTACAAATGGTCTTCAAAAGGAATGGTTATCCACAAAATTTCATCAAAAAGTGTTTAAAGTCGAATCAAAACACCAACAAAGAACCATCATCAAAGACCACACGAAAATTCATTCTACCATACATGAGGAATATCTCTGAAATAACAGCTAGAATACTGAAACCGTTAGATATAGATATAGCACACAAGCCAGTCAAATCGCTTAATTCGATATTATGCAAACCGAAAGATCCAACAGAAAAAGGAGATAAAATTAATACCATTTACAAAATAAATTGTATGAACTGTAACAGGCATTACATCGGCCAAAGTGGGCGTCCCCTTCGAATTAGAATCCAAGAACACAAATCAGCCGTGAAAAGACACGATATGTATTCTTTAGTATCAATGCATATAGACAATTATGGTCATCAATTTGATCGGGATAATGTCAAAATCTTAGACAGAGGAAACACCGAAAGTGCCAGGGAATTCCTAGAAGCCTGGTACTCAAACGAAAATGCAATTAACAAGCACGTTAATATAGACGAAATATACCAACTAATAAAAAGTAAATCAGGTGACCAGAAAGTTTAAAATCCAAGTCAATAGAAAATGGTCAATACATATGTAAAGATGGTTACCGGGAGACGGACAATTATATCACTCATGAAGAAATTTAAATCATTTCACTTTATGCTAAATATTGCGCTGAAGATGTTGTCCAGAAGGACGACGAAAGCTCCGCAACCAAACCAACTAGCTCAGAGAACACTATTAATTGCAAATAATGCATCAACTGATAAATTGCTCTGTGCTTTTGTAGTTGATCGGATAATAGAATCAATAATCTCAGTATGTGGATGACTAGATGACTGCAAAGGTAATTTATTAGTAGAGAATTTTATCAACAGCTGCCTCCTTCTTTGGCTCCATACTGAGAAGATCAAATGACCAGAAAGAATAAGTAACAAGAAACTCTGGCAACAAATTAACCAGGAATCTATCGTTCAAAAAATATGTCGGAGAAAGAAAATGGACAAGGATCGTGCATACGTTGACGAGGCTGTCTAATGACATCGTGCTACAGGCCGTCGAGTGGAAACCGAAGGGTGACATGGAGAGGAGATCATACGAGGAGGGCAATTGTGGGCCCAGCTGAAGAGGACAATAGAAAATAAAATAAAGTGGAGATGTGTTGTTGAAGCCCTTTTTTCCACTCGGAACCCAAGGGAACAATAATAATAATAAGGACTTCGATCAGTTGGACTTGAAAGTCTTCGTACTGTTTCTTTTACGGTTGTAACGATAATCGGACATGCTCAAAACTCATGGACATGATTAAAACACTTCGTTGAAGATTAATATTATTAGATACAATACTGCATTATACTAGAATTTGGCTTCGTTCGTCGTCTAAATATATTAAGGCTTCACTGAGTTGGATAAAGCTGGTACTGTAGGGTTATTCTCAGTTCAGGAAACTTAAATGTGGGAAATGTCATAAATATAGTCATCAAGAAGGATTTTACAAGCCAAGCTTTGGTAGTTCACAGTCGCTCTTTAGTCGATAGCCGTGTTATCCAGCTGGCTGTCGACCGAAGGACGTGTGTACTGCTCAGCACTCCGCTCCGTCCTCCTTTATGGCTGTGAGCGAGACCTGGCCATTGAGAGTGGAAGACATGAAAAGGCTGGCTAGCTCTCTTTGATCATAGGTGCCTGCGTTCTATCTCCCGTGTCAAGTGGTATAATAGGGTGAGCAATATTGAGGTTAGGCATCAGTCGAGTGCTAGGTAAGGAGGGGAAATCAATCGACGAGGCTGTGAAGCTACATCGACTGAGATGGTTAGGACATGTGTTATGTATGCATGTCTAGCCATCGCCTTCCTCGACAACAGGCAATGTTAGCTGACATAGGGTCAGGCTGGAAAGGAGCTAGCGGTGGTCAAACCAAAACATGGCTTCACCAGTCAATGAAATCCACAACAGTTAGTTTAATCTAGCCAGCCACGTAGGTAGGTGTAGACTTCCTGACTGGTTGGGGTCCTCGGGACGGTAAAAACCAATGAAGGCCGGAGACAATCGGTGATATGGCTCAAAATCGTTTTCAGTGGCTGGTGCAGCTGCATCCACTCCTTAAGACTTATAATACCCAATCAAACTATATTGTTCTTCGTTTTTACTATTCCTTTTATCTCATATCTCTGTCTACTGTCTCTATTATGCATTTGTTCTACTTTCTTCTCTTGCTTTATGTGCTACATGGAGGGAGTGTGGTGACTTGAACTGCTGCACATTGGTGCAAAGTTCTGTGTCGAAAACAGACAGACAGACTTCCATGCTAAATTCTGTGTTGAACTCGATCAGTCAGACATGACTTATTTAGGAACTAACTAGTTCTTCTGAAGGCGATCAACTCAAAGACCAGTTTAGTTATCATTACTTGTGTCAAATCTTTATTTGACTGTCAATCAGTAAATAAAAATATCTTTTTTTTGTTGTTTTTGCCTATATCTCTATATAGCTTATCCTTGATTTACCACCAGGATTAAATATATCCGAATCAGATGGTGATCTTATCTGGAAGTATCGATTTTATTTATCTGATAAATTTCCTGAAGTGAGTGAGTCTTACTATTGTTATTGTTATTTATTGTAACGGTAAAAGACACGAGATGTGGTAAGAGAATGTTTATATTTGGAATTAGGTATCTCTTTTTATAGCGAAATTATGTACACCTTATCTGCAAATTATCATTTGCACAGATCGTCTTCTTTGTTGTGCTACTTGTGTCCGTCTTATTATGCTTCATTGTGTTCCTTTTCACGTCTCCTGTGTGTTTTGCTGCAACACTGAATCATTTGCTCTCTTTCTTTTTGACGTCAAATCTATCTCCTTGCTATTTGATATTGTTATCCCGATGAACTTCTCTTTATACATACTACTGATAAATCTTATGAGTAGCAAAAAGGCCACATTATTGCTGAATGTTTAATAACCCAAGAATGCTGTGAATAATATTGAACTACAGGAACCAATTGATATTATTGTTGAAAGTATCCTCTAAACAAGTTTCTGATGTATGTTGATTATTCTAACTAATTGAATAGCCTTCATATCAATAAGTAGTATATACTTTCATTTTTATTTATTTATTTATTATTTTATTTCTTCGCATTCCGAGTGGAGCACAGGGCTTCAAGCTTTGAGCCTTAAACTTTCAGTAGCAGAGGTTTTATTCCTTTTGTATTACGTCGTGGGGTTGTTAGTCTCATGCCCGACCTTTCCTCTATGACCGATCTTACAACTGGTTAAGGGAAGTAGGTTAGGGAGTGCGTCGGCTGGGAAACGGACCTAGGACCACGTGTGTGTTTGGCGAGTGTTGTACCACTAAACTATGGACGAAAGGTGCTATTTTTCTTGATTTCCATTTATAGTTTGTCAAGCAGATTACACATAATGATCTGAATATTTTTGGGTTTCCAAATGAAGCTATGATGAACTGTCAATTCTAATTGTGTATTATACAGACGATAAATATGGAAGTTTTCTTTCTATTCTAAAGGATGAAACTGTTTAGTGGATGTTTTTGACTGGACAGTAACTAGTGTCATGTGTCTAGTCCTTTTGTTTACTGCAGACTGAATTCTGTCAGTGGAGTTTGCAATGTGGCCCCACCATTCTAGGTGGCTCGATATCATGGTACACTTAGGACTGTTGTTATTAAATGGTTGGAGGCAATCGGCCACAGGAAGCCTTGCTTGCTCTAGGTTTCGTGCTTGTTGGCATTCGTCAACAAGGCGTGTATCTGCAACCTTAAAGGAAGTCATGTCCCTTCTGAGATTCGAACCCGTGTCACCCAGTGCTACAGTCGGAGACGTTACCACATGGTGGCCACATTGCAAACTTGACTGACTGAATTCAGTCTGCAGTAAACAAAAGGACTAGAAACACGACAGTACAGTCCTACAGGAGGTCAATCGCGAGCTCGGATAGCTCAGTGGTAACGTCTCTGACTACAGTATGGGTGGTACAGGTTCGAATCTCAGAAGGGACATAAGTTCCTTTAAGAGTGCAGATACGCCTTGATGACTGGTGAGTGCCAACTAGCACGAAACCTAGGCCCAAGGCTTGCTACCGATTGCCTCCAACCATCTAATAGTGGATGTTTGTTCACAATATGTACTACTGACTATAGTCCTTTTTTCTCATCAGAAGAACATTCATTTTTGATGAATACAATGAGGTGGAGTGTAAGAAATTTCTCTTGAATATACACTTCGTCCTATTTCTGATCTCTGAAGTCATAGACACGTGTCTCCCATCCATGTAACAAAGATGGAGTTGCATTAAGACTCAAGGAAAAACTTCAGAGTTTGTAGTCTCCTAGATACTGTACGTGTGAATCATGCACTTTAAAATAGACTCTTTCAATGTTAAAATAGAAAAGTATTAGTTTCTATAATTAGATTTTTCAGCTCATTTCATGTATTAGTCGACTATTTTCGTCGGGTTTGACATCCTAAAGAATTTTCTAAACCTAACCTTTGTACATCTCTGTTAAAAATAGCAAAAGCTTTATTCTGAACAGCATCTATATATATATATGTATATATATATATATATATTGTACAGAATTTTCGGCGAAGTCTACTGCATAATCTTTTCTATTTATTCAGTAGATCACTCCTGACACTGTCTGACCTGAAGTGTAAACCAATCCCTTATGATATTTCTTCATTTTCAAGTATTGGTTTTGTAGGGATTTTGTTTGATTGGATGAAGGATTTCATCATGAGCTGACATCAGTTAGAGAACCATTGGAAAAACAGCACTGGAGTACTGGACAGCTGTGGGAAGCCGTGACCATTAGGGTACAGCAGGTTGAAGATGAGGCAGTAACTCATCGAAGAAGACATTAGCTAGTGGTAGCGCTATGTCGTGAATTGGCAGAAGTTAGAATTCGTGGACTGGCCATTGGATCGGTTCCCAGTGGTTTATGGTTCAAGCTCGGTGGCCTTGTAACCAGAAGGTCCTGGGTTCGAACCCTCTCGATGGGTGCGTACTGATGAAGAGACCCAGGCTTTAGGACGAAACAGCTGGCTGTCCAGTACTCCCAGTTGGTTTTCCAGTGGTCCCCTAACTGATGTCAGCTCATGATGAAATCCTTCATCCATTTCTCCTTTTTCTTCGAGGTATATGTGAAACTTCGTTGAAGGCCAATTAAAAAGTGCAGACGTACGGTTTGATACCGAATGACATAACTGTGTGACTAAAGACTACAGGTAGTCAGTTCTACTATTCCACAGGAACACTTATCTCATGTAGTGGGATACCGTTGTCGCTCACGATTATACTTTTTCTCATGTTTAGTAGAAATCAGCAGTTCTTGATATGATTATGAGCAATAAATTGTGCTCATCAGTAAATATTACTGTATAACAACACAAATTTCATCCATAATGGAACTATATTCTATCACGGTTCACAAGTTCTATTCTTACAGAGATCAGCAGTTTGTAAATATGTTAAATACCCACGAGAGTAAACCATAGCATTAGAGGAAGGTCATATTTTAACAGATTAAAGCAAAGCGTACAAGAGAAATTATATGCAATATAATGTGATAAGGGTTTTTGGTAGCCCAAGTTTTAAGCAGGTTGCCTCTTCACGCACTTAAAACCTTCACACTGTGAGATCAAAATTTCCTGTGATGACGCTAGCTGGGCTGGATCTAAATGGTATTCAGTCTAATTAACGTAACATTTACTACATTGATGAAATCCATGAGGTGAAATATTGTTAACACATTGGCAGTAACTTACATCCATACAGAAAAATGACTAAGTCAGTTAAAAACTATCATAGTTTGAAAATTAAAGGTAAGAGAAACATTTCAACAAAGAAGGGAATTCACAGGTTTGATTATGAACTGACATCATTGACATAGCCATTGGAAAATTAATGAGTAGTGGACAGTTTTTCCTTCCTAGTTCAATACTCTTCAACGGTAAGCACCCACTGTGATTCAAATCCAGGAACTTCCGGCTACAATGTGAGTTTGTAGACCATTCAGTTACTGTGATCCTATCCAATGGTCCAAGAATTCCGACTTCTACAAATTCGCGATATGTCAATGACATAGGCGAGTAACTGATCCCTTACCTGACTTGGTTGAATCCGGCCTATCAGTAGAACTCTAGGTAACTTGCTGTATAGATCCCGTCTCTACTGAACACCAGCTTAATTATCTATTGTTGGTTTACAGAGATGTAAGAGTGGTTGAGACCGACAAGAATTAGAATTCAAGTTACTATATATATATATATATATATATATATATATATATCCAGCCCGAAACACGATGGATTCAGGAGAAACAAGTCATGCATCGATCGAATCGCAACACTACGGATCGTCATTGAACAGAACTTGGAATGGCAGTCAACTCTCTACCTCAACTTCATCGAATTTGAAAAGGCCTTCGATGGCGTCGGTCGAGAGGTGGTTTGGCAACTACCTCGCCACTAAGAGGTGCCACCAACAATTATACTCCTCATCCTACAGTTGAACGACAATGCTGCATGACAGGTAATCCACAACGGGAAATTCACGGAATCCTTCGAAGTGAAGACTGGAGTAAGACAAGGCTGGCTGGCTGCCTACTATCTCCAATGATTTTCCTGATTGCGGTATACTGACTGGATAGTACGACAGACAGACAGCGGGCAGCAAGGAAACAGATATAAAATGGACCCACATGAAAAAGAACTTGGAGGATCTGGACTTCGCTTGATGATATATGTCTGATTTCCCACAAACTGGAAGATATGCAAGTGAAAAGCAACGGGTTGGCAGAAGAAGCATCAAAGATAGGAGGGACTTCAGGTGAACAAAGAGAAAACAGAGGTAATGAAGATTCCTGGCCAACAGCAACAGGAACAACAACAAACAACAGACAACAATCAGCCAGCATGAGTGGGGGAAATCTGAAAGAAGTAACCTCCTTTACCTTCCTACCTGGGAAGCGTCGTTTCAAATACAGGCGGACGGAACTGACGAGGATATCAAAGCGAGGATCGGAAAAGCAAGTAAAGCTTTCACTTCTCTCAAGTCTATGTGGAGGTCAACAGCACTCAGCATGAAAAGCAAGTTGCGGATTTTCAACTCCAATGTGAAGTCAGTGCTACTTACCACACGGATCAGAGACTTGACGCCGCATCACGAAGGCCACTTCGAACAAACTACAGACCTTCATCAACACCTGTCTTCGCTCAGTACTCAAGATGAGATGGCCAGAAAAGATCAGCAACAGGGAGGGATCTCTGGGAGCGAACCAACCAGGAACCGATTGTGGAACAAATAAGCAGGAAGAAATGGAGGTGGATTGGCCATACTCTGAGAAAACAAACCATCAAGTGACATCACACGCCAGGCCATTGCTCGAGTGGAACCTGAATGGGAAGCGGCGAGTTGGTCGTCAGTGCGAGGGTGACATGTAGGAGGAGGTCATGTGAAGAGGAGATGAAAGCATGTGGGCAGACGTGGAGACAGGTGAAAACGTTGGTAGAGAAGGGAATGCAATGGAGACGTGTGGCTGAAACCCTATGTTCCTCTAGGAGATAAAGGTAACACTAATAACAATATATATATATATATATATATATATATTGGTGACTGTTATTTCTACCTACACGTGTCTTCTTCTCCTCTTTTCTTTTTCGTCCTACTACAGACATCTTTAGCCAAATTTATTCTGTCTGTACGTTGGGAGTATCCAGAACAAGTGAATCAAGCTGTTGAATTGCTAAGACAATGGCCTACAATAGCACCTGAACATGTTCTTGAACTGTTTACACGTCAATTTCTTCATCCAGCTGGCCGAAGATTTGCTGTGCATCGGTTAGAAGCTGCTAGTGATGAAGTAAGTGAAATTTTATTTGGTGCTTCTCTAACTGGCGTCAGTTTTTCATTTAACTTGAGATCAGTCAATCAATCCCAACACCTATCCCCTCCCTCCCCCCCCCACGAATCAGAGCTTGAAGATCTAATGTTTTGGTTTAATTTCAAATTATTGGATCACATTGGCCAAAAGGCAAGAGGGAAAAAAATGTGCATATTTTATTTCGTAGCTTCTCCTCAGCTGCACACAGCCTGTCTAAATTATACATAGTATTAACATAATGAAAACATACATTTTGCTTCATTCTATCGGCAGAAGTTTGTCATGAAGATAGTGGTTTAGGGAAATAGAAATAGGTGAACTCTGATGACATAATCAGTTACAAATAACAGAGAATATTCAAGAAGTTTTGTTAGTTGTCCCAAAAACAAGAACGCCAGTGGACTAGCACAGTACAGAGATAAAAAAGGATTACGTAATACTATGCGAGTAAGCATTTGGAAATGATTAGAAGTCAGTTATGAGAGTTAAGTTCAGTGGGCCGCAGAAACCCATTGTACCAATAATAATGAGAAAGGTTAAATAGTCGAAAAACAGAACACATAATTATGTAACAAGTGGAGAAACTGTTACCATGGTAAACTAAAATTAATCACTGTTTCTTTCCGTATACAGAAGTTTGGTTTCAGTTGCTTGGTGATAGAAATAGATTCAGCTAATCGAAGTAAAGCTGGATTTTTTTGTTCGTTAATAATGATGAAAGCCTGTTTTGTGAATGTCTACTTTGTGTTCTGATTCGATTAGTTGTCGGCTGGTAAGGGAATGTAGATTTTTGAGTCTCAGGCTTTTTGAAGCGTGTTCGGAGAGGCAAATAGATGGCCATCTTTCTGTCCTTCCAATGTACTTGCTTTGGTGCGCACATGTGAATTTGTGAGGGCAGTTGGAAGTGATCTCAGGTGGTGGGCGGTACCTGTCCACTTTGTGATTGATAAAGTACACGACTACTTCTGTAAACAGGAACAAGTTTAGCTGCCGGATAAATTGTAGCAGGGGCAACCGTTCGTCACTTGTTTCTAAGGTGTGCGATACGTTATCTCCCTATGAATCTGATCACACATTTTTCCTGTCGTTTGAATTTATATGAAAAAAATGGAAGGCTAATTAAAATAAACAAGTATGGTAAGAGATGTAAGAATATAAAGCATAATAATTAGCCCTAACTTTGGTAATTTTTTTCACTCCTTCATGTTCCCAGTGGAACGTAGGGCTTCAAGCTAGAGGCTTGAAGTTTCTGTAGCAGTGGTGATTATTTTTACAAGGTGGGTTTGCTAGCCTCATGCCCAACCTTCCCTCTTTACCAGTCTTACTACTGGCTTAGTGAGGTAAAGCAGTGCGTCGGTGGCCGGGGATCGAACCCCAGACCATGTGCATGGTCGGCGAGCGTCCTAACCGCTATGCCGCCGACGCACAACACCAGCTTGGAGTACTGAACAGATGTTTCGTCCCAGTTTTGGACTCTTCAGCGGATGTATTGTTCCTCTACGGGATGGAGAGCTAACTACACGCCCAAACTTCCCCTCTTTAATGAGTTTACTACCGCCCTGGGGGAGTGAGGGTTAGAAGTGTGTCCGCCAGGATCACATGGGGCGTAGTTGCTGAGTTTTCTGTCATCGGAACACTGATGTACTAAGTGTTTTAAATTTTTAAAAGTATTTACTTTTTAAAATTTTTTTTCTAAATGATTTACTCTAGGAACTTATTCTCTACTTATATCAACTTGTTCAAGCTTTACGCTATGAGAATTGGCATGATATATTTTCAGTACAACCTGAAGAAAGCAGTCAATCAAGAAGGTCTAATACTTCATCGAATGTAACAAAAGATGCTAATGTCGACGAAGTAATAAAATCATCAGATGTCAAGTTGACTCGTAGAAAGTCATCTACGTCATCATTATCTTCATCGTTTCGTCGACGTGCTGGGAGTGGAGTCGCTGATACATCGAAATCAACAATATCAACAGCACAAAATGCTGAACGGAATCGTGAAGAATTAACTGGATGGCATTCGGATTTGAAAAATGATTGGAAGGTATAAAGTGAATATATATATAATATTTATGATCATTTTTTGCGTCATTCACACACGTTTTAAGTTTGGTAGAGTTATTTAACAAGTATGTCCGTGCTGATGCACTGGGTAATAGCCCACATCAGTTGTGTAATGTGTATGATTTACATAAACGTGAAGGATAAGCTGCTACTGCTGGCTTTATCAATGTGTATCTATCAGTTCACCTGCTGCTCTTGTGTGTAGCTAGGTATTTCGGCCGTACTCAGCGCTTGCTATCCATACGTATCACTAAACCCTTTCTCTGATGGTTTTCTAAAGGAGAAGATAGATCCCCTGCATTTTCCTTGTGGAACATCTGATCCAGTCTGGGTACCAACCTAACTCACAAACCCACTTCAAAGTTATCTGCAGATTACGCGGTAATTTCGTCAAAGCAATATGAATCAAACTTCTTCAAACCTCAGAAGCAATGGTAATTCACATGTTAAAACCTGAACTCTTCATACTTGGGGGGGGGGAGTTTGTTCAGTTACAGAACCTACAATAGACCTGATCTGTTCTAACATCTGATACGTAATTTTTTGTTATTATCACTGTTCCTAATTTGACGCTCACTCGAATTCAGTTGAGTTGCCAGCGAGTGTCAACTAGCACGAAACCTAGGTCCAAGGCTTCCTGCTGATTGCCTCCAACTATCTAATATCATCAAATCAATGTGCACCGTGATGGCGAGCTACCTAGAATGGTGGCCCCATTGGAAACCTGACTGATAGAATTCAGTCTGCACCAAAGAAAGGACTACACACGTCACACTAGTTACTAGTGTCCAGTCTGCTAACTCGTTAATTATATTACGTCATTCAATTTTAATTTTATTTCAGTTTCTACCCGATTAACGCTTTCTGTGTTGCCTCGTTCGTGCAACGGTAGAATGCTCGCCAATCACGTATAAGGTCCGGGGTTTTATCCTCGGCCGACGCACTCTTAATCCTCGCCTAGCCGGTAACAGATCTAGTAAAGAGGGTAGGTTGGCCGTGAGGCTAGCAACCCCACCCCGTAAAAATAAATTCACTGCTACAGAGACTTCAAAGCACTATCTTGAAGCCCTATGTTCTACTGGGAACGTGAAGGAATAATAAAAATATCTAGTGACACATCCTTAGAAACATTCCTTTTGTTGCGGAGATTTTATATATATATATATATATATGCAATTGTACAGTTTGAGAGTTATGTCTCCGGAAAGAGTAACTCCTCACGGGACGCCTTTTCTTTTATTGTGTAATAGCTGAGTGCACTACACATGGCTGCCTGAACTTCAGGGCATTGTTCAACACCCATTGCCCACTTGTTGCAGGTTGAGTGTTTAGCTCAGTGAGCCATGGGCTGTTTAGGAAAATTCAAGACCAGAGACTAAAACCCCGCTAGAACATAGTATGTCTTTCTTATTTAGCTGATATTTTATGAAAAATACCCATCAGGATACTAGAGAGAAAAACGAAAAAGAAACCCAGCAAAGATGTCTTTCCGGCGATCTCAACCTCAAAAGCAACCATACATCAGTTTACGTACAGTTATTGTTTAATTTCACATAGTATCGAAGGAGATAGTAATTTTCAACTTTATCTGAAAGTTTGAAGGTATGAATATACATTACAATGGGTTAGAAAGAATACGACACAGGATTAGAAAATAGTTGCGTTAATATGTGAAATTGTCCTTAACGAAGACAGATGTGAATTGGACGTGCATAGAAACAAACTGAGAGAATAGTTTTTATAAGTGAAGATGAAAACAGCAAACGGAAACTAAGATGTCAAAGAAAACTAGATCCGTGGTAAATGTAAAGGTTAGTGTAGTTTCTCCTGAGCACATAGCTCCGGCTTTCCGATGTATACGCCGAGGGCTTCTGCAGTACAAACGTCTGAAAACACTCTTTGGTAGACTTTTATTAACTTTGTGAAGTGACTATGAATGATGGGTGAGTGAGTTGTGATTCTGTGATATATGTTGAAGAGATGTTCAATGATAACGCTTCTGATTAGACCAGTGTCGCCTCTTTTCAGCCATGCTGCATAGTGTTCTCTGAAAAGTCCCGAAAGGACTCACACACAACAGCGTGTGTATGCATGTGAAATGATGTGTGCACATTGGAGTGGTTCTATGCGGCAGTTCGTTCTTCACATTGGTTAGAAGCATTGGTGAGTGGGGTGGGGTTGGGGCTAGAGTTGCTGCAGGAAACGTCTTCTTTAGGGAACTAGAGATTTTCTTTCTTAGGAACTCTGAAGATAAGTCCCTCCTGAAGTCCAGGTTCATTTATAGTGTTTTTCTTCTTTTGAGGATGAAATTGCCGAAACGGTATCTTTGCTGAGCTTCTTATATCTGCACAGAAATCATGAATAAAGTGCTTTTGCATCGACATCGTGTGACTGAAAGTAGTCAGGTGGAAGTAATAGTAAAGTTCAAGCCTGATAATATAACTCTGAAGTAGACAAGAGTAAACATTGGTTACTATCCTGCCATCAAGATGGTCGATTGTGATTCTAATAGATCAATAGTTCAATATATATCCTAGGAAAGTATTGTACCTAATCATGTATTTTCAGATATTGGTTTGTAGGGAATTTTGTTTGATTAGTTGGAGGATTTCATCATGATCTGACATCAGTTAGAGGACTATTGGAAGACCTGGGAGTACTGGACAGCCGTTTCGTCGACCTAGTTTGGGACACTTCATCAGTACACTCACTTGCGGCTGCCTCTATTCAGGCAGTTACCTGGAGTTCTAGTGGGAAGCTATGACCAGTAGGGTGCAGCAGGTTGAAGATGAGGCAGTAACAACTCATCGAAGAAGACATTAGCTAGTGGTAGCGCTATGTCATGAATTGGCAGAAGTTAGAATTCATCGGCTACTCACTGAATTGGGTCCCAGTGGCTTAATGGTCTACAAGCTCAGTGGCCTTGTAACCAGAAGGTCCTGGGTTCGAACCCTGTCGGTGGGTGCGTACTGCTGAATAAGAGTTCCAAGCACTAGGACGAAACAGCTGGCTGTCCAGTACTGTCCAGTTGGTTTTCCAATGGTTCTCGAACCGATGTCAGCTCATGATGAAATCCTCTAACTAATCATGTATTGTCCACATGAATATTGAACTGTTGCATAATTTAAAGATAGTGGGTAAGCAACATCAGTTAGAAAATAATTGGAAGACTAGGGAGTACTATACAGCTACTTCATCTCGGTTTGAGACTCTCCATGAGTATGCACCAATGCCCCTTCAGGTATTGAACTGATGTCACCTAGTGATCAAACCTGTAACTAATCGAACCCCTGCAAAGCAATACTTAGGAATTATTCTAATGCTTGCTAGCTACTGGTTCCATACGGGAATTTACCTGGAGTTCCAGTGAGAAGTTGTAAGCAGTGGGGTGGGTCCACCAAGTCTGGCAAGGGGATAGTTACTTGCCCATGACATTGACTGGTGGTCACGCTATTACTGACATATTAATGACATATTTGCGTATTGATACTTCTGTAATAATGTTATTGATTTTTGTATTCTTTCTGCATTTATAATTGATTGGATGCATTGATCTTTTTAAACATTGTTTATATTTTGCTTCACTCAGGAAGATTTAGCCAGTTTTCTTATACGACGTGCTCAATTAAATTTTCGTATTGCAAATTATCTTTACTGGTTTTTACGACTGGAAGCAAATAACGGGAGTAGTGAGGCAGACGGTGATGGTGATGATGCTGGTGGGGGTTTTGGTGGTAGCGGAGGCGGCGGCGGTGGTGGTGGCAGCGGTGGTAGTCGAGCAGATGTGTTGAATTCACCAGATACACAGAAAATGTATAAACATGTATTAAATAGACTTCTACATGCTTTTGATGCTGTAAGTGCTTGTTATCATTATTATATCTGTAAACTAACTTGTCTCGACATCATTCCTATGCGTTTGTGGGCATTTCTCGGTGTCTGTTGTGCTGCATATTGTGGCCAGATTAAATGACCTCAAAGTTAGTCTGCTAGACGTAAATTTTACACTGTGTGCTTATGAAAAAGCGTGTAGACGGTTATTACTTCTCAGCTGCCCACACTATAGGAGTTAATTTCTTCTTCTTGGGGTATCTGAAACAGAAGAAGCATTAATGTGTTGCGTAACCGCAAACCACCCAGTGGAAAACTACTTGAGGCCGGTCACACCTGCTTGAAGTGATTTTTCGAGTAACATCCGTATTAAGATCTCAGTACCAGCTATGGATCGCCGTGTAAGGTAAGTTAGTACTTACAATTTTTGGAGTTGGCCCCCCACTCTCCAATTCAGGGTGGGGATAGCATAATCGGCATGCTGGTCATCCCTGTTCGCTAGCAGTACAACTTCGCCTGCAGATCGACCTACCAACATAGTGTAACTGCTTTTGGTCTAACCTCTATCCAGGCCACCTTTCTGACATGGTAGAACCTACATGAACATTAGTCCTAGTCAATTTCCTTGAGAAATAGAAGTTTAATTGTGCACCAAGTGATCTTATATCATATGGACTTCAAACCCGTCAGATATTACTTCAAGAGTACAAGTATTCAACCAGTAGGTTCCAGATTTTATTAATTTCTGTTCATTCACAGAATAGTACGATTACAACACTGACTAACCCTAAATCGATTTCAATCCAGAATAAAACTTACTTACTTACTTACTATTAAATCAGTCAATGTTCTCTCGATTATCAAAAGTGAATCTATTGAAGTATATACCGAGTTGAAAGCCTTCAGCAGTATCCCATCAACTATCCATAACCCATTGAATAAGTGCAAATAATTCTACTACACTCAAGTTTGATCACGGATTGATATCAGTTAGAGAACCATTGGAAACCAACAGGCAGTACTGGACAGCAGCTATCTTATCCTACTTTGGGACTCTTCCCCCAATATACACCTGCTGGGTGGGATTCGAACCAAGGGTCTTCCGATCTCAAGGCAAGCTCTTAGGCTATTCAACCACTGGAACGTGATCCCATTGCCTATGAATTCCAACTTCTATCAATTCGTGAATGTAGCTCGACTACCAGCCGATATCCTCACGCCAGACCTGGTGGACTCACTGGCCATGACTTCTCAATAGAAGAACTCCAGGCAACTTCGTCATGTAGCTATTCACTGGTGAATATCAGAGTCTGACACTACGACAAAACAACTGTCCAGTACTCCCTGATTTTCAATGTTATAAATATACATATATATACTGTTGTAATTTAGCTACAATCAACTAGTTTTTAATGTTTGTTTTCATCATTTTTTCTCTTTCTCTTCTGATTATTTATTAAGAGTGGTCCTACCTGTCAAAAATGGAATGTTGAATTATTACAGCAAACACAATTCATCCAGGATTTATGCCGATTATTAAAATCTGTTACCAATGATCTGGGTAATCGTTCACGTAAAGTAATTCAAATTAACATTAATTAACGTATCAGCATGTATTTTTCATTGATAATTGATTTCATTACTTATACTACCAAGTTTCTGTGTAGAGCTCGGTAATTAGGTCGGGGTTCAAAGTTATCATCCGACTGATTGAAGGTCCAGTGTCTACAATAATGAATTACAGTTCTCTAAGACCAAACGTCTTTTCTTAAGAGGCGTTTTTTTTAGTGAAGCAATGTAAATATTAAAAGCTGCTAGATAGAAAACCACTAGTTATCATTTATGCATTTTATGTAGACCAGTTTGCTTGTTCAGTCAGGGCTTGGGGTGGAATCAGCAACGCACCATTCGTCCTATATTTGAAACTCATCATCTCAGTGTACCAGTATCTAAGTTAGTGATTGTGTTCCTAGTGAAACTTGAACCCCCAGCACCTAGCCCTGGAAACAACAAAGCTTTTTCCACTTGGCTACTGAGCCACGAAAGCCACTTTGTTATTCTATGATCTGAAGTGTCAAAGCAACGATAATGAGTTCGAATTCTCCCTTCCGTTGATGAATTTCGGATGGACAGGTATTTTACAATCAGTATGACTTATTGATTGCTTTGTGCATAACCCTATTCATGCCAACTGAATTATTGCATTATTATACATCGTTTTTTTTATGTAGAATTAGGTCCCTCTGTGAGGCGAAAACAACAAACATTGTTGAATAAATAGGCCCTGTCTCGCCTCATTTCATTTCGTATACTCTAAATCTTCTACTTATGCACCAGTTTCTAAATTTGTGTACTTTGTAGTTTAAGATGTCAGTGTTAATATACGCAAATAATTTTATAATATAGTTGGTAAATTCTTCACTAAATAAATCTTTTCACATTTCTATATTAGCAACAAAATAACAAAGTTCATGCACATTAGTGACTGACAACATGATGGACATCTTGGCGTCATAATAAGAAGTTGTGACTGGGAGGATCCAACAAGTCAAGTGTAAGGACGCAGAACAGTTTATGTTATCTGATATAAAAGATAAGTGTAGTAGTGCTACCAGTTGCACCAAAATTTGATGTGACAGACACTAGTAGTTCTGTGACTTAGGTTTGATACGGTAAGGTAATCAGTAACCCACCTGAAAACTGAATGTCCAACACTGATCACCGATTACTCCTAACCCATCAGATCTTGCACAACAAAAGTGAGAAGACGGACCGGTCTGAGCTAGTGAGAACAATCGATCTGATTATATCTAAGTATTACCGACCTGGAAAAGTTATGCCAGTAAAATAACTAATTTGACTGGTTGTATAAGATCAGATTTCAAGGTTATCAGGCCACGTAATAATAATAATAAATCTGTCTCAGCCTAGTGATTTAATTTGTCGATTCTGGTTTGAGCCGGTCGTAGCCGTTGCAGTTTGCAAAATGTATTTATTTCAAGATTAAGTAAAACTTGGGGCATGGTAACTGTGCTACATTGCGAATTAATAGTAGTTAGAACTCATAATCCATCATATTCTGACCCACTATTGTTAGAACTCAGTTGTCCGGAGCAGATTTCTCATGCAGCTGATCATGTGTCATAATTATTTTGCATTGGTTGATGACACTAACCAGTTGGTTGCCAAGGCCTGGGCGAGATTTGAACCTGGAACCCACTAACTGATAGCCGAGTGCTTAAGACAATGAACCACATCTCAACATTCTGATTGTTTACTGGATGTCTGATTGGAAGGTTTATTATTTGACCTCTGGTTAGGTCATTGCCACTCCTTAGTTTCCAGTACTTCTCGTGTTCGTCAAATCTCCACAAACTCTACACTCAGAGAAAATAACTCCATTACTGATATTTCCTTAATTTCATGTTTTTATGTTCCCTTTATTTGCATAGATTGAATTGCTAAGACTGAAGTTAGAAAGTGAAGAGTATGCACATTTAAGACAGATTGACAAACCTTTCCCATTCCCATTAAATCCTGATATTATTATCTGTGGGATACAATCATCAACAGCTACATTATTCAAGGTTAGTTAGTTAGTTTGTTTGTTTGTTTGTTTATTGCTACTTACCCCAAAAATTGATTGTATTATTTTATAATGAAAGCGGAAAGTAAATAGACAGAGCATTATTAATGCAGTAGTCGATGATTGAAGGTGAGTTGGAAATCTGGGTTGCGTCAGCATTTAAATCACCAGTCCCTTGATTACTGACCCGACGCTCTACCAGCTGAGCATCACGGTTCAGTTGTCAACTACGTCATCTTTGCACTGCTATCATTATGGCTAGAACACCGGGACAATCATATGGATGTCATATCCCAGATTTTCATTTAACTAGTAAGACATCTGGGCACTAGCTATCCAAAAGCTCAAACCTACGCTTTGTATCCAAAAGAAATACGTCCAACCCTTGTCCCTGCCATGGCCATCATAAACATGTAATTCTTTTAGTAATGACCATCCCATTGCCTTTCTTATCCAAACATGCTGTTTATTCGTGTTATTTTTAAGTTTTCTTAATCCCCATCTACACTACCGTATTTTCATATCCCAACTTCTTGTCCATTTTGTTATTTTATTATTTCTACATATTTAATCCATGATTGCGTAAACAATTATTCGTCACATTAGTTATGATCCCACTAGATTTTTTATCCACACATCCTGTCTATTTTTGTTATTTCTGCATTTCTAACCCCTAATTGCACAACATGTCAATCTTCTCAGTAATTATGATGCTATGGCATTTTAATTCCTAATTGTAATTTTATTAATTTTACCCTTAACCGGAAATTATTCTGCAACTTCCTCATCCATTTCTTATAAATACACGAATGTACAGCTTAAATGATGACTTTGTCGAAAAGAAAATTTTCTTCACTGCAACCGTCTTTTTAACAATTCCTATGATCCAATGTGTATATTCCGTAATCATCACTTATGAAGTCAGTAGTGGAGCACCAATATTAGGGTAATCCAGATAGTTTCACTATTAGAAAGAGCATTATTAATTTAACGGTATCGTTTTCTTTCTGTCTTAGATAAAAAGTTTTGAAACAAATTACATATCGCCTAGTTATGAATTATTCAGTATTTAATGGACGATGCTTTTCATTGAATATAAAACAGATACTTTATTCTATGCATGATCACCATGTCGCCTTCGGACCCATATCCAACTCGTCGTTTCCCTTTTCAGGTTCCACACGATGGTGTTGCGCGCGATGTCACCCAACTGTCCTTTCATTGTGTGTCTGATTCACCTTCATTTCCTTTGGCATATTTGTTGGGCTATATGTTATTGGCTGATTGGTTGGTTGGTTGTTCAGTGCAGAGTTCCCTATTCGTAATCCTTTTTGGCCATTTGATCTTCATTGGCGAACAAAGTCTGATGTCTGTTTGATAATGCTTTTAGTGATACGCCAAGTCTTTGAACCATGCATTTAGCAGAAGTGAGTGACTTGAAAGTAGTGTCGGAAATCCCAATCTTTAAAAACTTCATGCAATTCTCCGCATTAATATACTTGAACAAAGCAAGAACAACAATTGTACCAGGATTATATGAGCTCATTTTTTATTATTTCGAGGATTCTTCTCAACTGGTTACAACCTGAACGATAAAAACATATTAATCACATTAAGGATTTGAACACACTTTTTCACGATCGCAAAGAGTAATTGATAGGAAGTAAAAGTAACATTAGTCCGGAATGATTTAACTAATTAAGAGTTACAAACACTGACTATTTATAGAATAATTAGACAAATTACGCTTGGAAACATAAACAGAGTTGCATATATATGTGTGTGTATAGAAACAAGGTTTAGCTAGGAACAGCATAACAAAAAAGTAGATTACGTAAGTAAAGAAAATATTTTATCTAATAGCCAATAAAAGAAAGAAAAGAACAAGGTAGGGTGAGTCACGTTTAGATGAGAGAGTAGAATTTTCTAAACAAGAAAAAGGTTGACTCATAAAATTTGTATATTTTGTTATCACCAGGGCAGTGCAAGATTCACCACTGTCTCTTTCTACGTACATAGATTTGGTTTAAGTCGTTTGATAGCAATTGCTTCAGCAAAGCGTAGCAAGCTAGGTTTCTTTTGCTTGTTGATTATTTTGAACGACTTCAGGTTGTCTACAATATGACCAGTGTCCAATAGATGACGCGCAATCGCAATGTTTAATGCTTGCGGACCTTTCAGTCTCAGGTTCTTTGGTATGTGTTCAGAAATGTGGACAATAACCCTTCTCTCTGTTCTTCCAATGTATGTGCTTTGGCACGTACAGAATCCCAATTTTGTTCTCTATTCTGATTCCAGCAGATTTTCACACTGACCCAAAAGTAGTTGAATGTGTCTGTCTTGCTTTTTTCGATCCTGCTGGTTTTAGCGTACTCATCTTCTGTGCCGTCCGTAGTTGAAACGTGGCCGCTTAGATGAGGTAGTTGAAAGAAGCGACTTGAATATTATCCTGTTGTCAGTGATTGTTGCTTGCTTTTGGTGGTTGTAGGGTGTCTTCATCGCTTTTGTCTTCTCTATGTTCACTTGAAGTCGTGTCTTCGCTGTTGCTCCCAGCAACTCTTTGGTTTTCATCTTTAGATCGTCGAGTTTATGTGATATTTGACATCAATCGTTCGCGAAGCCCAGATCTTCTAGAGTGTTATCTGTCTAACGTATTTCTCTATTTGCAATTAGTAGTGTTTTCTGAGCTCGCTGGTTTAGTTGCGAAGCTTTCGTCGTCCTTCTGGATAACATCTTCAGGGCGAATTTTAGCATACAGTGGACGGATTTAAATTTTCCATGAGTGATAGAATTGCGTCTCCCAGTAACCATCTTTACATCTGAATTGATCGTTTCTTACTGACTCGGGTTTAAAACTTTATCGTCAAATGATGCACTTTCTATTAGTTGGTTGGTATATTTGTTCTGTATTAACATGTTTGTTAATCACTGGCTGATTCGTTTGAGTACCAGGCTTCTAGGAATTACCTGACTACACTTCCGATGTTTCCTCTGTCTAAAATTTCGACATTATCCCAATCATCAAATTTATGTCCATAATTATCTGTATGCATTGATATGAAAGAAAACAGATCATGTCTATTTACAGCTCATTTGTGTTCATGGATTATGATTCTCTATTCTTGCTTCCACCGTCTACTGTATGGTCGAGTTCACCACAATCAGAAATATCATTGTTTATAGTAGGTAGCCTTGTCTTCCTCCTGTCTTCACTTCAAAGGCTTCTCTGAGTTTTTGGTTGTAAATCACTTGATATGTGACATTGTCATATAGCTGTTGAATGGAGTTGATAAAGACTTGAGGCATTCCATAGCGACTCAACATTACAATGCACTTTCTTTTTGTGGCCTGAAGCTAAGCGTCGTACTTATTGGCAATAGCCAGCAAAGTATGTTTGTAACCTCAGATATCGGAATGTTTTTCACTCAGTTGTATAGTTAGATTTGTTTGCGCTTTACTATTTTAGTAGAACAGCCTGATATTTCTGTATGGTGTTGCAAGTTGCTATGCTCCATGTGTTCACATGATCTGAAAATAATAACAGTAAAGGATAAAGTCTAGACATATTTTGACTATCACAATCAATTCTAAGCCATTAGACGTCAACTTCAGTTCCAAGTTGGTTAATGTATTACAGTCGAATAGCTCTCTTGTTTTACAGTCGAATAATTAATTATCAAGTATTGGTTTTGTGGGGATTTTGTTCGATTGCTCGGAGGATTTCATTATTAGCTGACATCAGTTAAAGAACCATTGGAAAACCGACCACGAAACCAATACTTGAAAATTAATCTGGTGCTTACTAGCGACTGGCTCTATTCAGTCAGTTACCTGGGATTCTAATGGGAAGCCGTGACCAGTAGGGTGCAGCAGGTTAAAGGTGAGGCATTATCTCATTGAATGAAGACATTTCGAAGTGGTCGTGCCATGTTATGAATTGGCAGAAGTTAGAATTCATGCGCTAGCCATTGAATCAGGTCGGGTCCCAGTGGCTTGATGGTCTACAAGCTCGATGGCCTTGTAACCAGAAGGTCCTGGGTTTGAACCTTGTCGGTGGGTGCGTACTGCTGAATAAGAGTTCCAAGCACTAGGACGAAACAGCTGTTCAGTATTGTCCAGTTGGTTTTCCAATGAATCTCGAACTGATATCAGCTCATGATGAAATCCCCTAACTAGTAATCAATTACTCTGTTGTTCAATACTGCAGTTTAGAGTATCCGCCATTCAATTTCTCTTATGACGGAATGGTATCGGGTGGTTGTGGGTTTGTCAAACTTGACTAGATTGCTTACCTTCCGCACTCCCTTAAGGACATGATATTGTAATCAAACCGATCACTGAAAATAATCTCCTTTACTGAGGTAAACACAAAAGTTAGACTGGAAAAACGATGAACTTTATTAGAGACAAAATACATGGTATATTATATTTACTTGACCCTCAGAAACTAATCAATACTGTCCAATCAGGTTATAATGCCTGTAGATGCACAAATCGCGACGGCTACGGCTAAAAAAGAAGCTTGTCAGTTCTACGTATTTCTTATCTGTCTTATTTCAATTTTAATAGGTGAAGTTTTAATTCTCTAGTGTAGTTTGTTACCGTGTTTCACATAAGTCTTGATAATATCCCCTAATGATAAACATAGGATTTTCTAAGAAGTAATGTCTCACGTCTGACACAAGAACACTAAACATTAAACCAAGAACTACTAAAGCTGAGAATAGCTTTTTGTGTATTGTTGTTACCGCGTGAATAAGTCAACAGGAGAATTCTTGTTTTCTATACACTTTGTATTGTTTATTTTAATTTTATTCCTTTACGCTCCCAGTGAAACATAGAGCTTCAAGCTAGAAGTTTCCGTAGCAGTGGTGTTTATTTCTACGGAATGGGGTTGCTAGCCTCCTCATGCCCAATCATCACTCTTTTACCAGTCTCATCACTGGCTCAGCAAGGTAAAGGGGTGCGTCTGTGGCACGGTATCGAACCCCGAACCACATGCGTAGTCGGTGAGCATTCTACCTCTGTGCCATCGACTCACTCTATACATTTAGAAATGTCCAATTTGTTACTTCATCGACATTAATCAAGGGATCACCAAGCGTTGAAAACTCTTTCATCCCTACAACATTTAACAATGCTAGTATTGTAGGTAATGATAATTTATCACAAATATCCAAATTATTGTATCATTAGACAACTTTTCATTTGACAAAATGAATATAGTAAATATTGATTTTTATTACCACATTTTTTTTTCTTTTCTAAATAGAGTTTTCAAAAACCTGCATTACTGACATTCATTCAACCGAATGGTGATACTTATCGTGCAATTTTAAAGCATGGTGATGATTTACGCCAAGATCAATTAGTTTTACAAATGATTGAATTAATGGATGTAGTAAGTGTGTTGCTGTTTATAGTTTATTCTAAATGGTTTATATTGAAATGTGTAATTATTGCATTTCACTCATGTTTACTCTTGTGCACACTGTTGACTGAACTCATCTTTTCACTGATTCATCTGTTCAACTATCCTCCTCTCCTCTGTTAGCTCCCACTCTTTATCTTGACTCTTCTTCCTTCCTAAAACGGCTCTACAACTTCCCTTTAACGTTACATTCAGGAAGTTGCAATGTATGCAGGTTTCTCTGGTGATGCTATATAATGTCTACGACTTTCCCCTGATGGCTGCAGTGTAGCTGTCTCTTGTGGGTTTGTCCTTCAGTTTTTGGGTGTTGCATTTGAACCCTAGCCTATCTCCGGTTGTTTTGAAGGCTTTAATCTTGACTTTGAAGATTCCTTGCTCTAGATAATGATCTGGGCCTACATCTCTTTTCTCTAGCAGGCTCTCTGTGTCTCCACCTTTTTGAGCAATTGTGAAATGAAGTCTGTCTAATTTTTGGTGTGTCCATCTGGGGGAAATTAGTGTCGCCTTGTGCATATTCTTGTGCTTGTACATGCTACCTACAATTACCAAATGGCTTAAGGAGCAAAAGTCTGTGAAGGGTTTTCTCTTATGATTCATATTTTACCACCCACCCTGGTGGTGGGTGCGTACTGCTGAATATGAGTCCCAAACTGGTGTGACGAAACAGATGCCCATTACTCCCAGTTGGTATTCCAATGGCTCTCTAACTGATGTCAGCTCATGATGAAATCTTCATATTTGATTATAATAATAACCACAGACGTTTTAATTGCATTTTTTCAATTGTTATTATTTTAAGTATTCATACCTTTATTTCATTCATTTCGAACTTTCCCGTATTTTGATGGGACCGAAGTGCTTGGCCACTGTTGACGTGTCGGTTCCTTGTGTGGATGCTTCGACGATGTCTGATGATGCAACCTGAAGTAATTCGGTGGATGGTGTGACTAGCAGTGAAATCCAGCAGAGAACGCATATTTCATCCTATTTTGAACTTGTCAGTTGGATGTAAAAGTGATGGCTATCGTGGCCATCAAGTAGTCTAGGAGATAACGCTTTAGAGTTTGAAACTATGAGTACTGACTTCGAGCCTCAGTGGAAACACTATCACTCACTCACTAGGGGATGCAGGCACATCCTGCTGACGAGTCCCAAATTGGACGAAGTGCACGAAGTGTCCTAGATTCCATTGCTGGTCAGCATCCACCAAAATTATTTACATATTTTCTTCAACTTCCTCAAGGGATATAGTTTCTTTAGAAAAAAAGTGTGCAAATAACAATTTTAATCCTATTCATAAAACATTTAACTTTATAGCTGTTTGTAGTATTCATGTGTTGTTGCACATTGTATTTTCTTATTATTCTTATAGATTCTTCGAAAAGAGAATTTCGATCTTAGACTTACACCTTATAAAGTTTTGGTTACAGGTTCTCGTCATGGTAAGTTTTATTTTGTATTTTCGTATTTTCTTTTGTTTTCTCTATTTGTTCATCATCCTAATGACTTATCGAATGGGATACCGCGTACTTTAAACAGGTGAACGAAAATATCCACTCAGATTTCGCGTTTTGTAGCGATCTATAAAACACAAACTAATTGAGCAAAGAATATTTTCGATAATTTCGTCTTCTGGTTCTACTATTATTATGTATATGTGTATTTATATACATAGAATATTCTAGAATAGTAGTCAATAACAATATTAGTGTTTTTTAAATAATATCGATTTGTTAGGGAAGATCAATGGAATTACCACAGTTCATTAGAGATGCTTAAGTTATAGTAATAATAAAGATATAGTAACAAATAGAATATCAACTAAAATTAGAGAAATTTCCACAAAAATTCAGGATCATTCAAACCTAGATGGCCAAGGTAAGGATAATGTCTGAACTGACTTCTTTTGGACGCATAAATTAGGCTTCTTGATGTGAATCCCAACAGCCTCAGCAATATTTAGTAATCGAACTCTTAAGGCGAAGTTAAGATTTGTTGGTATGCGGTAAATGACTCTGAAAGAGGCCTCGTTAACATCAATCTTGTGTTCTGTATCTACAAGATGAGATAGAATAGCGCTACGAATAGATTTTGTTTGTCCTTTACTTAACCACACAGGGTGATGTTCGAAAATCTGACGAGAAACACGCCTAATTGTACGGCCTAAGCAGCTGACTGGCTCCACAGAGCAGTTAAATTGGTAGATACACATGGAAGAGGCGAAATTAGGCAGTTTATCTTTTACTCTCGAACGCAAAAGAGGAGTGGTTTTGAAGACACAGCGTAATTCGGCAGCAGGGAATGCTTTTTTACCGCATTTCTAAGGCGTTGTGTTAGTATCTCGCTGATGTTGTCGCCGAGGAACTGCATTTGTAAGAATAAGGCCTTTTTAGGAACTGTTAGTACCTTGGGCTGCTTTGATTTTAGATTCATATTCTTATCAAAAATCTTTTCTGGATAACTATTTTCACTCAGCAACCGTTTAATATTATTAAGTTCCTCATCAAGACATTCATCCGAGCAGATTGCTCTTGTTGTGTGAACCAAGCACTTTATCAGATTGCGTTTGTATTTTAAGGGCACGAAGCTGAAAAAATGAGTATACTGACCTGTTGATGTAGGTTTTCTATATACACTTCTTCTTATTGTGCCATCCTCTTTTCTGGTCATAAGGACGTCTAGAAATCGAAATAGCACTAATATTGTTATTGAATATTCTATGTATATAAACATATGTATATACAATTGTAGAGCCAGAATAGGAATTTATCGAAAAGGATATTCTCTGCTCAATCATTTTGTGTTTTATAGATGTCTGAATGAATATTTTTGCTATTTTGTAGCGATGTTGTTTTAGCTTCACTGTAGATTTCGTCATTATTCATTGAACTCCATCCTAATCAACTGAATAGTCGATGGGCTGCTCTCGTAATCTGAAGGTCGTGGGTTCGATCCCTCTGGGGTTATGTGTGTCCGGAAAACGGAGGTGATGGAGATAGCCACCCGACCAACAATAACAACAATAAGCACCAGTCACTATTAACGGGAAAAATTTGAGGGAGGTCATGTCCTTCATTTATTTAAGCACCATCGTTTCCACTACAGATGGTGGTATGACTGAAGATGTTAAAACCAGAATCAGAAAGGTGAGGCAGACCTTCATTACTCTGAAATCAATTTTGAAATCTACCGCACTCAGTCATCATAAAGAACAAGATTCGAATTTTCAACACCTCAATGTTAAGTCAGCCAATTCTTTTCTGTGGGTCAGAGACTTGGAGGAGCACGAGTCACGGAAAGCATTTCCAATAAACTTCAGATTTTTTTATCAACAGTTGCCTTCAGTGATTCCAAACTGAAGGTCAGATAGTTAGGCAGAAAGAATTGGCAACAAGAAACTCTGGCGATAGACCAACTAAGACTTATTGCTCAACAAATATGTGAAAGAAAACTGAAGATGGATCAAATCGTTGGATGACATCACGTGACAGCCGATCGGTCGAGTGGAACCCGAATGGGAAGCGACGAGTTAGGCGTTAGTTCGAGTGTGACATGGAGGAAATCGTGTAAGGAGATGAAAGCTGAGGTGGAACGCAGAGAACTGGATGAAATGGAGATGTGTTGTGGAAGCCCTATGTTCGACTCGGAACCAAAGAGAAGAAGAATAAATAATAAATTACTGGAGAGTGAGGAAATACACGTGTGCACTGTATTCGGATTTTATTTAAAAGCATTTAGGTAACTCCGTATTTTTGTTAGTCTGCTCACTCTGATTCAGCCTACCTATAGACTTCATCGACTTTGAAAAGGCCTTTGACAGTGTCGAACGAGAGGTGATTTGGAAACTACTACTACGCCACCGACAATTATACATCTCATCCAACAGCTGTACAACAATGCTGTATGCCATGTAATCCACAACGGGAAACTTACGGAATCCTTCGAAGTGAGGACAGGAGTAAGACAAAGCTGCCTACTATCGCCAATGATTTTCCTGATTCCAGTAGACTGGATAATGCGACAAACAGCGAACAATGAGCAAACAGATATAAAATAGACCCACACAAATATGAACTTGGAGGATCTGAACTTCGCCTAATGATATATGTCTGATTTACCACAAACTGGAAGATATGCAAGCGAAAAGCAACAAGTTGGCAGAAGAAGCATCAAAGATAGGATTTCAGGTGAACATAGGGAAAACAGAGGTGATGAAGATTCCTGGACAACACCACCAACAACAACAGACAACGATCAGCATAAATTGAAGGAACCTGAAAGAAACAACCTCTTTTACCTACCGACCTGGGAAGCATCGTTTCAACTACAGGCGGACGGAACTGACGAGGATATCAAAGCAAGAATCGGAAAAGCAAGACAAGCTTTCACTGCTCTAAAGTCTGTGTGGAGGTCAACAACTCTCAGCATCAAAAATAAGATCTGGATTTTCAACTCCAATGTGAAGTCAGTGCTACTATGTGGAGACTTGGCGCATCTCAAGCAAACTACAGACCTTCATTAACAGTTGTCTTCGCTCAATACTCAAGTTCAGATGGCCAGTCAGAAAAGATCAGCAATAGAGATCTCTGGCAATGAGCGAACCAACCTATCAGAAACCGATTTTGAAACAAATAGGCAGGAAGAAATGGAGATGGATTGGCCATACTCTGAGGAAACCATCAAGTGACATCACTAGACAAGCCATTGCTCGAGTGGAACCCGAAAGGGAAGCGGCGAGTCGGTTGTTAGTGCAAGGGTGACTTGGAGGAGGTCATGTGAAGAGGAGATGAAAACGTGTGGACAGACTTGGAGCCAGGTGAAGACTCCAGCAGAGAACCGAACGCAATGGAGACGCACGGCTGAAGCCCTATGTTCCTATAGGAATTAAAGGACACAATAATAATAATAATATAGACTAGTAAAATCCTAGACTCAGGTCCAACTACTACTGAAGTTTGGACAGTCGGGTTCTTATCATCAATCATCACACAATAGGTGCATGTTTCATTGTTACGTGCATTTACATGCCTGTAATTGTTGTATAACATACCATTTAAACAAATTGCTAACCTTGGGCATCTGATTCATTGACTTAGGTATGCACTCGACTTTCAACCAAATGGTTCAGGGTTCGAAACCCGTCTTCAGTCTGGACAGGTTGGATATTATTATTCATACAAATATGGTGCATAATTTGATATATGAGACATCTGTACACTGGGTAACTGACCGTCCAAAAATAAGTAGCAGGTTTCGAAAGTAATATGAAATATTTGTATGACACAAGGCAATCTTCATCGTCCATAGCTACGGTGAAATATTTACGTTATTTGGCGGTAGTAGGGCTTCGAGCTTGAGTTTTGAAGTTTCAATAGTATAATGGTGGTCAGTTTTTACGAGTTGAGGTAGGTAGCTAGCTTCACGCCCAACCTTCCGTCTCTACCGAGCTGATTACTGACTAAGCGAGGTTTAGGAGTGAGTCAACCGTTAATTGAACCCCAGGTCACATGCGTGGTTGACGAGTATTTTACTACTGAACCACTGACTGCTATGAACTCCAAAACATGAAATGGGTCTCTGAAAGGTGTGACTATTAGTTGAAGCCGTGTAATAAGGTTTGGTTAACGAGCATTAAGTACTAATCACAGGCAACTTATAGTGAAAGGATAAGAACTCTGGCTGCGAACCAGCCAAAAACCCATCGCCTAACAGATGTACAGAAATAAGTATGGATGGATAGGATAGACAAACGCTGAGAAGACTTTAGGTTACACCGCATGCCAGGTAGGGGAGTCTAGGATACACACTGCCTTCCATTTGGAACTTATCAACTGGATGTACCTGCATTTTCACGGGGTGATGGTGTTCTCATTGAGACATGAACCCAGCCCCCCTTGCCTTTTTTTAACACCAAACCTTAATCCACTGGACCACACAAAAGTCACCTCTTGTACAATGAGTATCACAATTCCATTATGGGTAAATTTTGTTTTAATAAAGTCTCACAGTGTTATACAGTAATGTTTACTGATGACGTTTCGAGCACAATTTATTGCTCATAATCATATCAAGGTAATCACATGACTTCCTAAATTCATTTATATAATTCCGTTGTTTTTCACTTTTATGGATAGATGGGAAAATATGGCACTTAATACGTTTAATCCTACTCCAAAAATATGATGCAGATATGTGGATGACACTTTCACAGTGTTAAAAACAGAACATATCTCTACCTTCTTGACACACATAAACTCACTAGTGGAGGGAATAAAATTCACATTTGAAGCCGAAAATGAACAAGGAGAATTAGCTATGTTAGATTGTAAAATAAAACGAATAGAAGAAGGCAAACTACACACTAGTGTTTATAGGAAACCAACGCATTCTAATAGTTATTTAGACTTTAATTCATCTCATCCTTTAACTGTTAAGGCAGGCTTTGTTAAGTGTTTAACAAACCGAGCAATGGCACTAAGTAGCACAAGAAAGGACCTAAATGAAGAAATAAAACAGATAGAAGAGGCATTTGTGTTAAATAACTATCCTCTAAAATTCATTAGGAAGATTGAAAAAGGCCGAAAGAAAAACATAAATAATTGTGAAACCAGTAATGATAACATAAATAAGAGAAAATATAAGTCTTATACTGTTATACTAAATAAGGAGGGGACATCTGAGGCCCTACGTAGGATTCTCAATAAAGCAGGAATTAGGGTGGCATTCAAACCTACAAGCTCACTCAGAGACAAACTTTGTAGGTTGAAGGACCCGTTGGACCCAATTAAACAAAATAATATAATTTACAAAATACCCTTCAATGACTGTGAAGTCAACTACATAGGTCAATCTAGTTGGTCAGGGGTAGTCAGATTGTCAGAACATAAGAATTTAGCTAAGGTAAGAATGGTTGACCCAGAGAAGATAAGTAATTTAGAAAAAAGCTCGGCAATTGCAATGCATGCATTAACACACAACCACACAATATGGTGGGAGAGGGTTAAAATTCTAAAAAGTAATCTAGGTGGGTGGAGAGAGAGGTTGATTACTGAATCCTTGTTCATCGAATCTACACCCAACACATGCAATAGGAATGAATCATCACTCATACCCGAAATATGGAAAATAATACTACCAATCAAATCAAGTGGAAATCAAGTGAAAAACAATGGAACTATATAAATGAATTTAGGAAGTCGTGTGATTACCTTGATATGATTATGAGTATTAATAAATTGTGCTCGAAACGTCATTAGTAAACATTACTGTATAACACTGTGAGACTTTATCAAAACAAAATTTATCCATAATGGAATTACACTCTACCACAGTGCCCAAGTTTTATTCTTATATCAATGAGTATCACAATTGTTGTTTTCATTGGTGTATATGTGGAGGGGTGGGGGTAAAATATAAATCAGTTAGCAGGAAATATAAAATAATTCAGTATTTTGTTTGTTTTTAATGTCCTTGTTGTTTAAAACAATTAGTTCCCTTTATGAATTGAGATAAAGCAATCAGAAGACGTAGTTCATTTGAATCGTGTAATGTATTTGCGCGCACAACACATTTCGAACAATCTGATCCATCACACACGGACTTGTCATGGCAATGTATATGAAATTAATAAAGAGTTAAGAGGTGAGAAAATAGACCACTTAGGTCAAGTTAAAAGGACACACTGAAGGTCAAAAAAACAATGAAGACCACTAAACCAAATAACAGAGGTAATAATACATCTGCTATGGTATCAAAACAAAGTTTACCAAGGAAGTTTTAGTGTGATAACGAATTGTTGCTTTGAACGCATAAAGGTGGTTTAAACTTTCTAGTTGCTAGGGCTTCCACAAACTTTAGGATACACCCCAAACACGTTTTATAGATAGGTTTAAAAGATGTGTTAACGTCAATTTTATGTCCTGTCTCTATAATATGTTTCGCAATAGAGGAGCTAGGTCTCCTGTTCTCACCATTAATGGGTTCTGAAGATCCCATTTGTTTTTGGAGCCATTTAGGAATATGCTCTGAAGCCAGCCCTTACTTGCAGAGATCGATGAGTCCTCCCTATGTATGTGTGTCCACACGTACATTCAAACTGGTAAATCCAGTGGGATGTGACATCATTTTTCGTATGTTCAAAGGGCTTAGATAGATGTATTGGCTTCACATTCTCAGTTATTATGATCTTAGCTGCATAAAAAGTCTTTTTAACAGCAGCACTCAATCTTTGTCTAGTTATCAAGCTGCTATGATGCTCCATATTGGGGTAGCTTGATGTACACGTCTTTCTTAGCGAAGGCGAGTTGTAGAATGGGTCTTGGTGTTCTGACTACTTTATATCTCTTGATGAACTTGTCTGGATAATTGTTATCACCAACCAGAGTTTGTGTCAACTTTCTTTCTTCTTCATCAAGTGTGTCTTCAGTACATATTCGTTGTTGTTGTTTTTTCTCTCACATTGTTTTCCCCTTTCAACATTTAGGATTAGTTCAATTTATAGAGTCTGTTTCACTGGCTGATATACTGCATAAATCAACTTTATTAGCTTATTTACAAATGAAAGCGCCAAGTTCAACTGGTCCTATGGGTGTTCAAAAGGATGTAATGGAAACGTATATTCGTTCTTGTGGTAAGCGTTCCGTTGTTGTTTCTGTTGGTGCTGGTGTTGTGTTTTTCTTTTTCACTTTTTGAAACATCAAACTCTCCTGAAAGTTGTCTTTTTTTCTTAGTGAATTTTAAATGTTAGTATTTAAAAGGAGAAAACTTCGGATAACAACTCGCCGTAAGCCCTCAACTGGTTGGCTGCATGAGTTCGAGTAGAGTGCGTTGATCAGTGCAGTGAATTTTCTCGGCATTCCTTTCACAGCCATATAATGCAGAAATAATGAAGAGAACGTTGCAGCGAAGAAGATTTTCTTCTCCATGATATCATCGATTAGGCTGTACGTTCGTGTATTTTGTAGTAAATTGTTGATAAAGTTCCAGAACTATTTCCGGTTGAGGTTTAAATTAATAAAATTGCTAATAGCAATTAAAATGTAATAATAAACAGGAAGTTTGGATAACAATCCATAGTAGTGCGAATAGGAATTAGATAGACGTAAAAATAACATAAATAAGCAAGAAGATTGAATAAGAAAGATAATAGGATAGTCACTGCTGAGAGAATTGACTGTTTATGGTTCCCATGGTAGAGAAAATGGTTAAGACGTGTTTCTTTGAATACATAGCGTAGACTTGAACTTTTAGATCGCTAGTATTTCAGCTATACCTAGACGTCTTGATCTTATTCACTTTGAGAGTTCTGATCGGATCTTGTATATGACATTAAAGGACTTTTCGAATAGAGTTCTATGTTCTAAGAGCTAAAATATGATTAGGGATCACTATACTTTAGCATAGAGGGATTAAGACCATGAAAGTTGGAGGGGTTGAACGAACTTTTTCTGTACACAGAGATCTGGCTTTTCTGTTTTGATAACCAAAGCTTCAGCAAGACAGATGAGTCAGATACGTAATGATTCGGGCAAATTCCTTTTCACCTTGTAGATGGCTTTAAAGACATAGGCTATGGAGATCGGGTGACCATTATCGACTGGATGTTCAGTGATCGCGCTTCTTATAGCTCCAATTCCACCTCTTCGTAACCATGCAGGATAGTGTTCTTGCACCCTCTTGGAAAAAACTCGAGTCAAACGACCGATATACCTAGCTCCATACTAGCAGGTGAATTGATAAACGCAAATAGAGTTGGTCAACAGCGGGATCTTGTCCTTCAGGTTATTGAACAGTAATGATCGACTGGTAAAGGCTATTCCCAAAGATGTGGCAGGGAATATTCTTTTCAGGGACTGCAAGATCCTTCTTTTAATGATATCGGAAGCTAAGTCACATTTCATAAGATTTGAATGCATATTCTTGTCTATAAAACGTGGTGAAAATCCATTTTCTACTGGGATTTTTCTCAAAAGATTTAACTCTTCCTCCACAGTATCAGGGCTACATATGCGCTGAATGTGAGTGGCAATGTTGTAAACAGATTGTTATAATAATTTCCCTTAATTTTGTTTTTTATTAACAGCTGGTTATTGTGTTATCACCTATCTGCTTGGTGTTGGTGACCGGCATATGGAGAATCTACTGCTTACAGTTGACGGTCATTTATTTCATATTGACTTTAGTTTTATACTTGGCGCTGATCCTAAACCAATGGCACCTGAGGTCAGATTAACTCGTGCTATGATTGATGCAATGGGTGGACCGAATTCAAGTCAATTTAATGAATTCTGGAAGATCACTTTTACAGCTTTTCTAATTTTACGACGGTAAGTAGACTAAGTAGGTCTTATATATGTATGTGTAAAATTTTGTTATTTCTTCTGAGTATGGTAGTTTACACAATTTTTTATCCCTGAGTTGATTGAGCGGTTTGAGACTTAAGTATAACGGTACTGAACTCAGTTAACGTACTTCAGCTGAACACGGAATATGACTATTGCTCCTCCGTGCCTTCTGCCATATCATTATTATTCCTTTGGTTCCAAGTAAAACATAGACCTTCAACAGCACATCTCCACTTCATTCTCTTCTCTTCAGTCCTTTTCAGTGTGCTGTACGATCACCCATAAGCTCCTTGTCTCTCTTCCTCACGCGATCTTCTCCATATCACCCTTGAATGCCCAACTCGTCGTCGTTTCCCACTGGGGTTCCACTCGAGGGCTTGCTTGGCGCGCAGGCTTCTCACAGCGTGCGTCCGATCCATGTCCATTCCCTTTGGAATATTTTTTTGACAGTAAGTTCTTGATTGGTTCGTTGTTTTGCCGCACTGCTAGTAAGCTCTTGGTCCCAAATGACTGAAATGGCTGTTCCATCTGACTAGCAGATATTACTGATTGATTTGAGTAATTTCCAACCACTGATACCAATCAGTAGTGTACAGCATTTTGCATTTGGCGGAGAATCATTGAAATCAAAGGAATACTAAGCAGTTGTTTCGTTTTAGTTTGTAAATCTCTAGCACAGTGCGTAACCGTGACCCCAGCAGAGATCAGACTTACGCTGATGTAGCTGTCCAGTGGGGAAAAAGCCCTCAAGTGGTTAGACCACATGCTATTCTGTTTTCACAAGAGGCTGCGATGAGAGTTTTCGGTTCTCCTGAAATCTAATATAGAGTGATCCACAGTTAATAGGTGTACGACAGTGTGAAGCTCCCATAAACGATCTGGTACGGCTAAGGTTTGGTGGACTTCAATCTTCATTTCGACGTGCTCTTGTATGGTCATGCGTTCATAGACTGCCAGGTGAGTTCTATTCCCTTCCTTTACGTTACGTCTGAGGTTTTACTCACAAAAGTAAAACAGCGAATTTGAACACCTGGCGCACATACAACCGGAATCGTGGACATGCTCTTCTACCTACCTAGGGGAGGGAGCTAAAAAACCCTAATTCCAAACCTGTGGTGTACATAGGCTCCAGGATCTGAAAGGAAAGAATGATGTATTAACCTGTTTTGGCCACCATCAACCATGGCAACGCTGCTCCACTGCCTTATGAATCAGAATTCATGTCAAAGCCTCAGGAGGGGTGAGGTGGTTTCCCTTTAGGCAACCCACCTGCTTCGGTGTGAGTTATATCATAAGCCTCATACCAACTAAGAGATTTTGTTTGCCGCATCTCTTGGTGTCCTTAATGTACCAAGTCTGTGTTTTTTATATACTTTTCTTTCCAAATGTTCACAGTAAAATTCATGAACTTAACATTCTTTTCTTTACTTTGGGTCTTTGCACAATATATGTTCTTAGATAGTCGGAGGCAATCGGTAGGAAGCCTTGGACCTAGGTTTCGTGCTAGTTGTCACTCACCAGCAAGGCGTATCTGCAACCTTGAAGGAAGTCATGTCCCTTCTGAGATTCGATCCCGCGTCACCCAATGTTGCAGTCAGAGACGTTACCACTGAGTTATTCGTGCTCGCGATTGACCTCCTGTAGGACTATAGTGGGTACTTTGATTGGACACTAGTAACTAGTGTGCACCGTGCAACGTGATGGCGAGCTACCTAGAATGGTGGCCACATTACAAACCTGACTGGTAGAATTCAGTCTGCACCAAAGAAAGGACTAGACACGTCACACTAGTTACTAGTGTTCAATCAAAGTACAATATATCTTCATTTCACTAAAATTTAAACAAATGCCTATGTATATATTTTGAATTTAGCAAATAATTTTTCTCTTCTTTTTGTTTTCTCTTTCTTATCTTCTATAGACATGCCAATTTATTTTTAACCTTATTCTCCTTGGTATCGAATACAGGGATACAGAGTACTGTTAGTGGACAGAGTAATGCTTCTGAATTCTTAAAAGAACACTTTTGTGTACATCAGTCAGAAGAGAGAGCTGTTAGTCGATTAGCTAATCGTATGACTGAATCAATCAAAGCTATTGTACCTGATATTATGGAACGAATACATACTATTGTACAGGTAAGATGATTATCTTTGATGATCTCATTTTGAGAATAAGTTACACTTAATTCAAATCACCGAAAATACCCATTGAATTCAGCGAACAAAAATTTTCTTTATCGACGAAATCATCTTCAAAGGCTGTACAGTCGTATTTATATTTACCAAAAATGTATAATAGTCTATTATTGAGTAAAAGAGGGCGGTGACATAATTCATATAATTACTTGGAAGTGGCTTTAAAAGTAAAAATAAAAGCTGTTAATTACGTAGTACTCAACGGCACAAAGATAGAAATTTGATAGTAATTATGAGTAGAAAAATGATAGTTAAGTGTCTATTTAACAAGTGTGAAAAGGGTGTGAAAATGTACAAAAGGAAAATATGAGAGTGATAATAGTAAAAATTGAAAACAAAAAAATAAAAAATAAAATTGTTCTTACAGGGAACGACTAGTGAAGAGGTTAAGATCATGGTAGAATAAAAGACTGAACAAACTCTTTCTGTATACAGAGTTAGGGGTTGTATTGACGAATCGCCAACGCCTCCGCCATACACAAATACCGAAACCTGACACCCTTTGTACCATTTTGGCCTCACCTTGTAGATAATCTTGAAAGACGACTTCTGAGTAATTATATCAATTGTCACCCCCCCCCCTATTACTCAATAATAGACTGCTATACATTTTTGATAAATATAAATACGACTCTACAGCCTCTGAAGATGATTTCGTCTATAAAGAAAATTTTCTTCGCTGAATTGTCTTTTATTTTCTTCATTATACTTAATTGTCTACAGGAGAAGTGGTATAAAGAGCTTTTATCACAGATAAAAAAAGATCACTACTCACTTTTGCCGACTGTAATATCTCTGCTGGTATATGTCCCCCTCTGCCTATTTCAATATGTACAATTTTATGGGCTATTTTTTTACGATAAATTTCCGAAGTTTATAAAAAGATTTATGTCTAACTATGTTTATCATCCGGGGTTCGGTCCCTGGACTCCCAGAAAACTTATATGGTAGGCTTAAAACGTGTATTTCCAAAACAGATGAGGGAGAAAGTGACAAAAGGTATAAAAGTGTATGATATATACTGGTACAGGCGAAATGCTTGATTAGTAGGCGTTAACTACCTGCTGGATGCTGAGTGGTTGATACGCATCATGTGCCAACGTGTGATTTGTTAGTATCTGACTTACAGGCTAATGAGACAGATTATAGATACACATCAGTTTCCCTACCATCTAATGAGATTATACGAAATTCGAAGGCCGCTGGTTCCAATCACGCTGCAACCTCGTCACATAAAAGTCTATTTAAGTAGTATGTTACTCACAGTTAAAAATTTTTATCAGTGCGTCATTGTCTATATAATTTTTTTACCTGTTTTCTTTCTTGTTTTTAATTTTAGTATATGAGGAATTAAGAATCCATTTTGCCAAACAAATGTGATCTACATTTACGTATATACATCAATTTTGTGAATATTACTGAAAGTTTTCCCCCTTTGATTCTGTCTCTTCCCCTCCTCCCCCTTCCCTGTTTATTTTTTTCATCTAATTAATCTCTTCTTTGTTTTTGTTTAATTATGTGACAGAAATCATGAACTCTTCTTTTTTTACACTTGTTTTTTTAGTTTATTTACGTAATTATTTTCAATTGAATAAAAAGAGAGGTGATTATTCATTTTTTTTCTTTTCATTACAACCGAATTTCTGTAATCAATTGATTAATTTTAAAAAAAATTGTATAACAATATAATTATAATAAAAGTCGCAATAATTGAATTGGCTTATTGTTTCAAAAAGGCTAATATTGATTTTTTTTTTGTATTACTAGTTATTATTCTTCCGTGGTAGTGGTAGATTGAGCCGGTGGTGTTTCGTATAAATTGATCTTTTCAATATTCACTAGCCTAGGATTCGGTGTAGGTGGCTGTAAAGAATAAATGAGAATGAAAAATATTTATATATATATATATATATATATATATATATTACAGTACCAAAGAAGAAACTGTTTATGAGTCTGGCATTCAAAGGTGACACCATTTCGGAATTGATTAAAAATCGTTTATCTAAATGTATTAAACGTACTTTTCCTGCAGCTGACTTACAACTAGTTTTTACCAAATCATGGAAAATTCCCATTGTAACATATAGAAAATCAAAACAAATGATTCAGCGAAGAGACTCTTTTCAACGAATTTATCATCAAGCTGTACAATCGTATATATATGGTTTTTTTTTTTTTTTAAGAAGTTATATCCGGTGAGGGAATTGAAACATAGGTGTGAATGCATGAAATAATAATAATATGAAGTGCAATTAAAACTAAAATGTTTGTGATTATAATCGTAGTTAAAGGTCAAGTGGCAAAGCAAATTAATGTCATATATAGAATAATTCATAGGATGGATAGAACTTGAAAAAGGTGTGCAATTATAAGATTAGTAGACAAATCGAAAAAATAAAAACGTTACGTAATATTGTGTGAAATTTAATAGCATAGAATTTAATGTTGCATAAAGGAATTGATTTAGAATGACAAGTGGAACAAGTGAAATAATACCGAGGACAATTAAAAGTGAGAGTAGTAATAGTAACAATTGACTTAATAAGGAAGAGTATACAAATTGAATAGACAAAAATGAAAAAATGGACAGTTGGTAGAGCTAAAGTATGATTGGGGATTACCATACTTTAGCATAGAGGGATTAAGACCATGAAAGTTGGAGGGGTTGAACGAACCAGCCAAAATAGGATTAGACAATGCGTCAAGGATAGATTACCGCTTTTGTCCACATCTATGTGTATTTACTCTTTTACCTGCTCTTGTGGAGCTGTTTATATTGGACGTTGTAAGCGTAATCTCCGAAAACGTGTAGCTGAACACTATCCAGTCTGGTTAATGAAAGGCGAACGTAGAACTGCGAAGTCGTCTATCTGTGATCACCTGTTAGAGTCAGGTCATTTAGCCCCACGTGATTCATCTTTCAAAGTTATCTACATGGCAAAATCGAATCGATCCAAAAGTTTACGTTTTCTTCACTTATGCATAGCCGAAGCTTTAGCTATACATGAACAGAAACCTAAATTATATGTTCAAAAACGTTTTGTCAAACCCCTTTCTTTACCTTGGTCATAGTAATGTTCTTTCTAGTTTTTACTTTATTTTATTTTACCACTTGAATTCTTTCCACTTCACATCACATCTTCATTCTTATCGTAATCGTACTCTTATTTTACAAAAATTTTTAGAAAACACTTGACATTTTAAAAACATTTTTCAATTCACTTATAAAACAATCTTTAATAATTTTGTAATTTATCCACTTCAACTCTACCCCTTATAACATTTTAATTATCGTTATTCTTATCACATATATGTATATTGACTGATCAATTATTTAGCGCCACTTAATGACCTTTTCTGTAATATAAATACGACTGTACAGCTTGAAAATGAAGTCGTTGAAAAGAAATTTCTTCGCTGAACAAAAAATATATATATCAAAGAAATATTCAAATTTCCTATCCGGATCATTCAATAAGCATGAAAATCTCAGTAGCTTTAAATCCCTTAAATTGAGCTAAAAACACATTATAACTGATATTGATGATATGTAGATGGATAAACAATGGATTATCCTTTATTGGTGATACGGTGATCAATTTCGGTCTGGGAATAAACCAATCAGAATCGGTCAATGTAAAATAATGCCCACTATTTTATTGATCATGATTATGGACTAATTGATATATCCTTGTGTAAAAGTATACTGTGACTAATAGTGAAGCATACTCTTTTGACTCACGTTGTTGTGTGTTCTCACTTCAAGTAGAACAGGTTGGGAAACAGGTAGCTGTCGCATAATGATGTTGACACAGACAAGCGGTATTCGTGATCAGCGTGTCTATGTCCAACTCGGCGTCCCTGTTAAACTCAATGTTATTGCGCAACATAATACTGGCGACATCATAACAGATACACAGAGTGATATCTCCAATAATAAGACAAATTTTGATTAAAAATCAGGGAGTACAGGATGTCTGTCCCGTCCCAATTAGGGGCTCTTCAACAGGGTTTCAGCCCAGGACCTTATGGTTACAAGGCGAACTCGTTTTCCATTCAGCCACTGGGTGGGTGCGTAGTGATGAAGAGTCCCAAACTGGGGCGAAACAGCTGTCCAGTACACTGATATCAATCAGTGATCAAACTTGAAACAAATCAAATCCCTACAAACTAACTCTTGGAAATAGTTATCTGGGAAAGTTACTAAATAACTTTATCAATAGAAAAGGTGAAAAAAGACAAGAAGAAGATTGAGAAAATCTTGGGTGTCTACGATAGCCACTCCACGTATCGGAAAGACAGGGCTGAACAACTACAAAATGTACCTTCTTCATATAGTGTTAAAGTTTATTCCAAGCCCACTAATTCTCTAGTTAGTTTCAAAGATATATTCCCTAGAATGATACAACACAACTGTATCTGTAGGATAAAATATGAGGCCTACTTATTTTGGAGAAAGTAGTAAACGGATAAAGGTCAGAGTGAATGAGCATAGACTGTGCATGAAACACGCACGCCTTGAAGTGAAACAGAATTAAAGAATGTTGAAAAAAGATCAGCTTTGATGATATTGGTTGGTTGGAGGCAATCGGCCACAGGAAGCCTTGAACCTAGGTTTCGTGCTAGTTGGCACTCGTCAGCAAGGCGTATCTGTAACCTTGAAGGAACAACTCATGTGCCTTCTGAGATTCTCCTCAGCACTTCTACGCACTCACCGCCAGAGTTAGAACCCGGGACCTCGTTACAAGGCAAGCTAGCTCGTAGACCATTAAGCCACTGAAACCCAATCCAATGGCCCATTGTGGTGAGAGGCGTCTGAAAGCTAAAATTGTAAACAACCATTCTCGTCCATGTTTACGTCTAGAATCGGGGTCATGAGAAAAAAACAAGAACAAAGCTTAACCTTGAGATGCTCAACAACCAATCCCAGCAGACTTAGCGTGTGCAAATACGATTCGCAGATATATGGATAACTTTGTAAGCAACGGTCACAATCGGTACAGAATAACCTTCAGCAAGACGTTGCTTCTCTACTAAAATAACGAATAATAATGTTCATAAAAATCTATGAATATCTGATTTTCTTAATAAACGATCTGTTACCTGGCCCTTGCCTTCTATCGCTACACCATTAATTCCAACTTCTGCCAATTCTATGTATTATTGTCACTATACAACCATATTTCAACTACTTTCTTAATTTAAGTTTGATCATAGATTGATATCATCTACAGAAATATTAGAAAACCACAGAGGACTGAACACAACTGTTTCCTCATAGTTTAGGATTCTTTGGCATTACCCACTCGCCACCAGGGTTTTGAACTGCGGAACTTCCAATTTTAAGGTAAGCTTGTAGATCATTCAGCCAATGGGATGAAATCTAATGGTACACGAATTTTAACTTGTCACCAGAACACCAGGTAACCTCGTCCCGTAGCCAGTCACCAACGTGCATCAATCAGATCAATTTTCAAAAATATTCCTAACAATGTTGATATAGGAATAGAACTTGGGCATTGCGGTAGAGTATACTCCTATTATGGAGAAAATTTTATTTTGATAAAGTCTCACAGTGTTATATACAGTAATATTTACTGATAGCGTTTCGAGCGCAATTTACTACTACTAATAATAATTATATCAGAGTACTCACACAACTTTCTGACCTCGTTTATATATATTTATATTTGACAGAAGACAAGAATTTCAGCCAAGGTATCTTTTTGATGATTTCATTCCTGATAACCGTACAATCTCTGCGTTTTGTTTTCCTAGAAGTTAGTATAGTTACATGTATTACCTAATTGGACATAATGATGATCGTGAAGCTAAAAGAAGATAGTAATCTCTACCCAACATGATGGTGACTTTCTTTTTCCTTCACGTTCCCCAGTGGAACATAGGGCTTCAAGCTAGAGGCTTGAAGTTTCTGTAGCAGTGTTGACTTTTACAGGATGCGGTTGCTAGCCTCATGCCCAACCTTTCCTCTTCACCAGCATTATTTCTGGCTTAGCAAGGTAAAGGAGTGCGTCGGCCGGGAATCGGACCCCGGACGATGGGCATGGTCGGCGAGCGTCCTAACTGCTATGCCACCGACGCAACATGATGGTGATGAGGAATGAATATTAAATCACGAATAGCATAGAGGGTAGAATATTTCAGGCTTATAAATATGATGGTGTAATATGTATATTAGATATGAAGGAGAAGATTTGTTGCTCAGGTGGATGATTTTGATGTGGTTGTGTTCTCTGAGCTGGATAGTTAATTTGCGAAGCTTTCATCGCCCTACTAGGCAACATCTTCAGCGAATACTTCAATTCCAATTGAAATGATCTTTTACATTTCTCCACGAGTTTATTACTCACCTCTCCCGGTGACCTTGAAGGTGACTGTGTGTTTTCACACCCTCTAGGCTACTTGTATTGGTGTTGATTGTTTCTTTGACTTGAACTTTGACTCTTTGTGTGTGAGGTTTCCTTCTTGTCGGTTGGTAAATTTTGTCTATCTCGATGTATATATTGGTTGACGATTCACCAGAATACCAGGAAGGCTTCTGAAAATTCTCTAGAATTCTTGGTGTTTCCTCTGTCTAATATTTGAACGTTGTCCCAGTTGAACTGATGTCCGTGGTTGTCTGTATGTAGTGATATGAGGGAGTGGATATCATGTCAAAGAAAATCGCCCTACCATATATATAAGACATCTCAGAAATCACTGCAAGACTCCTCAAACCTTTAGGAATTGACGTCACACACAAACCAACAAAATCACTTCACTCAGCTGGCTCTATGTCAACCAAAAGACTCAACAACGAAAGAAGATAAAACCAACATCATCTACGAAATAAATTGTAACAACTGCGAAAAACACTACATTGGCCAAAGTGGACGTCCGCTTCGTATTCGTATCCATGAACGTAAACTAGCCGTCAAAAGACATGACATCCACTCCATCACTCATATCACTACATACAGACAAATTAACTATCCAGCTCAGAGAACACAACCACATGAAAATATGTATATTAATTACTCGGAACGGAATGTAGTAATATTCCGTAACTGAAGGTGGTTCAGCGGTGGAATACTCGCCAACCATGCTACACTTGCGCCAAGGTTCGATCCGCAGCTGATGAACTTCGAAACCTTGCTAAGCCAGTAAAGACGGACGGTTGGGCGTGAGGCTACAAACCTCTCACCTTGTAAAAATAAAATGAGTGCTACTGAGACTTCCAAGCTTCAGCTTGAAGCCTTATGTTCCACTGGGAAAGCAAGGGTATAAAAAGGCTGAAAGTGAGAGACATTGTTATAATACAAGTAGTGAGAAAAGGTGTATTAACTGAACTTTCTGTTGTTGTTTTTTTTCAAAGGAAAGAAAATAAACTTACTGCGCTATGGCATACACGTTTACGGTATGGAATTTCTTCTTCCAGCGTACTAATACAATCGTTAGTTTCTTCTATCGACTTGGAAGAATCTTCAACAGTTTCTTCTTCGTTCAGTGTATGATCAACTGTTAATTCAAATTATCAATAGAAATGTATTATTAGACTATTCTTTTGCGGACAATTGTGAATGTAAATTAAAGACTTGAAGAGAAAATATGCAGACATTTAAATAGCTTATATGGAGTGGAATTTCACCACCACGCTTTCTCTCGGCAACCGAAATTATTCAAATCATAATATGTGATCGACTTGACACTATAATTGACAGTCAAGAAAGTAAGTATAATTTCATGCTGTTATATACTACTGACTGATTGAAATAAGTAGTTGCATACCAATCATACTAAACAGTAGTTTTCAGTTGTCGAATTGGATTGGTCTAGACAATGGACAGGCGATTCTCTAGTTTTGGGGTCGAGTGTATTAGCATGTACTTGGAATGACTCGACTCTGGAGGTTGAGTAGGGTTCATACCACCCGAATTCTTAGTAGTTATTTTGGCAAACTGGTAATACATGGATAACTGCTTAACGTGATTGGTCTCTAACTGCACATATTAATCAGCAGTATATGCCATCTTGTTATTCCGCTCACTTTCTTGACTAATATTTATGGGAGCGAAATGAACCAAATATTGTAATCTACAAATTGAGAGTTCTATTCTGTGTACACCAGTTCACCCCTATTAGCTAGCCGGAGGTGTACACTGTATGACTGAGGTCCTCGCGATGATAAGAATCAGTGGTATGAGACTGTTGAAGATATGGCTCAAAATCGTTCTCAGTGACATCGGTCCATTCACTACTTATGAACCTGATCCATCAAATCCTCCATGTTCTTAATCGTTCTCCCGTGCATAACTTTGCATTTCCTTCCCATTATACCACCTTTTGCGAAGTATGATGACTTAAACTTCTGTTCTTTAGTACAGCATTCTTTCATAAATCCATTTTATTTTCAAGTACTATTTGACTTTGCACATTATATAGAAAGTCAAATGATACGATGTTCTAGACGACCGAAATACGATGTTTTCTCCACTAATTACATCATGCTTTGAAAGACTATTTTTAGTAGGTTGCATTATTATTGTGGCATGTTTTAACTTACTTAAAAGTTTCACCTACAAACAAATCTTTTTGGACATTTCATAGAAGGATACCACTTCACCGTTTAGTACAATATTACTTTAGTAGATTGAGGATGTAAGGTGATTGCAGTCAATCGGTGAGAATCCTTGGACCAACGTTTCGTGCTTGTTGCCACTCGTCTGCAAAGAGTATCTGAAATCCCGAAGGAACTCATGTTACCTCTGAGATTCGAACCCAAGTCACCCAGTTTTGTAGTGAGAGACATCACCACTGCTCAGTGGTCACTGCCTCCACCTATCTAGGCAGTATCGTTTCAGCTACAGGCGACAGAATGGATGAGGATGTCAAAATCAGAATCGGAAAAATAAGACAGACTTTCACCAATTTAAAATCAGTTTTAGAATCTTCTGCAGTCAGCCTAAGGAACAGCATCGGGATTTTCAACACTAATGTTAAGTCAATCCTTTTTCTGTATGGATTAGAAACTTGGCACTCACGTCACGGAAAGCATTTCTTAACTTCAACCACGCCTGCATTCGTTGTCTGCATACTGAAGATAAGATAGCCAGGGAGAATTAGTAACAGGGAATTATGGGAACAAACCAATCAAGAACCTATTGCTCAAAAAATATTCTGAAGAAAATGGAGATGGGTTGGACGTGTGCTGAGGAAACCGTTGGGTGATATCTGGAGTGGGAAACGACGGGTTGTACGTTGGTCGTGTGAAGAGGAGATGAAAGCCTATGGACAATCGTGGGGCGGGCTAAAAACGATTGCAGAGAAAAAGATGAAATGTAAATGTGCTTTTGAAGCCCTATATTTCATTCGCAACCAAAGGGAATAATAATAATTCGGGTTCGCTACTGACTTCCTTTAGAAGTCTGATGGATGCCTTAATTGGTCACCGGGCAGTAACCAGTGTAATGCGTCTAGTCCTTGAGTTGGTGAAAATTGAATTCTATCATTTCAAAGTTTCCTACTGATTGTCTCGAATCACTGACCATCAGTTCAGCGTCTACCGCGGCAGTAATTCGCCTAGCATGGTTACCACCTTGAAAACTTGACTGACAGAACACAGTCAGCATCAACATCTATGGACCAAAAACACGATTTTGGTTATTACCCAGTAATCAATCAAAAGATTCCCCTATTAAATGTATCAATAATTGAATTTTTAAAAATAAAGAACACTTACTGTCCAATAAGCCTAATTTACTTATCTTTATTAGACAAGCTAATTCACTCCAACCATCATTTATCAGACTATAATCTACTGAAATGTCTCTGTCTGTTTCTTGTAATATTTGTAATTCATCACACGAATGTTGTTGTTCTTGTTCTTTTTGTTGCAGTTTATCTTGAATTAAACTCTCTTGACTTTCATCGCATTGACTGTCGTCGTCAACATGATTTATTGAATGCTGAATTATTCTTTGACGCAGATTAGTATTATTATCTGACCATGTTATTCTTTCCGGTGGTGTAAAAGAATCAAACTTCATTCTGGATTTATTTGTTTGACTTGATTTTAAAACAACAGAATAACTGGGAATTTTAAATTTATTGTGTTCATTTGAATTCATTACTGGTGTTAATATACTCTGCGTAGTTATTATACTACTATTATTTTGTGAATTTATACCTTTTGTATAACAGAGATAATTGTTGACAGTTTTTGGAGTATTATAGCAGTCTATTGTATTATTACTACTATTATCATCTATTGCTGGCAGTGATACAGAAGATAGATTCGATTTTAGCATATCTCTTCGAATAATGTCACTGTAGTTGGGAGGACGATAATCAGGTGTTCGATATTGACATGGTGTATGATATGCGCATAATTGATTTTGTTCTGCTTGTTGAGGTGTTGAAATCACCTCCTGGTTCAAAGTGACTTCATTCGGCTTTAAATTATTCGAATCATTTGAATGATTATACGGTGGGGAGTACTTTTCAATTTCGCTTCCTACATCACTTTGTATTGATGTAATTTTATTAAAGGATATTGGTGGATATTTGAATTGTTTTAATGTTGTAGTAGAAGAAGAAATCGGTGGACATGACATTGACAGTGGGTCATTTTTTCGTGGTGTAAATGTTCTGTTTATGAATTCAGGTGTATTGTCTTTCATTAGAATATTGGTAATATGCGATGCATCCATCATTGAATCACTGTCATCTAATACTGGTGTAAGAGTAAATGTTGAATTTGACAAACTTTGACTTGAATCCAAATCCATACCAGTTTGAATATTTGGATCCCATTTGAATCGTTTACGACTAGATTTCTTAATTGAATTATCTGTGTCTACTGTGTCAAGAGTAAACGTTTTATTCATTTCTTCTATAGAATTATACTTCTTAGAAGGTTCTGATTTTGAAATCTGTTTAAATATGAAATAGGAATATAGAGAAGTGATTGAGGTTAATAATTTTAAAAAATTTTTTGTATGTTAGTTGTTGGATAGTGACTAGCAGTGGAATCCAGGACAACGAGCATTTCGTCTTATTTGGGACTTGTCAACTGGATGTACCTGCATTCCGCAGTGAGTGATGGTGTTCCCCACCGAAGCTCGAACCCAGTGCCCATAGTTTCAAATGCCACAGCGTTATCCACTAGACCATTTGGGCCACGAGAGGCACCTTTTGGGCAACGGGTTCGAGCCTCGGTGGGAACATCATCACTCGCTGCAGAGTGCAGGTACATCCAATGGCTGACGAGTCCCAAATGGGACGAAATGCGCGTTATCCTGGATTCCACTGCTAGTCACCATCCACCAATTAACTTCTAATTACATGCTCAGACATCGTCGAAGCATCTGCACAAGAAGCCGACAGATATATCAATCTTAGACCGAGCACTTCGGTACAATCAGTCGATGGCAAAATCTAAAAATGAATTAAATAATTTTTTGTATGCTTGAATTATTCTGTTCTGTGAAGTGCATATTTCAGTACTGTTGTGTGTGCAGCTTTTCAATCATAGTAGGATCTTCACTGAACAATCCCACCCATTGTAAGGTGGACTAAATGGAAGAACTTCAAATACAAAAATGAGCGTTAATAAAGTAATTAGAGTTACAGCCTAATCGTCTAAGTTACCACATATCGAATTTATTGTTGCAGTTAAAGAATGAAGTTCAAAAACTGATTTAATATCTTAACTTTCAAACAAAATTTCCTCAGATTGGTTGGAGGATTTCTTCATGAGGTGACATCAGTTAGAGAACCATTTGGAAACCCGGGAGTACTGGACAGCTGTTGCATCCTGTCCAGTACTCCCAGGTTTCGCAATGGTTCTCTAACTGATGTCACCTCATGAAGAAATCCTCCAACTAATCAAACACAATCCCTACAAAATCAATACTTGAGAATTGATCTGATGCTCACTAGCGACTGGCCCTATTCGGGCAGTTAACCTGGGGTTCTAGTGGGAAGCCATAACCAGTAGGGTACATCAGGTTGAAGGTGAAGCAGTAACCCATTGAAGAAGACATTACGAAGTGGTGGCACTATGTCATGAATTGGCAGAAGTTAGAATTCATGGACTGGCCATTGGATCGGGTCCCAGTGACTTAATGGTCTACGAGCTCGCATTGTAACCAGAAATTCCTGAGTTTGAGCCCCGGTGGATGCGTACTGCTGAAGAGTCCCAAACTAGGCTGACGAAACGGCTCTCCAGTACTCCCAGTTGGCTTTTCAATGGTCCTCTAACTGATGTCAGCTCATGATGAAATCCTCCAACCAATCAAACACAATCCCTACAAAATCAGTACTTGAAAATTTTCTTAGATACTCATCTGTATCTACTTCAACCCAGACAATAATGGTAATGTAATAAGTACTTGAAAATTAGAGAATACAATGCTGACTAATTTTCAATACAATCATCTTACTTACCTTATTATTTATTTCTAAATAATCAAGCATAGATCTTTGTACTAAAGGAGTATTGGTTGACTTCTCTGTCATCGTATTCGGTGTTCGTTTATCAGCTTGACAAGTTGGTGTCCATGTGAAGGAACACTGTCCACTATATTTTGATTGCATTTTGTTCTGAAATGATTGAATATTCATTTTGCGTTTCTTTGTATTTTCACTTTGATGAAGTGACATTTTTTTATTGGCAATTGGGGTAAAGGGTAGTTCCAGGTCGACTAGCTTATTACTGCCATTGTTATTATTACTGTCAAGTGGGTGAATGATATGCGATGGCTGTGAAACAGGAGCTGGCCATAGGTTAAATTTATCATGAGGATGGACATTGTTATTGTTATTATTAATATTGTTTATATTTTCCATAGTATTCACTGTTGACGAGTTATTCTGTGTTGTAAGCTCTGTATAACCGATAGATAATTCTTTTTCAGTCGAAATTTCTTTATTATATAACTCTGATGATGAATTCATATAGCTATGCATGTCTGACATAGAAATGAAATGATATTTTGTATGCAGATCAACACCACCTAAATTAGTGAAGAAAAATAAGTTAAGAAAATAAAAGTACATTCGGAAATGTGAATATGTAAATAAAATATAATGGGGACATAAGATGAGTGAAGTATTGTCCACCCTAAACCAGGGACTAGGTTCAGGGTGGTCAGGAACGCTTTGAAGCTGGATCTAGTTGGGTTTAAACTCACAGTAGACCCTAATCAATTGCCTTCGGGAGTTTGGTTTTCGTAAGTGGTGAGGCCTCAGGGTCCTCCCTTTATAAAAAATAAGCAAGTTCGGATAATGTTTTGAACAAAATGTTGTCACATATGGCAAAAGACAGATTGGGTATCAAGTAAAATTATATACCTACCATTATAAATTATTTAGAATAATTCCAGCGCGTGTAAGAAAATATCAAAACGAGATCTGTTTTCTGAACGTTTCGCTGTTTAAGCCACAGCTTCTTCGGCAGCTGAATTATTCAGATTTTATTAACCATCAAAATAGACATAAACTGAAGTAAGTTCATTTGAAAAATGTAAGTAGTCATCATACATTTGTAATGACTAATGTCGAATTGTCATTGTGCATATTTCTCTGTATGTGTCTGTGAGTATATGTTATTTGTCATATGGATAGATTTATCACCCATATGGCAAACTTTAATGCAACAAGACAGATGAGAAAACAACAATAGAAACCTCCGTTACCTGTTATCATATCAAGTTGATATGATAATGAGCAATAGTTTGTGCTCGAAACGTCATCAGTTAATATAATTGTACAACACTGTGTGATTTATCTAAATAAAATCTTATCCATAATGGAGTTTCCCAAACTGATTTCAGAGCATGGAAGATCTGTTTTGCCTTCCTGATTCTGGTTTTGATATCCCCATTATTGCCCACTATAGACGAAATGATTATGCCTATAAAAGTGAACGAGATGACTTCCATCGAATTTCTCCCGATGATAGTGACCGGTGCTTGTTATTGTTGTGGTTGTTGGTCGGTGGGTATCTTCATCACCTCTGTCTTCTCTATTTTCACTTGAAGTGCTATCCTTGCTGCATTCCTCATCTGACAATTTTCGGGGTTTTGCGCATAATTCTTCGAGTTTATGTGACATTTAATTGAACTTTAGATTTTCCCGTCGACTGATTGGACGGACCGAAGTTCTCGGTCTTAGGTTGACATGTCAGCTTCTTGTGCAGATGCTTCGATGATGTGTGTGCATGTAATTAGAAGTTAATTGGTGGATGATTACTAGCAGTGGAATCCAAGACAACGCTCATTTCGTCCTACTTGGGACTTGTCAGGTGGATGTACCTGCATTCCGCAATGAGTGATGATACTCGCACCGAGGCTCGAACCCAGTACTCACAGAGTCAAACCCCAAAGCATTATCCATTAGACATTATACACAAATCGTCTGCGAAGTCTAGATCTTCTAGAGTCTTCTTATCTCGGTTCAACATGCAACATGCTTAGAAGATTTAATTAGATGATGTAAAATAAATTCGATATTTAAGTAACTATTTTTCTCATTGTATTCAAAAATACATTATTTGACTTATTAATCACATGGTACAAAAATACTGTGTAAATTATTTTATTAAGATTGAACTCAAATATACCCTGTAATTTGTTCAGTTCAAAGGATCTATCCTTAAGAACATGCCAGATAAAACGCTTTCCAACATATACGTATAACCAGGAAACTTTGACAGGCATTGTGAAGGTGCATGACATACTGCTCCTGAATTGTAAGACACCTTTATAAGAAAGAACCAAATGTAAATACGTAATAAAAGGAGGAGGAGGAGTGTACGCGTAACTCTAAGGATTCTAGACGTCTACCTCACGAGAGATATTCATAATTTCTTACAGATATATACACTATCGAGTATTCGAATGTATAGTGCTTAAAATTAATTAAACAAGAATACAGTATCATTTCACCAGCTGAGTTTTGACTTTGTAAATGAATGATACAGCTTAGGATTCTAAAGGGAATATGATTCCCCCCCCCCGCCTATTTTCTTCAAACGCTCTTTGTTAATCGATGCTAATAAATAGGAAACCTTGATGTAGTAGAACTCTCAGTCGATTGATCTTCAGTCTCTCCTTTGATATCTCTTTCTAAAACTTCTCCTTAGAAGGAAATATACTATTTTGAAAGAAAATGAATACATTGTTAGTTAATGCAAATAGGTTTAATCATTCACTATATTCAATAACTTACTTACCATAGTGTAAACTACATAAACTTATACTTAACGGATTCAATTTTTCATCATTTGCAAGATGTAGGTGTTTAGTAGTTATGCCAGACTCCTCGAAATTCGTCCATCTACAATAGATAAGATATCGAATGATTGAATCACCTTCGCAAGAATAATTAAAAGTTGTAGTAGAATTTTCCAGATATCTGCGTGGACAGGTGTTGAATCATTCCTATTACACCTATTTGCAGTTGATTCGATAAACAAAGCTTCCGTTGCCATCAATCTCTTCCTCCACCCCGTTGTCACATTAGATTTTAAAACTGTCATCTTATCCCATCCTATTGTATGGTTGTATGTAATTGTTATGGCTGAACTATTCTCTAGATTTCTTATCTTATTAGTGGGGTCAACTAATCTAGATTTTGCTAGGTTTTTATGCTCGGCTAGTCTGACTCACTGCACCTGTTCTACTACTTTGATCTATGTATTTGACCTGACAATCATTGCAGACAGGGTATTAGATAAACTAAATTGTTTTGTTTAATTGGCTCCACAGGATTGAACCTTCAACCGACAAAGCTTATTTCTAACTGAGTTTGTGGGTGACTGAATGCCAGCCACTTTTATTCCTGCCTTGTTAAGAATTCTGCGTAAGGTTTCCGAAGTTCCTTCCTTGTATGGAATTACTAGTGATGATTTAGATTACTTATTGTTGGTGTTGTCATTATCTTGTACATCTTTGACATGCATGTCGTCATTAATATTATTATTATCACTATCACTACTCCCATTATTATTAGTCTTATTTTACATTTCCCTACATATTTCCTGACTAATTTACCAGGGTAATTATTAAGTTTCAAAGCTTCTCTTACATGCCTCACTTCCTGTCTTAGATTTTCCTTGGTACTACTTAGTTTTTGTGCTCTATTATTTAAACATTTCACCAATCCTATTTTCACTGACATAGGATGGGATGATCGGAAGTCCAAATATCGTTAATTCGTTTCACAGAAGCCATCAATATCCAAATATTTCTATCCACCATCTGTGTAGTAAAAGAATGGTATACGAGCTTGCCTTGTAACCGGAAGTTCCTGGGTTCGAACCCCAGTGGGTGCGTATTGCCGATGATTTCCTAAATTATTCAACTGTTTGTCTATGTCATAATGTTATTCCTACTTCTCACTCTCATTATCTTGAAATTTCTACCTTATTATTACATGCTTTAAACAAAAGAAACAACAAAAACAACTCCAAGTCACTTACTCTAATAACCATTTACCAAGTAAATATTTATTTGCATCGCCAACCAATAAGACTGCAGTATCCTTTGCACATTTAACACTTTGTTTTATTGTAAATACTAATTCAATGGTGAATGTACCTCTAATTGGTAGCTACAGAATTAAACGCGTTGAGAAAATCATTTGCTGTAGTTTTATACATATAATCACAAAGTGTAACACAGAAAATAAAACAATCTAGAATAATTAAGTTACTTTGAAGTAATTAAAGCCTACCAACTCTGGAGTATGCTACTGGCAACATTTATAGGTAGTATTCAAATGCATATCATCTGCAAGAATATCGAATGACAAAGAGATGACTTTACTGAACGATACTTGTGAAACTGTGGTGAGAGCTAGCTGCAAGCCTAAAATTGTGGACAACAATTTACGTCAGTGCTTACGTCCCGAATCGGGGTCATGAGAAAAAACAGTGACAAAGCTTAAACTTGAGGAAATCAACAACCAATCACCGCAGACTTAACGTGTGCAAATACGATTCGCAGGTGTATGGCTTAACTTTCCAAGAAACGGTTAAAAGCAGTACAGAATAACGTTCAGCAAGAAAACAATCAATCAGAAGACATTGCTTCTCTGCTAATAATAACGCTAATAATAATGTACACAAAAACCTATAAATACCTCTTGTTGTTCTCAATAAACGATCTGTTGCCTGGCCCTCGTCTTCTGTCGTTACAAAACAACATGGAAAATACTGGAGGAAGACAAAACAGCATAATACGAAAGGCAAAGTAGCATAGTACCGAAGATATGCACAAATTGTGATTCTAATATATAGTTTTATTGCATTGACAATAAACAATTCGGTTACCAAATGCTCTTGTCTTCTTCCGTTACAGTACTACTAACTATCTGACTCAATAAATCACCCTTAAATAATGATACTTCTTTGAAATCGAAGTCACTGTTAGAAGCTGTTTTCTTTCAGACCGCTTTATCCCATCCGGTTACTATTCAGAGAAAAATAACTACACTTCTACTGACATTGTTTCAAGAAGTGTTAGCCTCAAAAGACAGTGATTCGATAATTCTGTAGCACTGGTAAGAATTTCATTTCAGTGTAGACTTCCTCATGTAGTGAAATCAGTTAGATAATCATTGAAAACAAATGAATATAGGTCGCTAGGTTTTAACCCAATGGCTGATTGATTAACGAGCTCGCCTGGTGAACTAAGGGTTCTAGGTTCGATTTCTGATCAGATCGTGGGTGAGAAATGCATGAGGATCAATAATTAAGACAAAAAGCTATCTAGAACCCCTTAGTTCTCAATGGTTCTTTAATTGTTGTCTTTTTCTTTGGGTGTCTGAAACAGAATGGAAATTAGTTTTGTGTGACGACAGAGCCCAGGGGGACAGCTGTCTGAGACCGCTCACACAGACTGTTTGAGTTGGCCTTCAGAGTTGTTTCCCTATCAGGAACTTGCCACCGGCTATGGACCACCATAGGGTAAGTTGAGATGTACAAGTTTCGGGTTCCACCTTTTTGTAATCCCCCTCTCTAGGGGGGAATAGCAGCATACCTTGGACGACAGATCCCCGGCACCGTGTAAACATTCTACACTGTGGTGATGACTTCCTTAAGTCTGATCGCAATCCTAACAACCTTTCGGGCATGGTAGAACCTGCAGGAACATTACTTGCAGTCAGTGTCGCTCGTTAGGTCATTGCGATATGCAAGCCCCACCACCATGTCAGGTTAGCAGCTGTCGATTGGAATTCTTTAAATGATGTCAGTTCTCGCCAGAAACTACATTGAAATTAATTGAAAGCCCTACTAACTCAAAGTTTAAGCCTAATTCCATTAGATAAAATTAAACTGCTTTCATCATCAAGTAGTGTTACATGATTTGTGGTGCATGTTTCACATTTGTAAAGCAAAACATTCTAGATTAACCAAAGGTTATGTAATTTTGAACAGTATATGGACAGAACAGGGTATCGATTGACACTAAGCTCACTTAGAGTGGTTTCGAATGATTAAAAGGCTATGTAATATCCCCAACACTGTTCAGGGATCACATCTAACACTCGATCAACTAATTATTTCAATCAACAGATAAACGTCTAGAAGATAACAAAGAAACAAACAAAATCTGATATAATGGCATGCTGTTGGTCGGTTCAGCATATAGCCTTCGTAAAAGTGACAGACACAAGTTATCGAAGTAGAACTTTTCTACTGAAATTCATCCATTCAGTATGCCACATTTTGAAAAAGTACTTATAAAAATATAGAAACAAAGTACAGCAAGACTACGGAGAATGGACGACGGTATATGGAGGAGAGTGAATAACAGTATGAGTGGGGATTTCCAGAATCTGGATGTTAACAAGACGTGGAGTCATCCATACCATTAAGGATGATTTTAGGGCATAACTTAAACAGTCTTCACGTACTGACTCTTGATAACTTGAGGACGTCAACCACACCTCTGCAAGTGTCACAGTTCAAAAATCACTGAATTCTTAGACTGATGCCATGTTTTAATCTGATCAACGTTTTACTCTTTCCCAGTCTAAGTCTACTTCAGTTAACATTGCTCACCAAGAAAGACAGAAGCAATCAACAGGCATACTAATATAGGCCAAGTTTATCAAGTCAAATTCTTAATTTAAACATTTTGAGGAAGTGGAATTTCAGCAGTTTCCTATGGAAACTGAAATTTTTCAGATCACAATATGTGACCGGCTGAAGAAGGCAAACATGATTGCATAAAACTGTATACTACTAACTGATTAAGATGAGTACTTGTGTACCACTCACACCGGACGGCTGTTTAGCTCGTTTGGGTCCGTGCTCACTAGCAGTTTGAGTGGCATACGACTAGTCATCTCAGTCAGTCAGCAGTATATAGTGCCAGTTTTATCAATCAATGAAAAGGAAGTATTATGGACCAAAGGTCAAATGTCAGGTTGACAAAACAATTAATACTAAGACAATACACACCCATGGAGAATTCTAATAGTCTACTTCATATTGAAGTTGTCTAGAAAGACAATGACAGCTTCGTAATTAAAGCATCCCCTTCAAAGGAAACAACTACCTCAATACGCTGACCTTTTCATATCTTTTGTCTTCAGTGACTATGTTTGACAAACCTAAGTTAGAACAGTACGAACTAAAGTGAATGTATTCAGAGTAGTTTTGGGATTAGTATCCAAAACACCACAAATAACACAATCTGCTTAGTCTAAGTAGGTGCTGATTTTATGATGTATGCACTCATCTTTCTGTTCAATTTCAGCTTAATTAGTCTTAGATTTATTTTGGAAATCTCGACATACTGAATAGCATAAATCTGCAATATATTGAAAAAAACTTCACAATTCTTGATGCGACCTCCATAACTGTGACTTCTTCAATTATCAACCCTTTAATGTTAGATTTAACTGCTCGATATATCATGTGATACAACTAAACGCACATATAAATCTGTGAAATTCAAAAGACTGACTGATTGAACAAAGTATATTCTTTGACATAAATTTGGTAAAGACCCTCAGCTATAGATTCAAAGCTATTGGTTCAGAAGATAAAACTGAAGACGAACTTAAGGTTGTATATGAAACCTTTATGAGAAACAGCTACTCTGAAAAGCTCATCACTAAACACATGGCCCAGAGAGTGAGAATAAATTCACCTGTATCTGTTAACAAGAAGAGGTGATATATTAAGTTAAATAATGACCAACAACTCTATCAGAAGAACCTTTAATGCCGGTGGACTGCAGCTTATAATTTCTAAACAACCGGTCGTGATTCCGAAACCGAAAGATGAAGTGCAACGACAGAAGACAAGGGCCAGGCAACAGATCATGTATTGAGGAAATCAAGAGATATTTATAGATTTTTATGTACATTATTATTCGTTATTATTGCCAGGGAAACAGCGTCTTCTGATTGGTTGTTTTCTCGCTGAAAGTTATTCTGTCATCTCTTTGTGACCGTTTCTTTGAAGGTCAGACCATATTATATCTGCGAATCGTATCCGCCCACGCAAAGTCTGGTGTTATTGGTTGTTGAGTTAGTCTTTGTTCTTGTTTTTTTCTCATGACCCAGATTTGCGATGTAAATATTGAAGTAAATTGCTGTCTACCAATTTAGGCTAGCAGACAGCTCTCACCACAGAAGTGCCTAGCCTAGCCACCTCTAAATGTATCAATCATTTCAGCTCTTGCTATGGAGCCAGTTATTTCGGCCTTTGTTCTAGGAACTTAATATTTTCGTGCTCGAGAACACCCACTAGTATGGCTAAATGAAGGCGTTGTTGAAATTACCAACAGTTAGATATTAGATCACCTCGTCCAAACAGGCCACAAAGCGAGCTGGCATTAAAGAGTCTTTCTATATCATCTAAACTGGATATTGAACAAATTACCAAAGGCCTCTAGATACTGAACACTCCAAATATCAGAGGTTATTGCAATTCTCTTAAATCAACCGGAGCTCTGAGTGCAGAAGAAACAGGTTCAGGCAATAATGCTACACTGATATGCTGTTGAGTCTATAAATTCATAAATTCTACGTCAATTCCCTTAATTTATCTTATATTCAGTTTAGTATTATAATTTCAAGCGTATTATCTCTTACTGAAGCTTTCTAACTGTAATCTATTGGTATTATCGATTCAGTGCTATTTAAGTAGCATTAATGTTGTTATTAACAAAAGTTCTTCAGTCTGTATGGACAAACAGCTGTAGCACCTGATAATGAAGAAGTTATCGAAAGGAGTATTATTTATTCACTAATCAGTCTTTTAAACGTATCTTAAGGGACATCTTCAACCAATGTGAAATTCATTCTACAACTAAATGGATTCCTTTATATGAGTTGTTTACAGGATTGAAGAAGTGATAAGAATTGGCCACTTATTTCTTGGATAGATGAATAAACCATTGATCATCGACTGAATTGGATTAATTTTCAAGTATTGATTTTGTAGGGAATGCTGTTTGATTGGTTGGACGATTTCATCATGAGCTGACATCAGTTAGAGAACCACTGGAAAACCTGGAAGTACTGGACAGCTGTTTCGTCCTAGTGTTTGGAACTCTTATTCATCAGTACGCACCCTCCGACAGGGTTCGAACCCAGGACCTTCTGGTTACAAGGCGAGCTGGGACTTGATCCAATGGCCAGCCAGTGCATGAATTCTAACTTCTACCAATTCATGACATAGCGCGACCACTTCGCAATGTCTTCTTCGATGAGTTACTGTAAAACCAAACTACATAACCAATACTTGGATTAGACTGAAAAAGAGTGAATAGTAGTCGGATCGAAAATGCAGCACAGATCTACTGCGTCAATCACTGTTGGTCTGAACTGTTTAAGAAATTGTGATTTATTTAGTGCTGGGGGTGGGGCGGAGGGTACTCAAAGGAATAAGAATCATTGGTTAAATATTCTTTATGATTTATCTTAAAATTTTTGCTAATGGAGTATCTGTTTTGATTGCTTTTCATCTTCCAAAATCCTGGAAATGTTTACTAAGCATCTTATTACTATTCTGTCTGTTGCACCCACTGTGACTGTATTGGCATTCTTTTTCTCTTCCTTCATAGTGTACTTTTTAAATTTATAGTAACTTCCATGCCATGTTCCAACTTGATTCATCGACTGGTCAGTCATTATAAAGTATGACATATCAAGCATAGGATTGATCACGAGCTGGCATCAGTTTAAAAACCACTGGAAAACTAGGAATTAATGGGAGGGAGATGTTTTGTTCTAGTTCGGGACTCTTCAACAGTATGCACCCACCACTAGGTTTCAGTCAAACCTGTAACCGATCAAATCCCTGCAAACCAATACTTCATATCAAGCATAATTCAGTAACTGAAAAAAGTCAAACCACCTACCTGTTCTACATCCACTTCATATTTCGGAATACTATCCAAGAATTCTAACAATTTCAATCCAAACGGAGATTCTCTATTTAAAATCTACATAAAATAAGATGAGGAACAGCATGATATGATAATGATAATAATAATTTGTTAGAGAAAGGAACTAAAATTTTAATGCACAGATATAAATTTGACCTCTGAGCAACACTTTTGGTGATTTCAGTGAGAAGTTGGAACCCATAGCTCATCTAGTAGGGCGTCAGATAGGGGTAGTTGAATTGAATCCCATCATGAAGTAGATTTTCATTTTACCTCCAACCATCACCCATTACACTAATGACAGTCTTTTCAACTAAATAATACCTCAGATTATCTCACTATCAATCAATTTAATTACCACATAAAAAGTAACCTAATTTTGATTTTTCAATGAGTGGAAACAACATTTACGTCACCTTTCATCAGTTCTTCTATCGGATAACCTCGTCATTTAGCGATCAGCAATCAGTTGTAGTGCTATTGTTTATACTTGATAGCATATAAGTAATTCAATATATATATATATATATATATATATATATATATATATACATATATTTATTCCTTCACGTTCCCAGTGGATCACAGAGCTTCAAGCTAGAGGCTTGAGGTTTCTGTAGCAGTGGTGTCTATTTTTACAGGATGGGGTTGCTAGCCTCATGCTCAATCTTTCCTCTTTACTTGCTTTTCATTATTGACCTAGAGAGGTAAAGGAGTGCGTCGGCCGGGAATCAAACCTCGGACCAAGTGCATGGTAGGCGAGTGTCCTAACTGCTATGCCACCGACGCACAATTCAATATTAGATTAATTTATTTGATATACACACAATAGTACAGTGTTAATAACTGAATTACGTTTTGAGTACAGTATTCACACGCCCTTATAACTTGCTTTATGACTTTTTTCTCTCTACGCCTTGACATTTTTTGCTCATTTCCCCATATCCAGTCATTTCAATTGCATGTGTTCAGTGTTGATTCGATAAACAAAGATTCAGTGTTTAACCCCTCTCTCCATATAACTATATTACTTCCTAATACTGTCACCCTATCCCACCCTATGGTGTGATTACATGTAAGTGAATGCATTACAATAACCAAACTTTTTTTCTAGGTTATTTAACTTAATAGGATCAGTCATTCTAGATCCAGCTAAAATTCTATGTTCTGATAATCCAATTGACACTAATCTGCTAACCCTATAAAGAGTTCCAAACTAGGATGGAACAGCTGTCTAGTTCCTACTGGTTTTCAGTGATCCTTAACTCATGGTTAGTCGTGACGAAATCTCCATTGAAATATATCATCTTTGTTCCCATGCATTTATAAACATATATATTGTTGTGTACATGTGAAAATACTTATTTTGTGTTCATTTTACACCTGAATTATATCAGATTCTTTACATTCGACAATGACATCTGAAATGATTACATTGTATACGAATGTTTACTTTGGTGAGTTTGTGAAAGATTTAGAGTACACAAAGTGAAGTTGAATTCAGTTCATCACAAAATGTCTATTGTTCTTGCTTTGCGATGACATCATTGACACATTTTGAACTTTATGCTTAATTTTATTCTTATAATCCCTTTTATTCTTCTAACGAATGTGTTATAGCCTGTGACAGTTTCTCTACTGTTTTGGTTATCATTTGTATTTGCAATACTATCCTGAAACGAATCTCAATGGTATAGTATGAAACTTCAACTTGGTTCAGTGATGATAAGAAATAATGCAAAAATGCAACTACCAGTGAAGAAAAACACCTCAAACACTTGAAAATAATGCAGAATGGCAAAAAATAGACCAGTGAGTGAACTATATTCCAACCATTAAAGTAAGAAAGGCGTTTATCTACAGCACTTAGCACAAGCAACAAGATCTGAATTCTCTGTATCAATGTAAAGTCAGTGCTTCTGTACAGTTTAGAGGTATGATGCAAGTGTCACTAAAGCATTTCGAACAGGCTACTGCAGACTTTCATCAACTGCTCTCTACACTCGCTAGACATTGAAGATTAAATGACCATCAGAGGAGATAAGTAACCTGGAAGTCTGGCAGCCAACCAAAAAGTGTGCAGAAGAAAATGGAGATAGAATAGACATACACTAAAGAGACAGTTGAGTAACATCACACGCCAAGCTATTGAGTAGCACCCTAAAGGAAGTGATAAGTAATGTGTGGGTCTGAGAGGGCTATGGAGGAGATCAGGCGAGGAGAAAATGATAACTTGTTGGCAGCTGTACAGCCGGTTAAAAGTGGTGACAAAGGACCTAGTGGAACAGAGATATGCCGCTGCAGTCTTATATTCCAATCGGTAGGTAAGGAATGAATAACAGTTGTGGTAGTATTAATAACAAACAAATTAATTAACTAAATAGACATACATTTTCTAATTTCTTGCAACCAGCTTGTCGTATAGCATTAGTAGTGAGTATATTTGCTTGAATTAATTTGTCAATTTCTGTATCAGACAATAAAGATGAATTGTACAAATTTATCAATGGAAAATTTAACCAACGTCCAAACTGAATAGATTTACGTAATTCCAATGCATTTAGTATACATGGATATTTTAAGGCAATTGGTGGAATTTTTAAACTGTTTAATTGTTGATCTAATGTTAATGTTGTCGGAATTTCATGAAGCCATAATAAGCCTACTAAAGCTGGAAATAAAAGAGAGAATTAAATTTCATCAGTGTTAATAATTATTACAGAAATAGACTTAACATATTATATTCCATTGTGGATAAAATTCATTTTGATAAAGTCTCACAGTGTTGGTGTACAGTAATATTTACTGATGACCACGTTTCGAGCACAATTTATTACTACTGCTCATAATCAAATCAAGTTATGTAGATATTTAGACTTTTTAATTCATGCGTCGGTGGCACAGTGGTTAGGACTCTCGCCAACCATGCACATGGTCCGGGTTCTATCCCCCGACGCACATCCGATATCTATGGTCAGCCTGCAAAAATTGGGCTACCGATATCCATGCTGAAAATTCCATACTTGTACTGAAAATACGGTGTGGTATCAAGCTGTAATCGAAAATATTAAAATTATTTTAAAAAAAATCTCATCCGTTATCTGTAAAAGCAGGCTTAGTTAAGTGTGTTTAACAAACCAAGCAATAGCACTAAGTAGTACAATAAGAAACCTAAACGATGAGATGAAACAGATAGAAGAAGAAGAGTTGGTGTTCAATAAATATCCTATAGAATTCATTAGGAAGATAAGAAAAGGTCAAAATAAAAATAATGGGGAAACTGATAATGATAACATAAATAAGAGAGAATATAAAGCATATACACTTTTATCATATAAGGAAGGGACATCTGAGACGCTTTGTGGGATTCCCAATAAAGCAGGAATTAGGGTGGCGTTCACACCTAAAAACTCACTCAGGTGGGACAATGTTTGTAGGTTAAAGGACCCGGTGGACCCAATTAAACAAATTAATATAATTTACAAAATACCTTGCAATGACTGTGAATGTGGTCAGCTACATACGTCAAAAAAGTAGGTCTGAGGTAGTCAGATTGTCGAAACATAAGAATTTAGCTAAGGTAAGAATGGTTAACCTCGAGAAGATAAGTAATTTAGAAAAAAGCTCAGCGATTGCACTACTTGCATTAACACACAACCATACAATAGGATGGGAGGGAGAGGGTTAAAATTCTAAGTAATATAGATAGATAGAAAGAGAGATTGTTTACTGGATTTTTGTTCATAGAATCTGCACCCAACATATACAATAGAAATAATTCATTACTAATCATTATAGCGAACGATGATCAAGTTAGTAAACTTTGTTTTGATATCATAACAGATGTACTATTACCTTTGTTAGTTGGTTTAGTGATCTTCATTGTTATTTTAACTTTCACTATGTCCTTTTAACTTGACCTAAGTCCATTTTCCCACCCCTTAACTCTTTGTTATATATATGCTGAGATTTTGTAAATTCCGGTTTAAAAATACTTTGATAAAGCTATTAGCATTAAATATCGAAACGTCAGTAAAAGTAATATCGTATTGTTTTTCATTCATTGGGAAATGCAAAAACCTTTATTATGATGAATACCATACACCCAATGCCCAAATTTTTTCAATCTGTTAAAAGTTAACTTGGTTTGGACATATGTAATTCATGACTAATGCTAGAAATATGGAAAATATTACTACCAGTCATCAAATGAAGAGATAAGAAATAGTGGAATGATATAAACGAAGTTGGAAAGTCGTGTGAGTAAACTGATATGTTTATGAGCAGTAAATTGTGCTCGAACCTCATCAGTAAATATTACTGTATAACACTGTGAGACTTTATCAAAATAAATTTTATCCAAAAGGGAATTAAAAACTAGCGCAGTGCACTAGTTCTCTTCTTATATTAACATATATATTTCGTCGAGACATGTTTTTGAATTTCCAGTTGACACATTTACCAGACTGAGGTGGTCTAGATACGGCGATATATCACTTCGTAATTAATTTGATGTAATTTGATTACTTTCATGAATAAAAACTCATATCTTTGGATAAGTTAGTTGTCATGCCTCAGTAGCATAGTAGACAGAAGTTGGAATTTGAAACTATGGGTGCTAGGTTAGAATCTCACGGGTATAAAGGTATATCCAACTAAGCAGTTCCAAAATGAACAGGACACCTGTTCAGGATTCCTCTGCTAGTGAAAATAAATCCAATGGTAGGGGATCATCATCTTTACTAGCTATTTTGTGCTATGGAAAAAACTAGTTATTAAATTAGGATTATCAGTAATTCAGCGCCTGCGATTGATCCATTGGTATTTTCAGGTGTTATTTTGTAAGGATTGGATTTCTTTCAAAATTGATCAAGGGTTGATATCGCTTAGAGAACTACTGAGAGCCAGAGAGTGTTGGAAATCTGTTTTACCTTAGTCTGGAACTCTTCAGCAGCACGCCACCACCAGTGATCGAATCCAGGATCTTCAGCTTACGAGGTGAGCTCATTGACCATTCAGTCACTAGGAAGGAATCCTAAAGTTTATAAATTCCAACTTTTGTTTTTATTAGAAACTAGATGATTTCTTTATGACAATAAATCTGAGAGAATTACGACTTAAAATTTATCATAATATATCAATCAGACGAAGATATGTAAAATTATGAACCACAGAACAAAAAGACATCTCCTTGAGTTGTTCATTACAATGCATAAGCAGAAATACCTTGGTATAGTTCTATCCTCTGACCTTACTTGGCCATCCCATATTTTGTCGAACTCCAAGAAAATGTTCCCTCTAAGCTACAACATTAAGAAGCTAAGACACTCTGGAATCACTCAACCTCTGATTTTACAATTTAACTCTTGTACCTTACCTACTGTACTTTACTGCTCCCTCTTAGTGTTCCCTGGGTTACTGAAAAAGGACCAAATCATCTCGAGAAGGGTATAAGGCGTTGTCAGTAAGGCTAGTGGTGTACAACTTAATCAGTTAGCTTGTTACTGCATGTAGTTGATAGATATGTGAAATTATGCGAGAAATGGTCTAAATGTATTTCGTCTAACCTTCAACACCACCTCTAGTCTCAGCTCTCCCCTTGCATCTCATCTGGTAGAACTAGAAGTCAGTAAAAAAGATTATACGTTCGTACTATCAAGTACAAGAACTCAACGATACGATATTTGGCCAGCCCGTGTTCTACATGATAGAGAAAATGTTAAGCGTCAAACTTATGAATTGCTATGTTGTTAGCAAACTAATCGGCTCTTTCATTACCTCCTATTTGTAATCTATGGTGACACTATCTCAACTAACTGACAATCTTAGCTACCAACATTATTATTTACAATTTTTCGGTATATACGTATGACTTCACTGTCACTACAAATAGCACATAAGAACTACCATTAACAATCCTGTAATATTAGCCCTAAAATTGTTTTTAATGTTGTTCGATAAAATTAGATGCAATATTATACGAAATGCTGAAAATTCCACGCTGTACTATGCGTCCTGTTTTGCAATAAAGCATATTATTATTATGATATTTAATACTTCGAATTAAGTCATGTCATTCAGCTTAGCAACATGAAAAATCCCCCCTTCAGAAGAAAAGAACTAAATAAATAAACGTACCATTTAAAATACGTGAAGCTGATTGAATTATCTTTTCACTTTCTTGTTTCAATGAATAATCATTCAGCGTCACTTGTCCTAGTTGTGCTTGTAGCAGGCAAACAACTTTCAATGGGATACTTTTAATTCTTGATTTAATTGGAAACCTATAAGAGAGAAGTAAAGTGAAAGATTTCACAGAGATTTACAATACAGTGGCCTGCTTAAATCACTCCGATGCCTAATTTTCCATTTATCAAAAAGGTATCTTATTTACTCTATTTTATTTTGTTTTGAAGTGTAATCTGTACTTACGTCTATTTTCTAATAGGACTCAACCTTTCGACATGGGCTTTCCGAAAAAAAACTCAGTAAAAGCGTGGGAGGTTATTAGAGCGTGCTTCAGATGAAATATTACCGATTATTATTTTTCTTCATACAACTGGTTCCCTTGATAAATTTCGATAAAGAAAGGAAGACGAAATTCCCCACATTTCAGTACTCTGTATTGTGAAAAATAAAGTGTTATTTTCACAGTAATTGCAGTTAAATCTGACTTCTTTGTCTATTTCAGTCTGGAGAATATTTTCAAGCGATCAATTTGGCTATAGTGTCGTGTCTGGGGATGCGCTCTAGTCAAAATAGATAACAATCAACGAATCACTAACACTGCGTTATAAAAAATAATTATTTATTATTTGATAGATGGATAAGTCATTCATCCTGCCTTATTATAAAATGTATGCACAGAGGGAGTTCATGAGTTATTCTAGTTGTGATTCAAAGAATGTCATCATCCAAACATAATGACTTGACAATTTACCTGGGGTTTGCAGGCATTCACTAAGAACCGTCATTAGTCTAGCTGTTATCTTTTAGTTGTCGATTCATTCAGATCTTACTTATCCATTTCTAGAATTTCATAAACCCGATTCTCGTGATTAGCTTGAATAAATCAGTGACAAAGATATTTACAGGAAACAAACAGCTGATTTTATTTCATGACTGTCTTCAAGCTGTTAACCAAAATAACGGTCTGATCAGAAGGTGACATCGGTCAGGAAACTATTCGAAAACCAAGAAGTACTAGACAGTCGTTTCGTTCTGGTTAAGGACTCCTTATCAGTGCTCATCCACTGCCACGGTTCGAACCCAAGACCTTCTTGTTACAAGGCAAGATTGTAGACCATTCAGACACTAAGGCACGGTCCAATGACCCATGAGCTTCAACTTCTGACAATTCGCGATATAATGAACCACTCACATAATAACCATTAATATTACTTTTTCAGGAACTTTTAAAAGAGTCCCATTGCTTGTTATCATCACCCTATATTTTACGACATTTAGTGTGTTGACAGATTCTATCTGTTTTAAACCTCTCTGTATATTATGTTATATGACATTATGGCTTATCGAACTGTTGATCCGAGACATGAAAGTTCCCTACTCAATAGTGTGCCTTCTTCCTTTCTTGGATCACGCATCAGTGGTATGCTGTTGTTGTAGTTTTTGTGAACAATAACTGGGATAGTAAGCCCAGAAATCTGCTACTAAGGAAGTTCGTTAGAGCAAGAGACTCGTTAACTACTAGTTTGTATTGACGGTCATAATTATTCAGATTTACGTGAGTTTTAGATAAGATGTCATAATGTCTGTTTTATTTCCTCTCATCTGTTCACTACTGTCATAACCTCGCACAAATTCTTTATCAGTGTTGTTGTTCTCTCAGATGGATAGCTTAATTGTGACGTTTTCAATGTCCCTCTGAACAAAATCTTCAGTTCTGATTTCAACGTGGAATGAGCTTTTGTAAATAATCACTGTGAATCAACTTACAACTAACAGATTCGTTGGAATTTTTTAAATCTAATTTTTTACTTTGTGTTCCCAGTGGAATACAGGGATTCAAGTTTTAGCTCTGAAGTTCCAGTAGCAGTGGTTTCGTCATTTTACGGGGTGGGATTACTAGCCTCACGCCCAACCTTCCCACTTTTACCGGGCTTACTGCCGGCTAAGCTAGGTTGAGGAGTGACTCAGCCGGAGATCAAATGCCAGACCATGTGGGTGGTCGGTGAGTACTCTACCAATGAAATGCTGATGCTTGACATGTTGATATAGATCAAATTTATTGACCAATAAAGAATAAGTCACACAACGAAAAGGTCGAATATCAGGTGAACGAGAAGACCACTATCAACAAGAGCGAATACAGAGTTAAGAAAAATCTACTTGGATAACTAATCACAGCTAGCTTGAGTAAAAATGGCAGATATTTCACCCAAGGAGAATCCATAAGACTCAAGTCACACTGAAGCACTGAAGATATTATCTCAAAAATCGATGAAAGTTTCACAATTAAACCATACAGTATAGAAAACACGACAAATACCAAAAAGCCTTCATCAGAGTTTTTCTAAATCTCTATTATTTCAAAATATACACATATACGGAAAAATTTAATTATTATTTTGATCACTATGATGAAGAATTTACAATAAATATTGTCTTACCGTAAACTAAATCTGCCTTTAGCTCTGCTAATATTATTCAACGCTGACTTTTCACAATGCCTTAGTCTAATGTCTTTTATTTCTGGACAACTGGCAATAAAATATAACTAAAAATTAGAGAAAATAAATGCATATTTAATATTTTCTATTTCATACAGTTTCATTATAGACAAGCAGAACCTGGGTACTGTTTTAACATGTAATTCAATATTATTGGTGATATTACCTGAGAATACTTTAACTTTAACTCATGGTTGAAAAAAAAGACCTAAGGGGTAATGTCACAGGATGGGGTTGCCAGCCTCATGCCCAACCTTTCCCCTTTGCCAGCTTTTTATTACTGGCTTAGTGAGGTGGAGGTGTGCGTCAGCAGGGGATCAAACCCCGGACCATGTGCATGGTTGGCGAGAGTCCTAACCGCTGTGCCACCGACGCACATTCACATGACATCTGATCAAAATGTCTAGTAATTTCAGTGGAATAATCTATCGATTAGCAGCTGTATTTGGTATCACAGCTAACCAAGGCGTCAAGGCAACTGATTCGAATATTACATTAACACAGGTTTTCATTTTATCTTCTAGCAAACACCAATTATATTATTTCTACCTTAGCTTCAGAAGCGAATAGAATCCTCAGAACCCATCAGTGGTGAGAACAGGTGAATTAGCTCTTCTATTGCGAAACAGGAGACAGGACATAAAATTGACGTTAACAGATCTTTTAAACCTATCTATAAGACGTGTTTGGGGTATATCCTTAAGTTTGTGGAAGCCCAGCTATAAGGAAGTTTAAACCACCTTTATGCGTTCAAAAACTATTCTTCGTCACACTAAACCTTCCTCGGTAAACTTTGTTTTGATACTAGCCAGGATAGATGTATCATTACCTCTGTTATTTGGTTTAGTGATCTTCATTGTTATTTTGACCTTTAATATGTCCTTTTAAATTGGTCTAAGTCTATTTTCTCACCTCTTAAATTTTTATTAATTTCATGTAATCTTAACTCTTATTTCCATGTATATAATCCTATGACAAGTCCGTGTGTGATGGATCAAATTGTTCGAAATGTGTTGCGCAAATACGACATTACTCAATTCAAACGAACTACGTCTACTGATTGCTTTATTTAAATTCATAAAAGGAAATAAGTGTTTTAAATATATGTGTAAAACCTGGGCACTGTGGTAGTATATAATTCAATTTGTGCGTCGGTGGCACAGTGGTTAGGACTCTCGCCGACCATGCACATGGTCCGGGGTTCGATCCCCTGCCGGCGCACACCCGATATCTATGGTCGGCCTGAATTTGGGCTACCGATATCCATGCTGAAAATTCCACACTTGTACTGAAACTACGGTGTGGAATCAAGCTGTAATCAAAAAAATATATATATCACACAGATTGAAACAGTATTGTTTGCTGGATGACGTTGTGAATACAACTCATTCTTCATAATCACATCAGTTACAACAACACAACATCGAAACTTTAGTTTTTAGTTTCCTTTATTCCTTCACATTCGTCGTAGGGGTAGCAGAATTTTCTGGATTTCCAAGACAGGTTTTGAATCATTTCTATTGCACGTGTGTTTAGCTGATTCGATAAATAAAGTTTCCAGTATCAGTTTCTCCCTCCACCCTGTTACATTGAATTTTAAAATTGTCATCTTATCCCATCCTATTGTATGGTTGTGTGTAGTTGCATGTAGTGAGTGCTATAGCTGAACTATTCTCTAGAATTCTTATCTTATTAATGGGGTCACCGAAAATATAGCATCTTATACCCATTTAGTACTTCGATTAGTCACTAACTAGTGTCATGTTTCTAGTCCTTTGTTTACTGCAGACTGAATTCTATCAGTCAAGCTTGAAATGTGGCCATCATGTTGGGTGGCACGTAATCATGGTGCACTCAGAATTGTTGTTATTAGATGGTTGTAGGCAATCGAAAGGAAGCCTTGGACCTGCAAGGCGTATCTGTCATCTTGGAGAAACTCCTGTCCTTTCTGAGATTCGAACTAGTATCACCCAGTGCTACAGTCAGAGACGTTACCACTAAACTATCCGGGCTCGTGATTGACCTCCTGTAGGGGTATATTAGATACTTTGACTGGACACTAACTAATGTCGTTTGTCTAGTCTCTGACTGCAGCACTAGGTGACACCGCTTCGAATCTAAGAAAAGATATGAGTTTTGAAGACTCAGATATGCCTTGCTGACGACTGCTTCTTTTTTATTCCTTTACGTTCCCAGTGGAACATAGGGCTTCAAGCTAGAGGCTTGAAGTTTCGGTAGCAGTGGTTTTCATTTTTACCATCTAATAACACTTATTTAGTTTCAAACAATTTTCATTACTTCCTGATTTAATTTACCAAGAAATTATTATTGGTATTACAGTTCACCGTTAATTTATGACCTTAAATTGTGGTGAGATCTGTCTGCTAGCCAAAATTGGTAGACAGCAGTTTATGTCAATGTTTACTTCCCAAATCTTGGTCATGAGAAAAAACAAGAACAAAGACGTTGCGAGGGTGGATATGATTCGCAGATATATGGTTTGACCTTCAAAGAAACGGCCACAAAGAGATGACAGGTTAACTTTCAGTGATAAAAAGACCAATCAGAAGACGCTGTTTCTCTGCTAAATATAACGAATAATAATGTACATGAAAATCTATAAATATCTGTTGATTTTCTCAATAGAGGATCTGTTGCCTGGCCCTTGTCTTCTGTCGTTAGAAAATCTGATCTCTTAACGTTGTTTACTAAATAAGAATTAAGGGGATACTGAATATTATTCACAAAGCATATTTGTCAAAATAATACTACTGGATATTTGTTAGGATGTAATTCCTTATGTAAAAAAAGGGTTCCCCAACTATCTTAAATAATAATCTAAATCGATTAACTTCTTGCTATCGAAGTAATGGGTGTCTGGAGTAAATAAGGCCTTAGTTACAATGACACTTTAAAAAATATTATCGGCAACAGTCTAAGCAAATGCCATTTAAATCTGTAGTCACGTGGCTTTCAAAAAAAGAAAAAATAATAATAACAGATACACCAATGAAAAGAATATAAAACACGTTGAAAAACAACCCCTGCCAATCCCCCTTGTGATAAAAGAAAAGACAGTGAATTACCAAATCTTCAATTGTTTCATCTCCAGTTAATTCATACATTTTCGTAAGTGTATCGAATTCCAAGTTATGTTTATAAATTAATTCACCTAGTTCTTCAGAAGAAAAACAACATATTTGATTTAAAAATGCCCGTTAAAATTTTTCAAAAGAATGGTTACTGAACAAAGAATACTCTTTTCAATAACCTGCTCTTCATCAGGTTCTACAGTTATATCACATTATAGTGAATGAATGAATGAATTAGTGTTATGAACAACATTAATGTTGTTTAAATAACATCGAATCAATAATAATAACATCAATGGATTACAGTTCAATAGCATCAACATAACAATACACACTGAATATCAGACAGGCAAATTAGGAAAGATAATAATACAAATTCATGAATTTATAGTCTCCACTGAAGGTTAAACAGGGCAGTAGTATTGGTCGGACTTGCTTATTCTACACATAGAGCACTGGGTGTTTCACGCGAATTGTGATAGCCTCTGCTGTTTGGAGCATCCGATACCTCGGTGATTTTGGCAATTCATTTGGTACCCGGTACATGATGATAGAGAAGGATTCTTCACTTCTGGCTGGCTTTGTGGCCGGTTTGGACCAGGTGGTCTAATATCAAAATGTTGATGGTTTTTACTACACCTTTACTTAGCCATACTGGGAGATGTTCTAGAGCACTACCACCCTGACTAGCCTTCAGTGGAGACTTTAAATTCATGAATTATGTATTATTATTTTTCATAATTGTTTTGATATGCAGTATTTTGTTATGTTGATGCTATTGAACTCTAATCCATTGATATTGTTATTATTGATTCAATGTTATCTAAACAACATTAATGCTGTTAACGACACTAATTCACTCATTCACTACTTTTTTTGATTCATTTACGTTTCCAGTGGAACATGGGGCTTCAAGCTTCAGCTTTGAAGTTTCAGTAGTAGTGATTTTTTTACGGGGTGGGGTAGGTAGCCTCACGCCCAACCTCTCCTCTTTGTCTAGCTAAGGTAGGTAAAGGAGTGCGCCGACCTGGACTCGAACCCCGGACCACGTGCATAGTCGGTCAACGCTTTACCACTGAACTTCCGAAGCACTTGATCCACTATTATGTATATATAACTGTAGAACCTGATGAAGAGCAGGTTATTAAAAAGAATATTCTTTGTTCAGTAACCATTCCTTTGAAAAACATAATTTCCCTATTTTTTCTGATGAATTCGTTACCCGTTGCATTAATTTCATTATTTTCTGAATCGTATTTGATTAATTTCAATTCTTCTAAGTGATTAACTTCTTTAGAGCATAGACCTATGAGAATAAGTACAGTTATTTTGATGATTGTATCGTTAATTCTTGATCAAAGCATACCTTGAGCATACTGATCTATTAATTTTTCACTACAGTTTACTGGTAAACCTAAAAAAAAATGCAACCAAAATTAAATAAAGAAGACTTTAAGAAAAAAAGGGGAAAACTAAAGTGATTTAATTAATGTTTTTAATGTGAGTTGCTTTCATAAGTGAAATTTTCATTTCTGACTCTGATACAGAATTTCAGAGATTAATTCATTTTGAAAGTCCATAGCCTAAGCTGAAAATATCCATTTCTATAATCACTGACTCATTGAATAAATGCAACTTTTTCAGATGTGTAATTTGAATAATCTGAATTGCAAAATGGATGATTTTCATGGCCAGTAGTATGGTGCATAACACTTCGGCCTTTTGAAACAATGGGTATTGGGTTAGAGATTCAGTAGGGAGAAAATCATCGCTCACTGGGGATACAGGTACATCCTGGTAATCTATGTATTTATTTACTATTCCCTTAGGTTCCGAGTTGAAAAAAGGACTTTAACAGCACATCACAATTTTCCATAAGCCCTCATCTCCTCCTATCCTCAGCCAACGCCCAACTCGTCGTTTCCAATTCGACCAGTGGTCTGATGTGCGATGTCAGCCAACAGTTTTCTCAGTGTGTGTGATCCATTTCTATACCTGATGAACAATAGGTTCTTGATGTTGTGGATTCTTTCCATCGGCCATCTGTTCTTCAGTATCGATCAAGCGAAGGCAGTTGTTCGTAAAAGTTTGAAGCCTGATCGAAATTCTTCTGATGATGCAAGCTCCAAGTTTCTGACCCACATAGAAGAACTGACCACTTGATGTTAGTTTTGAAAATCTGAATTGTGTTCCTTATGCTGAGTGCAGCAGATTTCCAATCTGATTTCATAGCATTGGGGGTCTGCCCTGCCTTTCCGATCATGGTCTTAATATCTTCATCGTGCCCCCATATAGTTGAGACTATGCTGCCCAAACAAGCGAAACAAGTGACATGTTTCAAATTTCTGTCGTTTATAGTGATTGGTGATTGTTGTTGTTGTTGGTCTTCGTGTATCTTCATTGCCTGTGTTGTCTCTGTGTTTACTTGAAGTCCTTTCTATGCTACTTCTTCTGCCAACTTGTTGTTTTTCTGCTGTAAGTCTTCGGGCCTATATGAGATTAGACATAAATCGTCTGCGAAGTTCAAATCTGCTATATACTTCTTGTCAGTCCAACATACTTCTGTTTTCTTGCTGTGGACAGTCTGATGCATGATTCAGCCTATCACAATCAAGAATGTCATTGATGTTAGTAAGCGGCTTGTCTTACTCCTGTCTTCATTTCAAACGCTTCTCTGAGTTTTCTGTTGTTGATCATTTGACATGTTGGATTATAATGTAGCTGTTGAATGGGATCGATATAGCTTTGGGGGGGGGGCACTATTTATTATCGAGGCAGATTACAAATTATTTCACAGTCAACGTTGTTGAAGGCCTTTTCAGACTTGATAAAGTTAAGGTGAGTAAGATTTGACCGCCATTATATGGTTTGTTTGATGATGCTGCGTAGAGTTGCAATTTTATCCACGCATGATTTACCTTTTCTGAATCCAGCCTTTTCCGGATAGAATTCTGCATCGTGAGCACCTTTTAGTCTCTCTAGGATGAACAGACTTAATATTTTGCTTGGCGTGGATATTCAGGAGATGCATTGTAAATAGGCTGAAACACGCATTCTAGTTTATACCGTTAGCCGCCATCAACCTAATAAATCTACTTTGAAATTTAACACATTGTGATGACTACACTTATGCAAATAATATTTTCTCTTCATTCAGGATCTCGAAGTAAAACAGTAATCTAAAGTACAACATGTGATGCAATGATTTTTGATCTGAAGAATAGAATAATACCTTATGGTTTATTTCTTTCGTTGCCAAGAAAGGCTCAGTAGTAAGCCGAAAGCCAACTGAAGACGTACGTGAGTACATAATCGGGTGGGTAAAACAAGGAGAAACAAAGGACGTTTTATGAACTGTAATGGGTAGAAATTCAGGTACCCCAACAAATAGCTCAAGCAGGCTTTCAACCTACTGCTGAGCATTTCTTGACGACGAAAGAAAGATCCCATCAAGGATTATTTTATTCTTCAGATAGAACAGCACTGCGTCACACGATATACTAAAGATCACTATTTTACCTGAAGATACTGGATGCAGAGAAAATATTCTGCAAATTAACTACGTTGAAAGCTCTGTACATAGTGTAGACATTCTATGCTGAATAAGCTGTTATCATTATTATTATCATTATTAACTTGATTATTTTATACTTGAAAGTAAATAATGCTGTGGACTGATACAGTAAAAAGAAAAACCCATAAACGAGGGCAAAACATTGCTCTATCAAATTTTACTCCCCCCCCCCGGATAACTTAAAAGTGGATATTTTTCCCTGATGAAGGCTGATTTGCAATCAGTACTTCTGTTAAAAATTCTTCCAAATGAAAGAAAAACTCCCGCAAACTTATTGCTATTTAATCAGTTTATATTTCAGTATTTTACAATTTAATTTCTGTCATGAATTAATTAGCTTTCAGAAACTAATAAATGTGTCAAATTATAACTACACGAACAGACGAACTATTACATTGATTGGAATCTAGTAACTAGTGTGATGTGTCTAGTCCTTTGTTTAGTGCAGACTGAACTCTATCAGTCAGGTTTGTAATGTGGCCACCATTCTACGTAGCTCACACATCACATTAGTTACTTGTGTCCAATCAAAGTATCCAATACAGTCCTACGGGAGGTCAATTGTGAGCCCGAATAGCTCAATGGTAACGTCTCTAACTGCAGAACTGGGTGACTTGGTTTTGAATCTCAGAAGGAATATGAGTTCCTCCACGGTTGTAGATATACCTTGCTGACGAGTGCTAACTAGCATGAAACCTAGATCCAAGGTTTCCTGCCGATTGCCTCCAACCATTTAATATCATCAAGACAAACTATTATTTTCCTCAGTATTTTAATCACTGGCTAGCAATCGAAATTTTCATTTCCACCTAGATATGCACTTAGTGAAGATAATTACTGTATTCTGTTTCATTTATGGATTTATATGTGATGAAAGCATAGTCATAACACTGTATTCTCTAAGTTTCTAATTTCAGTAAGGTCTATCAACCTAGTCTTACGTGGACCACATTGCTCTGAGTACTTGACTGACGTAAATTTTTGATTGGGTTATATATATAGGTTCTAAGAGAGAGAGGTCAATTATTAAGTCTTTTTTCACTAAATCAACACTCCCATTAGGTTTGAATGAATATCTGTAACATTCGACTAAAACAATCCAAAGAAAGAATCATAACAAAACTAATATAAACCGATTGTTAGAGATTGTGCTCAAACATTTACTGAATAGATAATGCCATATTATTCTTTACATTAACAGACGAATTTAGCTGCATCTCTTGTAGCTCAATCGGTCGAGAACTGAACTCTTGATTCCGTGGCTAGGTGTTTCGAATCGTGCTGTGACCAATTTTTCCACTTCGCATTCAATCATTATTCATTGGTTATGTTTTCAGTTTTTGTCTAGTTTTTAGAATTTTTAGAGTGGAGAATTTAAAACAATAAGAAATGATACTGTCTTGTAAATAACTCGAAAAATCGGTCTTTAAAAGACTTAAGACCATTTTTTGAGGGAAGCATCCTTCGTTTTTGGTAGAATTTATGCAGACAGAAGTGTTAAAAATTCCTGAGAAAGAGAGAGAGACAGAGAGTTTCACGTTTGATCACGACCTGGCATCACTTAGAGAATCATTGGGAAATCATGAAGTACTGGCCAGGTGTTTTGTCCCAGTTCGAGGCTCTTCATCAGTAGCTAGCTACCAGAGTTAAACACAGGATATCCCGGTTACAAGGCAAGCTCGTAGGCCATTCAGGCAGTGGGAAACATTTGAATCGCCCATGGATTCCAATTTCTGTCGATTCATGAAAACGCTTGAGAGCTTATCAATAAAGTACAGGAAATTTTTCAAATAATGAATGTTAAAAAATAGGGTGGAATATATTTCCAAGATGAAACCTACCGTATATTTGTGGAAATTTCTTTAATCGAACATAAAAGAATGTATTTTTGATCCAATTCAAAATACTCTCAGAATCATACACCGTTCTTAGAATGATTTCACATAGTAAATGATGTAGGAGACGTGGTTTCAAGCTATTTAAAAGAAGGAAAATTTAATTAAATAATTAAATTCATTGTGTTATAATTTAGGCGTAGTTCAAGTCTCAGTGGAAATACGATGATCACAAAATAAAGATCCAGATGAATTCAACCGACGAGTCCCAAACAGGACGAAACATGACACCGTGTTAGTCTTCAAACATAAGTAATCTACTGTCAAATGGTCTTAAGATAAATCCTTACAAATGTCAGGCTGTTAATTTCATTTTCAGACACAAGCATGATTTCCATAAATTGATTGATTCCTATGATTCCAGTATCATAGATGAAACTGAAGTTGAAACTAAGTCGAACGTTAAGTACCTTAGATTATGTTTTTCCACTGATCTATCACATAATGTTCATTTCTAGAAAGACGTTTTGTTTAACCTTCTAAATAAGGAAGATAAGACAAGCTGGTGTCATTCAACTAGTCCCTACTTTTACAGTTTGCTGATTCATGTATTCTACCTCTTCTTTTTTATTGCTCACCCCACTTAAGCTTTTCTGGACTACTCAAGAAAGACTCTGTTACACTGCGAAGGACACTGAAAGCTATCGGTAGGGTGGCTGGGGTATCGCTAAACCAACTTGTTAACACACTGTTGTAAATAGACACTTGACACACTCATATGAGAAATTAGCGAACAGTGTCTTTGAGTATCTTCTCTGTGTGCACAACTCTCTCCTTACATCTCATCAGGTAGGACTGGAAGCAATTATAAAAGACTTAATGCTCGAACGACTAAGTATAAAAAACTATACGATATCTTGTTAGGCAGAAATATTATGTGATGAGAAAAGTGTAAGGCATAACACTACTAACTTACTGCGAAGCATTAATTGAACGAGATACAGTGTTATACAGTAATATTTACTGTAAATATTACTGTATATTACTGTAAATATTACTGTATAACACTGTGAGACTCTATCAAAATAAAATTTACCCATAATGGAATTACACTCTACCACAGTGCCCAAGTTTTATTCTTATATCAACATTAATTAACGACCCTTTTTTATTATTTATTTCACTATTATCATCGTTGTTAATATTGCCACTTAAATTTTAATCTTAAATTCATATTCTTGTTGACATTATTAATAATGTAAATGCTCTGTTAGTTATTTTCCCGCTATTATGTGATGCAAAGGAAAAAGCTAGATCCAATATTGTAATACATGTTGAAAATTCGACATTGTATGGAACATAGTGTTTGGGATAAAGCCATGATCAATATTATTATTGAAACATCCGTTTATTTATTTGCTATTGTTATTATTAAATTTCAAATTTGATGGCACACTTCACAGACAAGTGGACAGGGTGGCGATGGGCTCCCCATTGGGTCCCATTTTGGCTGATTTCTTTCTAAGTAAACTAGAAAATGGACCTTTGAACAACCTTATCAGAAAGTTCTCATTTTATTGCCGGTATATGGATGACACCTTTATTCTTTGTGATAATAATTCGAATAGGAGGAAAATAATAACTACATCCAATGAAGTACATTTGGCTATGAAATTCACGTGCGAAGAGGAATCCCAAAATGGAATTACCTTCCTGGATGTCCCCCTTACAAGAAAACCAGATGGTGGCATAAAAAGAAATTTGCATAGAAAAAGGACTTGGACAGGACAATATACACATTTTCACAGTTTCGTTCCTCTCAAGTACAAAAGAAATTTAGTAAAGACCCTCAGCCACAGAGTTAGAGCTATATGCTCAGAAGAAGTAATTGAAGATGAATTAAGCATTGTCTACGATACTTTGGTTGAAAATAGCTATCCCGAGAAATTTGTCAAGAAACACATGACAAAGAAAGCGGAAAAGGGCTACTCACTATCTGTAAACAAGAAGCCTTTATATGTACGACTGCAATTCATGGACGATATAACAAGCGAAATAATAGCGAAGAAATTAAGAAAATCAGTTCAAAGAACTTTTAATGCTGGCGAACTACACGTCTTATTCTCTACACGACCGATATTGATTCCTCGACTGAAAGATGAAGTACCTAGACTAGCCACTTCTAACTGTATCTACCAATTCAACTCCTTTTGTGGAGCGAGTAATATTGGCCATTGCTGTAGGAACTTGATTTTTCTTGCTCGGGAAAATCTACCAGTGTGGTTAAATAAAGGCTAAATAAATAGCTCCATATTAGAACACCTGCTCCAAATCGGCTACAAGGCTAATACTGAAGATTACTTCTCCATTATTTATCGGGTACCAAATAAATTTCTAAAAACGTCCAGTAACCGCATACTCCAAACAACAGAGGCTATCGCGAGTCGCGTGAAACAACCAGTGCTCTGTGTGTAGAGGAAGCAAGTCCAGCCCCTACTACTGCCTTGGCCAGCCTTCAGTGGAGACTATAAATTCATGAATTTGTAATATTATATTTCCTAATTTTTCTGACATTCAGTATAATGTCATGTTGATGCTATTGAACTGTAATCTATTGTTATTATTGATTCGATGTTATTTAAACACTAATTCATACACTATAATGTATATATAACTGTAGAGCCTGATAATGAAGTTATCGAAAAGAATATTCTTTTTTCAGTATCCATTCTTTTGAAAATTTTAATGGGCATTTTTAATCAGTTATTATTATTCCCTTGAGTTCCGAGTGGAACATAGGGCTTCACCAACACATCTCTACTTCGTCCTATCTTCTGCCGTCCTCTTCAGCTTGGACCACTATTGCCCACAATCTCTCATTTCCTCCTCAACGATCTCCTTCATGTCACCCTCGCACCGGCGACTCACTCGTCGCTTTCCACTAGGATTCCACCGGGAAACATCCGTATTAGGGGCTAATGTGTCAACAGAGATTCAGCATTTTGATTCCAGATAGAAATTTGACGGGAAATACAAAAAAATACCTTAAACACATATAAGGTAATTCCTACTATAAAGTGATAAAATAATTACTTTAAAATATTTCAAATTATTGCTTAATAATTCATATTATGACTGATTACTTATATGAATAAAACTCGTTAGTGATTGACCTGTATCATTCTGCCATAATAAATAAGTTTTTAAAAGTAATAAGGACTCAGGTAGAAAGATTCCCAACCAGTCTACGAAGACTAACATATTCTCTGTCAACGTCTTCAAGGAGAAAGTGAAATTTTTACAGACAGATATCTAACACAGTGACTAATACAGGCTATTAAGCCTACTATGGTCACTATTAAATATACTACCCGAAAAGTGTGACATTAATCCCATATGAAGAAACTTTCAATTAAAAGGAAGATACTTTGTAGCACTTCCTGATTTTGTGGTAATTCTATCAGATGACTTCGTTTCTCAATACAAACACAGATTTCTGTTGTGTGTTTTAAAAAAATAATAATAATTTAACCAATTCTGAAAGCAGATCGTGTAAGGGAGTTAATGGAAGCTATTAAGCAGAGAACCCAGTGCAATTGAGATGTTCCATTGAAGCTCTATATATTCCACGCAGAATCCAAGGAACAAATGATAATAATAATAATGAAAGAAAAAGAAAAAAGGGGAATGAATCTTTCACCTACCAGCTGTTGATTTCATCAAATGTATTTAACAGTGTTGTATAATGCATCTAGAAAATATGATTATTCATTAGAATTTATGATTATTTCAATTGGACATATTGAACACATACTTTTAAATTACTGGATGTCATTATAATTGCAATACCTTCATCGTCGAACTGCACAAAAAAAAAAGAAAACAAACGGAAGGATAAACATAAAGCAGTTATAAAATCAATTTATTCAATCAATTAATATAAGTTTAATTGAATTTTAAATTTTTCCGTCGATTGATTGGACCGAAGTGCTCGGTCTCAGGTTGACAGGTCGGCTTCTTGTGCAGATGCTTCGACGACATCTGGGCATTTAATTAGAATTTAATTGGTTGATGGTGACTAGCAGTGAAATCCAGGATAACGCGCACTTCGTCCTATTTGGGACTCATCAGGTGGATGTACCTGCATTTCCCAGCGAGTGATGATTTTCCCACCGAGGCTCGAACTCAGTGCCCATAGTTTCAAACGCCAAAGCCTTATCTACTAGAGCAATTGGGCCACCAATTAAATTCTAATTAATGGGGATGTGATTACGACAGCGAAATAAAACCTGTGGTGTGATAGGTTTTAACTGCTGCACTGGCCTTAATGACATTTCACTTATCATAACTTCTGTCAAATTATAATCTAGATGAGTTTATAAACTAACAGTTCATGAACTCAAACTAAATCATGGCATCAGTCAGTGAAATCCACAACATTTAGTTTAAGTTGGCCAATGAAGTAGGGAGGTGTAGACTGCCAGTTTGGTTGGAGTCCTCGGGATGGTAAGAACTAATGGCTGGATACAATTGGTGATATGGCTGGCTCAAAATCGTTCTCAACGGCGCTGACGCATTTGCTCTTTATCATTTATAATATCCAGTAAAATTCTATTGTTCTTCCATATTACTATTCTTTTTGCCTCATATTTCTGTTTATTATCTGTCTCTTTTTCTCCTCTGAATCTCTCTTTACTTTCTTCTCTTGCTTTGTGTGCTACAAGCAGGGAGTGTGTCAAGTCGAACTGCTGCACATCTGTGCAAAGTTCTGTGTTGAAACCAGTCAGTCGTCAGACATAAACTAACAGTGTAGCAAAATGCAATTCAGTACTATGACCCTGTTAGAAGGCTACCTTAAACAAGAAGATTGAATGAAATTTTCATTCGCAAAAATCCATCTGGAAGTTGATCGTTAGTCTGATATATAAAATCTCCTTCAAGCTCACATATCGATAAGCCAGAAATGATTGAAATATTGTATACCTCCCTTTATTGTCCTTTTAACCGATTAAATAACTAAAGATCTCTTGAATATATCTTTTAGTAACTCGCATAATAATTTTGTTGATATGTTTTATGCTATCTCAGAACACGCTTGTTAAGGAGGGAGATTTTATAACAACTGCATATATTTGGCCACTATTACCTTCCAGACACTAATCGAGTTCAGTGAAACAAGCCGAAATAGTTTTAGGCGAAATATGTAGACTACTAGGATAACTTATAGACTTCTGTCACCTGACCAGCGAGGGATATGTATTGCGCATCCCTACCCACTGTATGTTTCAATACACTACATTAGCGGAAATGGGATTAGACAGGACTGAAGTAAAGGGTGATTATTGTCTATTTCACTGTTGATATGAGCCCTTTGAAAAAATTTAGATTACTTGATTGGGATCCACATAATCACAGACACCTATGTTTGGAGACTTTAGACGATATGTCACAGATTCCATCTGAGTGTTCCAAGTTCATCAATTTTTCGTCTCCTTCTTGCTTATAATATTTCACTTGTTAATCAGTTTTAACTTTCTTTTCTTCCCATACATTGTATCGTTTTTCTTTCTTTGCTTTTCTTTTCTTTAACTTCTATGTGATGTTTAGATATGATTAAGGAACCATTGAAAAACCTGGGAGTACTGAACAGGTGTTTCGTTCTAGTTCTTAGGACTCTTCAGCAGGTTTCTAGGTTTCCCAATGGTTCTCTAACTGATGTCACCTCATGACGAAATTCTCCAAACAATCAAACACAATCCCTACAAAATCAATACTTGGAAATCAACCTGATGCTCACTAACGACTGGCCCTATTCAGGCAGTTACCTGAGATTCCAGTGAGAAGCCGTGACCAGTAGGGTAAAGCAGGTTGAAGGTGGGGCAGTAACTCATCGAAGAAGACATTGGCTAGCGGTTGCGCTATGTCATGAATTGGCAGAAGTTGGAAATCATGGACTGGCTTAATGGTCTACGAGCTCGGTATCCTTGTAAGCAGAAGGTCCTGGGTTCGAACCCTGTTGGTGGGTGCGTACTGCTGAATAAGAGCCTCAAACTAGGACGATACAGACAATTAGTCTTCATAACATAAATGAGATTTTACAATTTGCAAATTAGCTAGCAATTTGCAGTGGACACACTTCCATTTGGAAACTAAATTATTCAGATCACAATATGTGATCCGCTTGATACTATATATGGTAATTAAGGGAGCAAGAAGCAAGGACATGGCACTATATACTACTGACTGACTGAGATGAGTAGTTGCATACCACTCGCATCAACTAGTAGTGCTTGCCAGCAGGATTGAGTTGTATACAACTACTCATCTCAATCAATCAGTAGTATATATATTTTCGTATAAATCTTTTTTGAACACTTGATAATTTAACTGTCTGTATCATTCTGAACTTATGTTACTTATAGTTCCTATCAGTAATTCACCTGCTATTCTTGATTTGTTAATTAATATTTCTCAATGTGAATAATAAATTGCTAATCATTGCTAAACAATTAAATAATTGAAATCAATGATAATAAAATAGATAAATAATTTATTTATTTCAATTATGAATATCCTACCTGTGGACGACCTGCTCTTCCAACCATTTGTGATATCTGGGTTGAATTATACCCGACTAAATCACCATCAATATATTGTTCAGTATTTTTTATAATTACTAAATGTGCTGGTAAATTAACACCCATTGCAAGTGTACTAGTGCATGCTTTGAAGATAAGATAATAATAATAATAATTCAATGTTCAATTTACTTAGTACAGATAAACAACCGGATATGAAAGCATCTTCAATAATTTTTCTGTCCTCGGCATCCATACCAGCATGATGATAGGCAACACCGTTTAGCATAGATTCTAAAATGGATATTAACAGTATTATGATTGATTAGGTCATGAGATAAATACTTGAAATCACCTACTGTGGTGAGTGCTACTGATAAAATTTATCAGTAATATATATAAAGAGACGTTCATTTGCAAAAAAAACACCAAATGGCAGGGAGATGCATTTGATGTCAGAGAAGGCAAATGGTACAGAGTTGTGGAGAAACACAGGAGACGTGAAAGAAACACAAATAAAAACAATATGAACTCCAGAAGTACCACAACCCGAAAGATCTGTGCAAATAGCACTTTGAAGATAAGGTGTAGATAGATTTGCAAACAAACATTCTGTTCTCCTACCGTTTCACTACTTATAAAAAACTACTTCTAACTTTTATCAAAGTTAAAAAGAATAGGATTTGCAGTGAAATAGGTGAACATCTTGTTATGAGGCATTTCTTCAGCTGCACATAGCATTTTTAATCAAAGCATAAACTAGATATAAAAATTATATTTTCAAGTATTGGTTTTGTAGGGATTTTGTTTGATTAGATGGAGGATTTCATCATGAGTTGATATCAGTTAGAGAACCACTGGAAAACCTAGGAGGCAGTAACTCATAGAATAAGACATTGCGAAATGGTCGCGCTGTGCCGTGAGTTGGCAGAAGTTGGAATTCATGGGCTGGCCAACGGAATGGGTCTCAGTGGCTTAATGGTTTACGAGCTTGGTGGCCTTGTAACCAGAAGGTCCTGGGTTCAAACCCTGTTGGTAGGTGCGTCCTACTGAATAAGAGTCCCAAGCACTAGGACGAAACAGTTATCCAGTATTCACAGCTGGTTTTCCAATGGTTCTCTAACCAATGTCAGCTCATGATGAAATCCTCCTTCCAATAAAGATTATAGTTTAACAAAATAACAAAGGGTGCATTTTTCTGGGATAAACATTCCAAATGACACGAAAAGGAAGTATTTCTTTAACTTAATAGAATGACAGCAGTCATGACAAAAAATAAATCAGTAATCTCCGGGTCATCAGTTTCGTTTACCTATAATACTTAATGACTAATTAGATCTCAGTTCCACTTCTATCAGGAAACGTCTTATCAGCCACTGTTTGAATAAGTAATAAGTAGCAGCTCATTGAGGCCTATTTTTATCTCGAACCAAACTGTATGGAATTAGAATAAAAAAGCAAGTAACAGAGTGTTATTACAACTGCATGTTAAAGCTTGATTCTACACGCTGATAGATAATTCGCTACCGAAGTTTTATCGCTGGCTAACTAGTTAAGTTACTTGGAGACATTTGGTTAGTAGTCTTGATATGACATGACTTTCATTTAAAATTCATTTGTTAATGTGTAAATAATTTGACTTTTATTTGGCACAAAATATCTGTTTGTCCATCAAAAGCTTTGGTAAGGGTTTGGTTTGGAGAACAACTGGCCAAAGTTTTAGGGATTAACTCAAGTCAGCCGTAGCAGCTTAGTTTATCACACACACAAAAAAATATTCTTTTCATAAAATTCGATTAATGGATATCCTATTGGTATTTCATTAAATTTCTGAAAATCACTTATCAGTGAGTGCCTTCGTTTTGAGTGGTTTTGGAGTCTGGAACCAAATTAAATGTATTCAACACTTTTATAGAATTTCAAATGTAATAACTGTATTAGAGCATAAAATAACTATACTTGGCTTGTTGAAAAAGGGATGATTATATAATACTGTGTGTGGCTGACAATTTCATGGCAGATGGTGAGAGTACCAATGAGATAATGTAAAGAATGAATTGTACATTATTAAGAAAGAGAAACAGGCTTTCCAATTTCCCCAAGCAGTGGATACATCCCAAGCAAAATACCAAGCCGAATCATCCTGGAGAGAATCAAACAAGCCCTGGATGAAGAACTTTGACGGGAACATGCTGTATTCAGAAGAAACAAGTCATGTGTCGATCAAATCGCAACACTATGGGTCATTATTGAACAGAGCTTGGAATGGCAGTCAGCTCTCTACCTCACTCAACTTCATCGACTTTGAAAAGGCCTTCTACAGCGTTGATCGAGAGGTGATTCGGCAACTACTTTGCTACTAACAAGGGGTGCTGCCAACAATTATACATCTCATCCAACAGTTGTACGATAATGCTGCATGCCAAGTAATCCTAAACAGCAAACTCACAGGATCTTTCGAAGTGAAGACGGGGGTAAGACAGCCTGACTGCCTACTATCTCCAATGATTTTCCTGACTGCAGTAGACTGGGTATGGCAACAGTCAGAGAGCAAGCAACGAGGAAACATGCATGAGAGGGACCCACACAAAATATTTGGAGGATCTGGACTTCACTGATAACATGCATATGTCTGATTTCCCACAAACTGGAAGATACGCAAGTGAAAAGCAACAAGTTGGCAGAAGAAGCATCAAATATAGTACTCCCTTCAGGTGAACGTAAAGATAACAGAGGTGATGAAGATTTCTGGCCAACAGTAACAGGAACAACAACAGACAACAATCAGAATAAATGGGAGGAATCTGAAAGGAACAACCTCCTTTACCTACCCACCTACCTGGAAAGCATCGTTTCAACTACAGGCGGAACTGAAGAGGATATCAAAGCAAGGATCGCGAAAGCAAGGCAATCTTTCATTTCTCTCAAGTCGGTGTGGAGGTCAGCAGCACTCAGCATGGAAAATAAGATCCGGATTTTGAACTCCAATATGAAGTCAGTGCTGCTTACCACACGGATCACGGACTTGGCCAGCGCATCACGAAGGGCAGTTAGAAAAAACTACAGACTTTCATCAATAACTACCTTCGCTCAGTGCTCAAGACCAGATGGCCATAAATGATAAGAAACAGGGAGATCTTTTGGAACGAACCAACCAGGAACCAACTGTGCAACAAATAAGCAGGAAGAAATGGGGGTGGATTGGCCATACTCTGAGAAAACAATCAAGTGACAACATATAAAAGGCTCTCTCTCGAGTTGAACCCAAACGCGAAGCGGTGAGTTGGTCGTCAGTGCCAGGGTGGGGTGATATGGAGGAGGTCAGGTGAAGAGGAAATGGAAGCATGTGAGCAGGCGTGGAGCCATGTGAAGACGTTGGCAGAAAACCCAACACATTGGAGACGTGCTGCTGAAGCCCTATGTTCCTCTAGGAACTAAAGGAAACAATAATAATAACACAATATTTTTCCGGTTAGCTAACGATACTTAATGCATCCAGCCGATGATTTTCAGCCAAGTATCCTTTACTATTAAAATTTTTTATAAATTTCACTAGAAGAGACAATAAACTACTTTGAGTGTAATTCAATAAATACTGGTATCCCTATCTGTGTTGCCTGGGGGAAAATATACGATAGTGGTACATCAGAATCTCTTTTTTTGTGTGAAAAATCTATCACCACTCATAAATACAGAGTGTCGCATTAAGCCAACCTGGGCAACCGGATAGTCTTCACATGATAAGTGTGGCTCTTGGCCTCGCACATGTAAAATCTATTTCGAGTAACTGAGGCTAAGCAAGAAACAACTTATCTTGATTGCCGTCATATGTGAGATTGTACAAGGCGTTTATACACATGCAGTTAGAAAGAAAATTTCGTTGGAAAAATCTGTCAGTTAGATGAAGACATTTATTTATTAAAATGCCAACCAAAGATCGGTAAGTAACACTGTCAGATGCCTGACTGCTACTAGTATTTCCTACTTCAAAGGAATAAACTTCAAAAAATTAATTAGTTTAAAGTGGAGCTATAGCTGGCTAGATGAAAGTAGGCTTTTGATATTCTGCGCTAAGAAAACATTAAAATGAAACCTTAGATACACTTAAAGTAGTTATTATTATTCTAATGGGTTTTGAGTTGAATATGGGGCTTCAACAGAAAATCTCCACCTCATCCTGTTATCTGCATTCCTGTTTAGCTAGCTCTATCACTTCCCGTACGCTTCCATCCCCTCCTCGCACGACCTCCAGCATGTCACCTCAGTATCAATACCTAACTCGCCATTTCCCATTTGAGTTCCACTCAAGTGATGGCCTGGCTCGCGGTGTCACTCAAAAGATCACCTCAGCGTGTGTCTGACCCATTTGCCTTCCCTTCAACATATTTGTCAGACGATGGGTTCTTGGTTGGTTCATTCTCATTTATTGATGAACCTCTGCAACCTGTTGGAAATACTTTTACTGACTCTCGCGGAAACTCTCTGAACCATATAGAAGAATGAACTTGATATCAGCTTTGAAAACTGAGTCTTTTTCTTTATGCTGATCGCAGTAGATTTCCACATTGATAATAATTAATATCTGCCTTGCTTTTCCAATCCTGCCTTTGAAACCTTCATCTGTGCTGTCGCTTTTAGTTGAAACAATGCTGCCTAGATAAGTGAAAGAAATGACCTTATTCAAATTTCTTTCATTACTACTTTTGTTATTCTTTGGTTACCTTCATCATCCCTGTCTTCTAAATGTCCACTTGAAGTCATGTCTTCTCTACTTCTACTGACAGATTGTTGGTTTTTACCTTTCAGATCTTTCAATTTGTGTGACATTAAAAATAAATCTTTTGGAAAGTCCACATCTTCTACAGTCTTCTTGTCGGTCCAACATATTTCCGTCTTCTTGCTCCCCATGGCTTATCGCTTGATCAAGTGGAACATAATCAGGAATAGCATTGGCGTTTGAAGATGGCGTTTTCTTACTCCTGTGTTTGCTTCAAGGGCTTCTTTAAGTTTTGCTTTGTGAATGATTTGATAGGTATCATTGCCATGGAGCTGTTGAATAAAATCGTTATCCGTTTAAGGCACCACGTAGTGTTAAATCAGTTTCCAGACTACTTCGTGGCAAATGCTGCTGTAGGTCTACCCATGGTCGATGAAGTTGAGGCGGAGATTTGACTTTCATGCTATGTTTTGATTGATGATGATACGGCACGTTGCTGTCTGGTCTTCACATAAATAGCTCTTCCTAAATTCGGCTCATTTCGAGTGGAGCTACGTATTTAGAGCAACACAGCTTAGCAGTTGAAGTATTTGAATTTTTTGTATTGATAAACAATGAATATCAATATCTTTGTGTCATACTTGTAAACTCTTAATATATCCTAAATTTTGAACTTAAGACTTATTAAAATATGTGAAATTCTATAGAAAATCATCTAAAAGGGAGTCACATTAAACGAAAAAGGACAAAGCTTAAATGATTGGTAGTATGTGATAAAGATGGATAAATAAATGTCAAAATTAACAAACAATGTGTGTTTGTAACTCTCTCAAGAAGTGTCTAATGCATTCATCAAGTTATTTTCAAAACATTAGCTGATTTTCACAGCAATATTAGTGTCACTACATCTTGTTAGGATCCATTCACTTGCATTCCCATTTTTTGTATTCTCATACGATTCCTGTATCCCAGTATATTACGTATGCGTTGCTTCAAACTTCGTGACTACTTTACTCGGGACCCTGTCTCTACCTTCTGACTTCTTCAGTTACTTTTAAAAAAGGTACAAAATATACCATTTTGCCTCGTTTTAAGGAAATAATCACTCACATAACTTACCTTTTAAGTGTGTATTCTTGATATCCTGTGCATATTGGAGTCTTCGCATTATGACTTCATTGTTAACCACGAAACTAGCTCCCTTCAAAATGTCGTTCGCAGTTCGAACAGTGCCACTTCTAGTTGTACAAAACTAATCCTATTAAAGCTGAACTTGTGAACTTACAACTAGAACAGGTTTGTTGGCTGAGTACGTATTTATTAGCTGAGGAATCCTGTAGCTTAAGCTTGTTTCAAACTGAAATAAAGACTGATTCTTCTGGCGCATATAACCAATGACCATCTTCTTGACCGGTGACATTCTGAATTCCTCCCCAAATCTATTAAATTACAAACAAAAGCTTGAAACCTACGAAAAGAAAGAAACAGTTCTTTCTGGAACAGTTAACCATTGTGCAATCTACATTAGGTAAGACCGTGTTATAGAATATATTACTGTACATCTTGCACATTTGATAGTGTAGCAGAAGCACAAACAAATCGAGGACGAGATAACATTTTGATTCTTGTTATAAGAACTTCGAGTACTGATCCCCTTTCGGACTCTCCTAACAAATGAACCTTAAGCATATATTAGCAATCTTAATCTCTAACTTCGTCAATGCAACACAGTTTCAGCTTCTGCCAAATCTCGGAGACTTCTCTGAAAGATTTTATCGTAGCATTAAGCTTTTCCTGGAAAGTTTGTAAAATTCAACATATAATGGTTGTACCGGTGTTGTTATGAGCAAAACTTCACTGCCAATATTTTGGATGTCTACAACATCAGAGTCCCCTGTCGAAGTTAAGCAACACAGTGGAAAACTGGAAAACTTTATCTTCCATTCTCTGGAAACTTGTGAACATATTGCTTTCATTGGTGCAACTTCTATTAGCCAGAATCAATCAGTTAGACCTACTATAAATAATAAGAAAAGGGTCCTTTTGAAAAGAATTTTCATAATCATTCAAGTGCTTCACAATAGCTAATTCAAAAACCGCAGTTTTTCCCGAGCCGGTAGGTGCAGAAACAACCAACGAATTGTTCGTCTGAAATACCTAATCAAAATATGATAAAAGCTGACTGATAGTTAAACCTCTTGGCATATGGGGGCTTGAATACTGTTTAAATTGGTGAAATCAAAAACCCTTCTGCATGCTTCTGGAAGTGGCCAATCCATTGTCTCAGGTTTGGGAAAACTACAAAAGGCTGGGATGTGCTACTACCAACAAAAATTATGGCAGTGATAACCGAAAGCTCATTCGTAATCCCGCTTCAATATCCAATACCGTTTATACGAGCTAGTATGTCTGGACATTATTATTTATTATTATAGCTTGACTCCAAGTATGGAATTTTCAGCATGTGATATCCGTAGCCCAATTTCTCAGGCCGACCATTGATATCGGGTGTGCGTTGGCAGGGTTTTAATAAAATTGTGCTGTGTTTCTGGATTGATAAAGATTCTCATTTCCTGACTACCTATGTTGGTAGCCTCGCCATGAGGTCTGACTGCGACACACTCCTAGCATACTGGTTGCAATGATTAGTGTTTCAGTCAGATTGTGTCAAAATATCGCTATAATGAGCAAGATGGATTAGCTAGAGGGTAATGCCGTCTACACAAATAGTTTACTCCATATAGAAACTTTTTTATTTTTTTATTTTGATTACAGCTTGATTCCACACCGTATTTTCAGTACAAGTATGGAATTTTCAGCATGGATATCGGTAGCCCAAATTTCAGGCCGACCACAGATATCGGGTGTGCGCCGGCAGGGGATCGAACCCCGGACCATGTGCATGGTCGGCGAGAGTCCTAACCACTGTGCCACCGACGCACCTCACGGCATAGTATCATTCGATGAAACCCTCACGTCTCAGGATATCAGTGTAGCTATTTTTGTTTGAAGAACAGTACTGTTTGACAAATGAATGCTGTCAGTACATGAAAATCACCTACAAAAGCTATCGGAACTTTCTGTGGGAGCAAAAGTTATCATGTTGATTTGTCTTTCACCATGTGTTTGGACAGGAATTATCGTAAGTTGAAAGGTTATCCCGTATTACCCCTATACCAACTATAAACATACGCTTTTTAATCCAATTTGCATACTTACATTATATGTTTACACAGACCGATTTTATATGTACTTCGCAAACATTTGTCAATTTACTGTTGAACATTACCTTGACACAATTTTTGAAAATTTGACTACTGCTATAATACATGATCGTACTCTTCTCAAGTGCCTTTTGGTTTTACGTTGTGGGCGTCGAGTAGACACAACGTCTGTGCACATTGATAAACGTGAAGAAGTACTAGGAAATACGTGTACGCTGATTTAGTCAAATGAAGCACGCAACAATCCCTAAGTGGACTGAATATACATTTGCACTCATTGATGCTGTGCTATACGGGTTATGTGGATTCAATTTATAAAAAATATCTCTACTTTAATAATAGTGTGCCACTGTCTGCTTAGCTGACTGCTAGGTTAACAGATGTAGGTGGTTCTCATAATTGTTGCAATTTCAGTGTAGTGGAGAAAGCAATAAATTGTTTAATTTTCCTCACTGTTTCACTTAGTGCATTAATTCAGTGTACAGTATTGTTATACGTATGCATTGTGTTCATTATGAGCAATGAATCTAGTCAGCTTTATTATTACCAATCTACTGTCTGTTATACGATTCCCATCGACACTGTATACTTAATGCTGCGATATTTTTGATCACCAGATGAATTTCGCCTGAAATCTCCATTTACATGAAGCAGTACAGATGTAGTATCATGATTGGACGTCTAGGTTGCATTATATAACATTGTAATCCTCACCGACGCAACAGGTCTGTGTATCTTACAATACTTTAATTGTTTCTTTATCTTGTCAACACTGTGCATAGCGGTTTATAGTTGAGGCATGTTCAGCTTATATTTGGTGATTATAGCTTGAGATTGTAATTTCTGTAGGATTCACAAAACCATGTTCACCAGACATTACTGAGATTTGGATTAATTTCTAGGTTACACATTTGCAGCACTTCCTTTAATGTAAACGTATTTAGTGTGAAGTTGATCTGCAAGTCATCTTGATGAGAGAATGATACATCAACAGTATGGATGCTTCAGAGATTTATTGAAATTTGCCTATAATTCTCTAATACTAGAAAAATTTGAGATTTGTTTATGGGTATGCCGTTAATATAAAAATCAACTGAGGACTACAAATACTTTTATTTACATGGGAATTTCACTTAGTATTAACAGAATCAGTGAATTCATATTGTGTAGTATTATTTAGAATTACCTTTTGTAACTTCATTTTGTGTTAGTCCTTACATGTGCTTTATCTTTTAGGTGTCTGGAGTTCACCGAATATGAAATCAGCGAAAATGTCGATCGGTCAAACTAACGCTAGTAACCTTCATCAGAATTTTCTTTTGTAAATTAATGAAATATTTAATGCACTTTTGATTTCCCCTTTATAATAATAATTTATCTTTCGTATAAACAGGCAAGTCTGCAAGAAATGCACGCCATTTTTACAGGCACGATCAGTCATGTTATAAATTGCGATCCTGAAGTATCATAAATTAATACTTTTTCAAAAGTTTAAATTGTTCAATTATTGTACAAGCAGTCAGAACAGGTTCTTATAAATGTTAAATTGTAAACCGTTTACTGAGTTCACCATCAAAGTTGAGCGACAACCCAAACTTCGTTCTGTTGCATTCTGACATTTATGGTCAACCATTGAGCAGCGTATGTTTGAGTAAGTTCTATAGCACCACATGATTAAAAGCTATCTCAGGAAGACAAGAACGTCCTGGAAAACTGCGAAATGGTATAAAATACGATTATGGATAGTACGTCATGACAGTACATTTACAAGATATATACAAGCAGGAGGTGGAGGCTACTTGGAATGATAGTGTACATTTGTAACGTTTTATGCCAGTTGTATTGGCTCTGTCAAGGAGAGTATGGGGTTTCCGATGAAAATATAGCTTTGCTGAAACACTGGTGTTGCTGTGTTTTCATTCAAAGCAACCAGACTTTGAGCAAGCAGCAAATATGAACAAAGAGTTTGTTTTAGTTCTATTAAAAGCCTAGGTAGTGAAGATCCAATGGAGTATGATAGTGCGTAAATAAAAAGATTATTGTGAGGTAGGTAAGTGATATTTAAGTGGGGAGTGAATTCAAAGATCTGGAAAATTAGAACCCGTAGGACAAGCTAGTCCGTAAGATGCCTCACGAATTTCTGTAGGGCCCAACGGGTAGCGTCTTGACAAGAAGCTGAACAGGCTTGTGAGTGGTAGGAGCAAAAGCATTTTTTATTTATAATTTGAATCTGTTCAACCCTTATTATTCTTTTGTTGAGGGTCAAGACTAATGTTTAATTCAGGAATAGACAGCATATAACCCAAGTCCTCAATAGCATTCACCTAGTAGCCACACATATTTAAGCGGAAGAATATCAAGGTAGCATTTCCTTTTTGAATGTCCGTATTGAAAGGTGAGACGAGACGATAGAGATAAATATCTACGGAAAGGCGACACGCAGTCAACAGTGTAGCTACCTACCCAAAAAGTACAGACGGAATTTAACTAGTTGTTTTAGTCTAGGAGTATTTCACGTGTGTACTAAGGATTTCACTGAAGATGGAACTGAAAATTCTAAAAATATCCAGTAACAAAACAGTTAGCTTACCAATTGTTTAAAGAAGTACATCCCTAAAAATCTTATCAAATGCAGTGGGGTACGGGAAGTAAAAAATCTTTATTTAAGAGTACCGGTCAACTGTGATACATCCAGTGAATTACTGTGATGCGACCTGGGTGAGATCAGTTGGAAAAACCTTCATTGCTTCAGAATAACTCATCAGTTACCCAACTAGACCTACACTGACACAATGTGACAAAGAAAGAGCACCGGCGATGGCGAACCACCCTGTGTCTGCAAATTCAAGTGCTCCTGTGGGTAAGTGAAGCAGGAAATTTGGTCAAGCACACGGAAAGTCAGTCATCATCCAGAAGTTGAAGAAAGCTTTACAACCACAAAGAAGATATGGCTCCCACTTGGTTACTAGTTCTAGCCTTCTGAGTTCCTTAATCACCTGCAATACAACATGCAGTGTTTTAGAAGTCCTACATCAGCATCCACTTAGGAGCGACTTCTTCAGGAATGCCGGAGCTCTATCTGTAGTTTTCTATCGATTGCCTTTGTTTTTCATTGTAGAACTTAGACTCGAGCTCGACTAGGCTTTAACGTTGGCCACCGAATAGTTGTTTTTAGTATCCACAACACGAAGATATTGAATGTTTGTGGTACATCTACATGGGACGCGATTCGTTCACCCGATACGCCACCTGCCAACCTAGTTTGTCGATAGCCTTTTTATTGAAGTTGCCATACCATATCTCTATCGGTTGCTTCATAGTTTCAACATCCTCTACTGCTGCCCAATAGACAAAACTCGCAAACTCATTTTTCTGTCAAGACTACTCTTATCCGAAACCAGTCAGCAGGGCTTTATCAATCCTGTCTCGTCAGCCGAAGCCCACAATATTCTGAGGCCCTCATTTATTCCTTTGGCTTTGAAGATCTACACAGGTTACAGCTTATGCGCACAGTGAACAGATATTATCGGAGCAAACAGTGTGACTGGCGAATTCGTCAATACCTACTTCTAATTGTCGGAACCGATGCTTTACACCATGAAAGTCTTGGCCTTATGGCTTATGTTCTGTTGATCTCTGGTTCGCTATGCTGGTGCTAATGTTATGCTTCTCACTGGGAGATAACTACGCGACACATTCCCTTTGACTGTCTGTCGGTTCTATCCTAGAATAACGCCTAATGCATTTGTGATGATTTTGGGGTGTGACTCCATACGGAGACGGGAACCAACTGGAGACATCAGGCTAAACTTGGCCAGGTTGAGTGAGAAGCCATTCATAGAACTTTCAAATGTGGACTACCAAACACCACATCAGTGCAATTGGATTTTATGTGGCTATGACCAGCGAATATCTGTCCACATACCTACCTTTTGGAGACCCTAGAATAAATATGGGAAGGGAAGCTGTCGAGGAACTTAGCCTAAGTTCCTGTTGTAACGAAGACGCTCGGAACCGATAATTACGATGTACTTGTCTCGACTTCAAATCCAAAACACCTGTGGTTGTAAGAAGGAAGTTATACTGTTTGGCAATT